CCACGTCCCATATATTCACAGTGGAATGGGATACAAATATATGAAAAGGGATAGAAATTCATAAGAAAATGTGGGAAGGAACTATATTATTGGAAAGAGGCTCTGCGCTGCTTGCCAAAAATTACATATCCAGAGCTGCAGTCAGCAGATGCCCTCTGGGATGGGGGGGGGGTGTGTGTGTGTGTGTGCGTGTGTGCGTGCGTGCATGTGTGCCTTTTGTTACCTCTTTCCTCCCTGCTGGTTGAAAAAGTTGCAGGAGCAGCCAATCAGGAACAAGGTGCATGCATTTTGGGAGGCTATGGGTCTGCTGATGTTTTTCCGGGTTAGAGTGAGAGAAGAGGTGATGCTCAGAGGGACTGCCGGAAGTTTATTCCTTCGCCTGAGCCATCTGCACCCTTGCCTGGGAAGCATTCCGTCTGGACCTCTTCCACATCCCTGACTGCAGCAACCGGTGAGCAAGGAGCAGGGAATTGGGGGTGTTGCGTGTGGGGGAGGGGAGGTGGCAGAGAGCGCAAGACAGCCTCAGCTGACAGGTCCCAGGGCTTTAAAGGGATGCCTGGAAGGAAGCGGGGAGCTGTCCCACCTGAAGGAGTTCCTGGGATAAGCTTGCATCTCCATCGCTGAAGGAAATGTTGGCCTGGCCTCTCTCAGGCTGGAGGCAGAGAGCTGTTGTGCAGAAGAGGGAATTTTTAAAGGGTTGCTGATGCTGATGCTGTTTTGTTTTGTTTTCCTCTTCCCCATCCTGGCAAAATAAGCTGCACCTGCTGAAGCACATATAATGATGATGATGATGATGATGATAATAATTTATTATTTATACCCCGCCCATCTGGCTGGGCTTCCCCAGCCACTCTGGGCAGCTTCCAACCAAATATTAAAATACAGTAATACATCAAACATTAAAAGCGTCCCTAAATATTGCTGCACCGTTGCTAAGCCAGTGGTTCCATCTGCTTCTCCACCACCCCTAGTTTCGTGAACTCACCCCCACTGCCCCCTATCCAACCCTATGGAAAGCTATTTGCATGACCCACTAAGGAAGATAGTAGCACAGCAAAGTTCAAAACGGTCACAATGAATTGTGCATTTATCGGAATGTCAACTAAAACTATATAGTTTAATTAATTAGACAGAATTGATGAACTTGGTCCAGTTATACCAGCCTTTCAAAGTCTGATAGTCATTTACACCTCCAGCATGCGCGCGTGCGCGCACACACACACACACACACACACACAAACACCTGCTTAGAGGAGTGGGGGAGTAAATGAACCGCGCTTCCCTTTGATGTTGGTTAAATCAAAACATGGTGACTAATCCCAAAGACCAGCACTTGGGATGGATCAGTTGGGGGGGGCACAAAGGGAGGGAACCTGGAGTGATGAAAAGCATCAGAGGTCTCTATTGGCTGATATTCCTGTTTTCTTGAATAACGCAAGGCCAAGGTCAATGTATACTAATATACTGCTAGTATATAATGCCCTTTTACAGTTTGGGACCAGTTTACCTGTGAGATTGCTTTAATAATAATAGTAGTAGTAGTAGTAGTAGTAGTAGTAGTAGTAATAAATTTTATTTATACCCCGCCCTCCCCAGCCAAGGCCGGGCTCAGGGTGGCTAACAACCAATAATAATAAAAAGTTGAATGAATACAACTTAAAAACAAGATTAAAATACAACATTAAAACATTAAAATGCAGCCTCGTCACAGGAGGAGAAAGGAAAAATGAAAGAGGGGGAGGGAATCCAATTGACTCCAAGCCAAAGGCCAGGCAGAACAACTCTGTTTTACAGGCCCTGCGGAAAGAAATTAGATCCCGCAGGACCCTGGTCTCATGAGACAGAGCGTTCCACCAAGCTGGAGCCAGGGCTGAAAAGGCCCTGCCTCTGGTTGAGGGTAATCTGACTTCCTTAGGGCCTGGGACCTCTAGGGTGTTGCTATTTATGGACCTTAAGGTCCTCCGTGGGGCATACCAGGAGAAGCGGTCCCGTAGGTACGAGGGATATATATCTTATATATATAATCTTGTATATATATTACGCTATACATCCCCAACTGAATGCTTAAATCTGCAGAACTGGTGCTATTAAAAGTGCAATACTGTACATTACCCATTCCAGTTTTGAAATCTTTTAGTGTGGCAGCACCTACACTCTGGAACTGCTGAGTTTGTCTTTTGATGAGACTAAATGTCTAAAATGTATAAAAGAGCTGTTTCACGGTTTTCCCTTATATCTCATTCCTTTGCCCTCTTTGTAAAGTGCATTGAGGGTTTTATTTTCTTTTCTTTACAATCAAGAGACATGTAGCCAAAACAACTAGAATTTTGGTATTTTGCAAAGTACTCTTTTGTGCATTCTTCTGCAAGAGATAGTTGTGAATATCCCTCTGGAAACAGTTGCAAAGGCAGGAGGCAAAAGGTTTAGCCTTATTTGCAGTGGGCAATCCATGCGTCTCACAGATTTTTCATGTGGACTGTAGTCTATGAAAGCTTATGAATGCGTTAGTCTTTAGGGTGCCACAGGACTGCTTGTCATTTAATAAAATAAGAAGAGCCCCAATTGGGTTCTGTCTAGTTCTGTATCCTATTTCCTGAGCCCACAGCAGGGCATGAACACAACAGACCTCTCCTGCTCTTGACCACCCTCAGTGACTGGTATCCCAGGGTACGTTGCCTCTGATCCTAAAGGCAGTGCATAGCCATCATGACTAGTAAAAAATAAATAAAGGTAAAGGACCCCTGGACAGTTAAGTCCAGTCAAAGGCGACTACGGGGTGCGGCGTTCATTTTGCTTCAGGCCAAGGGAGCCGGCGTTTGTCCACAGACAGCTTTCCGGGTCATGTGGCCAGCAAGACTAAACCGCTTCTGGTGCAATGGGACACCATGGCGGAAGCCAGAGCACACGGAAACGCCGTTTACCTTCCCACCGCAGCAGTACCTATTTATCTACTTGCACTGGTATGCTTTCAAACTGCTAGCTCACCCCATCGTGCGAATTCGAACCGCCGACCTTCTGATCGGCAAGCCCAAGAGGCTTAGTGGTTTAGACCACAGTGCCACTCGTTTCTCACATCATGACTAGTAGTCAATGAGAGCCTTTTTTTTTGGCTTGAAGGCTGCATCCACCATTGGCCAACCCCCGTGAGATCTTATGCCAGTGGTGGGTGTGTACACTCTACACTGTCTGTCACACACACACCCCTTTCCTCTTTCCACTACCAGCACTGTTTCTACTGTATTTCTCTTTTTGCTGCCACTCCCAAAATTGGCGAGTTTTTGCTGCTAGAAACGTTCGCTTGGAGGCCTTACTAAGCCCCTGGGATGAGAGTCAGCCACCACTCTATTAAAGCCTTCTAAATACTATTAGAATTAATTAACCACATTCCAAACTACTGTTCCAAAGATCTTTACACACACACACAAATTTTAAAAAGTCAAAAGCACAAAAGCAGCAAATACATTTAAAACAAGACTAAAACCCTACCAGCCTTTCTCAACCTGTGGGTCCCCAGATGTTGTTGAACTACAACTCCCATCACCCCTAGCTAGCAAGGCCAGAGCTCAGGGATGATAGGAGTTGTAGTCCAACAACATGTGGGGACCCACATGTTGAGAACTGCTGCAACCGGTGGGCACTTGGGATAAAGACCCATTTATCCAGCCACTAAAGCATGTCTAAATAAAAATGTCTTTGACTGTTTCTGGAATGGGCACATAGTGGGTTATTGATTGTATCTCAACAGGAATACGCTTCCACAGGAAAGGGGAAGCCGCGCTAAAAGCCCTGCTCCAAATTCCTATGGAGTGAGCTTCTGAGGTCTTCGGACCTTACAGGAGAAGCTCTCCTGCAGTCTGCAGTGATCTACTGGGTGGACAGAGGGACAAGGTTGTTTCTCAAGGAACCTGGTCCTGAGCTGCATAGGAACTTATATGTTAGTACCAACACCATTAACATGGCCCAGTAGCAAACAAGTGGCTGCCAACACATCTAAAGGTAAAGGTACTCCTGCCCATTAGGTCTAGTTGCGGCCGACTCTGTGGTTGCGACGCTCATCTCGCTTTATTGGCCAAGGGAGCCGGCATACAGCTTCAGGGTCATGTGGCCAGCATGACTAAGCCGCTTCTGGTGAACCAGAGCAGCGCACGGAAACGCCGTTTGCCTTTCCGCCAGAGCGGTACCTATTTATCTACTTGCACTTTGACGTGCTTTTGAACTGCTAGGTTGGCAGGAGCAGGGACCGAGCAACGGGAGCTCACCCCGTCGTGGGGATTCGAACTGCCGACCTTCTGATCAGCAAGTCCTAGGCTCTGTGGTTTAACCCACAGCGCCACCCACATCCTTCGCCAGGACATCTAGCAGCAGGGAATTCCATAATTTTAACTCTGCATTGTGTGAAGATGTTGCTTGTTTTGTTTGTCATGAATCTTTCACCCTTCAGCTTCCTGGCAGGATTCCACTATGGGGTAGAGTGAGGCAGCTGCCTCGGGTCACAAATATTGTAGGACCCACTAAACTAGGCCATTGTCATTGGGGTGCAGTGGAGGATATTCAAATAAGCGTCTCCACCCCCGTCATTCTGCCCGGACACTGAGGTCCAGCGCCATGGGCCTTCTGGCGATTCCCTCGCTGCGAGAAGCCAAGTTGCAGGAAACCAGGCAGAGGGCCTTCTCGGTAGTGGCACCCGCCCTGTGGAACGCCCTCCCACCAGATGTCAAAGAGAAAAACAACTACCAGACTTTTAGAAGACATCTGAGGGCAGCCCTGTTTAGGGAAGCTTTTAATGTTTGATGTATTACGGTATTTTAATATTTTGCTGGAAGCCGCCCAGAGTGGCTGGGGAAAACCAGCCAGATGGGCGGGGTATAAATAATAAATTATTATTATTATTATTATTATTATTATTATTATTATTAACAACCTGCTGAGCTTTGTATGCAATGCACCTTTCTTTTTTCTTTTGTTTCCACCACCTCACTTCCCCAAACAGAATCACCACTATGGCGGCCGACTCGGATGTGCTGCACTTCCAGTTTGAGCAGCAAGGGGGCGCCATGCTGCAGAAGATGAACCTGCTGAGACAGCAGAACCTATTTTGCGATGTCTCCATCTACATCAACGACACTGAGTTCCAAGGGCACAAAGTCATCTTCGCCGCTTGCTCCACGTTCATGCGGGACCAGTTCCTGCTCACCCAGTCCAAGCAGGTGCGGATCACCATCTTGCAGAGTGCCGAGGTGGGCCGGAAGCTGCTCCTCTCCTGCTACACGGGGGCTCTGGAGGTGAAGAAGAAGGAGCTTCTCAAGTACCTAACGGCTGCAAGTTACCTGCAGATGGTGCACATTGTGGAAAAGTGCACGGAGGCACTGTCCAGGTACCTGGAGATTGACGCGGCCGTGGAGGGCAGCCGGGCCAGCCCTGAGAAGTGCCACTCCTCCGAGACAGAACTGGGATGCAGCGGTGGCTGCCCTGAAAAAGACTGTGAAATCATTGAGATTTCTGAAGACAGCCCTGTGAATTCAGAGGAGCATATAAAACCGGAAAAGGGGGACCTTCAGCAGAGCTTGCTATCAGAAACAAAGAGCGTTAAAAGCCCTGAGATATCAACGGTCAAGATAGGGTATAAGGACAACAAAATCTGCATTATCCGAATGGATTCCATCAGCGCTCCTGATGTGGAAGGTGAGCAGTTTCCACAGCCGTGCACCTCCTCCAAATCAAACTTGTACTTCCCCGAGACTCAGCACTCTTTGATCAATTCAACGGTGGAGAGCAGGGTCACAGAAGTGCCCAGGGATCAGTTCCAAGACTTTGGCGGGGAGAATCCAGAAGGAGCCAACAGAACGGCCACAGGTGGGTTCCAGAGCCCAGGGGACTCTGCTTACTCGTGGCGGCACCAGTGCCCCAAGTGCCCCAGGGGATTTCTCCACCTGGAGAACTACCTCCGCCACCTGAAGATGCACAAGCTGTTCCTGTGCCTGCAGTGCGGGAAGACATTCACGCAGAAGAAGAACCTGAACCGGCACATCCGTGGACACATGGGCATCCGTCCCTTCCAGTGCATGGTCTGCTTGAAGACGTTTACAGCCAAAAGCACCCTCCAGGACCACCTGAACATCCACAGCGGGGACCGGCCCTACAAGTGCCACTGCTGTGACATGGACTTCAAGCACAAGTCTGCCCTCAAGAAGCACCTGACGTCTGTACATGGGAGGAGCAGCATGGACAAAGCCACCTTTGACTCCATTACGGAAGTCAGAATAGACTACGACTAGTGGGAGGGGGAGAGGGTTTGTAGAGCAGGTTTGGGAAACCCCTAGCCCACCAGGTGAGGGGTTTTCCACGTCACCCTGCAGGCTGTTTCCTACAGACCACGCCCACTTGCCCATCTGCCAAAGTCACTGGTTGACATCAGTGGATGGGTGGGAGCGCCTGGTACAATTCTGCTAGGTGCTGCTTTGCAAAGTAGACCACACCACAGGGAAATGTTGACAAAAGTGGGACCACCCAACCATCTGTCAGCAGCCATCAAAATGCACAGTTGGCCCGTGAAGTGGGGGGAGGTAAAGATCTGGCCCACTGAGCCAAGGGAGTTCTCCATCTCTATAATAATAATAATTTAATATTTATACCCTGCCCATCTGGCTGGGCTTCCCCAGCCACTCTGGGCGGCTTCTAAAAAGTATATATTAAAATACTGTAATACTACATCTCTAGTGTGCAGTAAGGTCAGCTCCTTTGCAAGTATAGAGGTCAACCTCTCTTTTGGATTTCAACCCTACAAGATGGGTGTTTAGATGTAACACAACATTTCTGCTGGTGATGTTCATGGAGGCTTGTTGGAGAACCAGTTGCCCATCCGAGATGAGAACATCCTATACACAAACAGGAAATGGAACAAAATTAATCTCCCCCCCCCATCCCTTTCCGGTGGTGGGGGGTGAGTTGTCAACAGATGAACAGATGTGTGGGGTGAATAAAATAACTTTAGGAGACTTATTTAACTTTTGCACAGCACTTAGTTTTTTCGGTTGCTGGTGGTGATTATGATGTTATTATTATTATTATTATTAATTACTATTGCTATTATTATTACTAGTAGTAGTACTTTTTGCAAGACGACTTGAGCCTAAATCTTGAAAGAAAAATTAAGTCTTGGACCGCTGGTGTTTTAGTGGAGGCAACTGTGAATTAAATAGTTAATGGGTTGTTACTGATTTCTCTCATGGCAGGAAAACTGTGCAGCTGCAACGAATGCTGTTGGATTTTGTGCTTGCATGGAGCAGAGATACCACTTTCACGCTTTATCTTTTGTTGTTTCTTAAAAGAAGGTTACAGCTTAATGTTTGCCTTAGAAGCTAGAACTTTTAACTGGGGGAGGCCAGTGGCAGTCAGGAGGACCAATCAGGCTCCCAAGGCTTCAGAGTGTGATTATAACCAGATCAGATTCAGCTGAAGATTTTGCTCTGCTCCTTCTGGCTGAAACATGTGGACTGGTTTGGTGTGTGTTGGTGCCGGCATGTTCCGCTCAGTGAACAGGTTAGTTTATCTCTATATGATGTATTCATTTTCTTGTGAATTTCCTAAGTGCTGTTTAATTATTTGATGAAAATAGGCCTCAGAGATCTGGTATTTAAGGATGGTGGTGAAAAAGACCAGAAATTTATGGCACTGTTGTTTCTTTAGACCATTTGTTACTCTGGCTTACCTTTGTATGTTGTGTCATAAAAAAGAAGGTATCTACAACTTAAGTTTTCTCTCTTCCCCCTAGACCTGGCGGGCTATCGCATGTTGGGAGCACCTGGTGTTTGCAGCCAGTGAGGATGTTGTTAAATGGTGATTCTGGGTTGGGTGTGGAGGGAAACACCCCCCCCCCCATTTTAGGGGAAGTACAGTGGGCTGCATGCAGAAGGTCCCAGGTTCTGTCCCCCATGGCATCTTCCGGGAGAGCTGAGAGACACTTGCTGCCTGAAATCCTTTACAGCTGCTGCCAGTCATTGTAGACAGTATTGAGCTGCATGAACCCATGGTCTGACTTCCTATAACATAAATTTTGCCCTCCTCACAGGGTGCTTGAGTATGCTGCAAAGCATAGTGCTGGTAGAACCCAAGTCACCCACAATCTTAATTTTATGAGAGGCAGCTTGGTGTGAGAGGTCTAGGCACTGAGTCTTTTAAGTGCAGTACAGTTGCCAGGAAGTCGTGGATCCGTGTGTTTTTTTTGGTGCAGGCTGTGCCCATGGACACGACGTGTGGTTTGATCGTTAGTTTGGGGTGGCCCAATGCCAGAACCCAGAGGATCCATGAGGATGCGTGCTTCGAAACCGTGTTTTTCGCCCACAGTGTTGCCAGGAAGCCGTGGATCCGTGTGTTTTTTTTGGAGCAGGCTGTGCCCATGGACACGACCTGTGGTTTGATCGTTAGTTTGGGGTGGCCCAATGCCAGAACCCAGAGGATCCATGAGGATGCGTGCTTCGAAACCATGTTTTTCGCCCACAGTGTTGCCAGGAAGCCGTGGATCCGTGTGTTTTTTTTGGAGCAGGCTGTGCCCATGGACACGACGTGTGGTTTGATCGTTAGTTTGGGGTGGGCCAATGCAAAAACCCTGAGGATCCATGAGGATCCATGGTTTGAAACCACGTTTTTGCTCTATGGTGCATTATCTAACAATGCCCCAAGTTTCCAGCCAATCTGGTGCAATTTTGAGTCAGGTTCTGCTTTTGTATGGTGCATAGCTTTGCTGTGGGGTCCTCGATGCTTTATCCAACAGGAATCTGATGCAATGGCTGCTGTTACTGGTCAAGTTGGACGATGGATGTGCTTTGCAGAGGCACTGGCCTTGATCATGTCATGTAGCACCTTGCCAATTTTGGCATTATTAAGTGCCATGTCCTTTCCCCCCTGTTGTTGTAAAAGTTTGCCACAACCTTTGTTTCTAGTCAGCTCCATCTATCCTGAAAAAATATAGTATACACACAGTTTATACAGTAACAGAGGCTGTGTAGACATTACCAGCTTATAACGTATACAAGTTGTTATTTTTTCTCAATTTGGGTTGAAGCTGCTTTGTGGGGAAATGCATCAAAACACAGGACTTTGTAAGAAATAGAACGACGCACTGCTTCCCAAACCAGCAGTGGGAGCACACTGGAAATGCAAAATAAAATGTGTGTAAAGATAAAGGGACCCCTGACCATTAGGTCCAGTCATGGCCGACTCTGGGGTTGCGGTGCTCATCTCGCTTTACTGGCCGAGGGAGCTGGCGAACTGCTAGGTTGGCAGGAGCAGGGACCGAGCAACGGAGCAGGGACGGAGCACATGGGGATTCGAACCGCCAAAACTTCTGATCGACAAGCCCTAGGCTCTGTGATTTAACCCACAGCGCCACCTGCAGCCCATAATGTGTGTTCACAGCCTTAAACTGACCTAGGCTTTCTGTGTTATGTGATCTGCTGGTTTTGGCTTTTTGTAAATTTGGATGTCAGTTTTTTGGTATGCTAATAATAAGCTACAAGCTCTAGCTTAACAGAAAAGTCTGTATTTGAGTGGTGTCCTACTGCCTGTTTAAAGGCTTATCTTCCTCTCTCCAGCCCATTGTAAAAGTGTTGTGTTAAGAGCTAATTTTTACAAGTTGTCACTCATTGCCTGCTTTGTCTTCAGGGCATAATTATGGGAATGGCAGCTTTGATATCCTGTTTTCTTGGTTGACTTGCCAGCTGACTTGCATTTCCAATCCCCCTCCAATCCCCCTCCAAATGACTTGTAGTGAAAATAAAGTTTTCCCACAGCTGAAGGACATATTTCTGATGCTCTTGAATGAACTGAAAGGACTGCAAACCATGCTGAACTCTTCTGGAACGCACATAGTTCTGCACAGAGAGGAGAGGCCTTTTTGTGCAAATCAAACCAGTTTCCTTAACTAGTTAGAAGTTCCTTGATGTTGCTTTTTTAAGTTGTGCTTCACATTTCAATAAATATTGCCCTTTCAACCCACCAATTTCTTAAGAAAAAAAGACTTGGGAGTTTACAGCTGAAACCCTAAATGCACTTGTTAAGAAGCAAATCCCAGTTTGACTTACATATGAAGAATCGCCATGAGTGTTGTGTTAAAATTTTGCTTCTTATAAATGTATGAGCACCATAAATTAATTTTCAACAGCACTTAGTGAACAGTTATGCTCCTTTTAATTATATTTTTTCTTCCTATTCACATAATGCTGTATCCAAATCCATTCAGGTCCCCAAGAAGACAATTTAAAAAAAACCTTCGACTCTGGTTTCCATTTGGGGATACAGAGTTGATCTAGAAACTGCTGGCGGAGATCAGCATATAGTTTACAATTGAGAACGATATGTGTAAGGGTTTCCACCAGGTGGTCTTCGCATGGGCAAGTTCTTTCTCCTTCCACCCTGCCTGAGAACCTCCCCAAAGGAGGTTCTATTAGTTTTATCAGCATTTTATTAGCTTTTACTAGTATTCTAGTATTTTATCGCTCGGTATCTTTCTCTTAATTATTTTAATCACAAAGTTCAAGCTAAAAGTTTTAGGCAACATCCCAGAGAAAGCCTTAATTAGCTCCAGCTCGACTCAATCTACCAGCTACTTATCAGCAGGAGAGGAGATCAAACGCCCTAAATCTGGAAGGATTCCGAGTTTCCTGATTTACAGCTGAAAGTAGTAGCAGCTGCATCTCTGTGAAAATGTCTAAGAAAAAGAAGCCATTGGCTTCATCTCCACAAGTGAGCCCATAGCAGAAGTGCAAGCAGAGTTAACTGGATGATTTTGTAAGAGCCCAGAATCCAGCACCTACCACATCAAACAGAGTTCATTCCTAGATAGGTGGGGACGCTTTAATGGGTGGAGACCACCGAGGGGAGAACGCTGAGATGAGCGCCCATGAACCATCTTTTGAACTATTACCTGAGAGGGCACCACTCTATGCAGGAATCCTCGCGGACCACTGTCTGCTGACTGCAAGAGCAGTGGAGGAAATTAACACCAAACTAGAAAAGGTAACGTCACTCCTGGCTTAGTTGGTGCTTTTGGCGGCCAGAAATAGCTGCCTCAATACTAAAGAGACTGAAGTAGTGTTGCACTCCCCCAAGACCACTGTGCACAGGGGTGTAACCGGTCTAGATCTGACAACCGAGAGACTACTAATAGCAAAAATAACAAAAGTGAAAGTAGGGACTTGATCCTACAAAACACCCAAGTAGCTCTCGATGTACTGTCTTTTTTTAAAAAAAATATTTATTACAGTTTCAAAAGAAAAGAAATCACATTACTAAAAAAAATTAACAATAAAAAGGAAAAATACAAAGTAGAAAAAAGAAAAAAAACAGTTAAAAACAATTCCATCTTTTCATCACTTCTTTTACATTTACTCGTTTCCCGGACCTCCTCATACCTCCCTCTTTTGTATTCCAATTCAATTTGTTTATCCAACAATTCCTTTCCCTCCTTTTTAATCCTAATCTTTAATCTTGATATATTATAACATTAGATTTTTACATATTAAAAACCAATTTTTACATATTCTTTTGTACCTATACAGCTAGAAACCACTTAACTTCAATCCACCATCATTCTAACATTCATTAATTTTGCAATATTTCTGTAAATAGTCTTTAAATTTCTTCCAATCCTCTTCCACCGACTCTTCTCCCTGGTCACGGATTCTGCCAGTCATTTCCGCCAATTCCATATAGTCCATCAATTTCATCTGCCATTCCTCCAGTGTGGGTAAGTCTTGTGTCTTCCAATGCTTTGCAATGAGTATTCTTGCTGCTGTTGTCACCGATTGGCCGACTATGCCCAGGAGAAAGGCCTCTGGTTTCTTCAAGAAGGTATATTTAAATACCTTTTTTAGTTCATTATAAATCATCTCCCAGAAAGCCTTAATCTTTGGGCACGTCCACCAAAGGTGAAAAAATGTACCTTCAGTTTCTTTACATTTCCAACATTTATTATCAGGCACATGACAGATTTTTGCAAGCTTGACTGGGGTTATGTACCACCTGTATATCATTTTCATAATATTTTCTCTTAAGGCATTACATGCCGTAAATTTCATACCTGTGGTCCACAACTGTTCCCAGTCAGCAAACATAATATTATGTCCCACGTCTTGTGCCCATTTAATCATAGCAGATTTCACCGTTTCATCCTGAGTATTCCATTTCAACAGCAAGTTATACATCTTTGACAAAATTTTAGTTTTGGGTTCTAACAATTCTGTTTCTAATTTTGATTTTTCCACCTGGAAGCCGATTTTCTTGTCCAAATTGTATGCCTCCATTATCTGATAATAATGAAGCCAGTCTCGCACTTTGTTTTTTAGTTTTTCAAAACTCTGCAGTTTCAATCTATCTCCATCTTGTTCCAAAATTTCCCAATATTTCGGCCATTTGACCTCCATATTGAGCTTTTTCTGAGCTTTCGCTTCCATCGGTGACAGCTACCTTGGGGTTTTATTTTCCAATAAATCCTTATATCTTATCCAAACATTAAACAATGCTTTCCTGACGATGTGGTTTTTAAATGCTTTATGTGCTTTGACCTTATCGTACCACAGATATGCATGCCATCCAAATACATTGTTAAAACCTTCTAAATCCAAAATGTCAGTGTTTTCAAGAAGCAGCCATTCTTTCAACCAGCAAAAAGCTGCTGGTTCATAATAAAGTTTGAGGTCTGGCAGGGCAAATCCACCTCTTTCCTTTGCATCTGTTAGTATTTTAAATTTTATTCTGGGCTTCTTGCCCGTACTGTCATACCTCTTGTTACGTTTGCTTTATCTTACGTTTTTTCAGGTTGCGTTCCGCGGTGACCCAGAAGTACCGGAAAGAGTTACTTCCGGGTTTCGCTGCTCACGCAGACGCGCAAAATGACATCACGTGCATGCGCAGAAGTGGCGAATTGCAATCCGCGTGTGCGCAGACACGGGTTGCGTTCCTTTCATGTTGCGAACAGGCCTCCGGAACGGATCCTGTTCGCAACCAGAGGTACCACTGTATATCCTTTCAACAGTATGCTGTCTTACTAGAAACCAATCACTAGTGTGAAGAGAAATCTTAAGCTTTTACTATATATCCAGTGCGACAATCTGATTGTGATATATTAATGTGTTATACATTTGATGTTAGCCGCTTTAAGCCTGGTGTTGGCCGGGGGGGCGGGGTATAAATAAAAATTATTATTACTGTATTATTATCGTATGAACCCTTCCAACTTCAGGACCTCAGGGGTTACCCTCTTTTATTTCTCCCACTCCTCCCCACCTGCTTTAAATACAGAGGCCGATCCGCACCATTTAAAGCTCACAACTCCTCCCTCCCTAAACCTGGGAACTGTAGTTTTACCCTCACAGAAGCTACGGTTTTCAGCCATCTTAACATACTACTGTCCTCAGGATTATAATATTTTGGGGGGGGGGGGGAGTCATGTGCTTTAAATGTATGATGTGGGTGTTCCCCAAATCTTCTTCCTCTTCATTTCTATATTGCCACTTCACAGAATCGAGCTACAAATGTATGGGGAGAAACACTGAAGGATGAGCAGGGGGCGCCTACAGTATTATATTTATTTTCTTCATAAAACTTTTTCCCCCGTTTCATTTTTTAGTTTATGTAAAACAGAGAGAACAATTATAACAACGGATGAAAAGCAAAGCTGTATGACAGAAATGATAAATATTACTAAATTTATTCGTTTATTTCTATTCTCCGAGGAACTTAAGGTAGAATAATACATGGTTCTCCTCTTCCTCGCTTAATCCCCACAAGAATCCTACGAGGATTGTACTGCATCGTTACAAAATGAGTAGCAAACACAACGAAAGTGTTCAACAAAGAAAATTAAAACCAGCCACGACCGAATGTTTCTAGTGCGGTGAAGTGCAGGGGTGGGCTAGATGACCCTCGGGGGTCCCTTTAACGCTCTATCATTCTGTGATTGTGCGAACGTGCGCGAATTACAGGAAGCGCCGCCGCGGCGCACGTCGCCTCTTCCGCCCGCCGGCCTCACTTCTGCGCAGGGCGCACGCGCGTTATAAAGCGCCTGGCGAGCTGCGACGAGGAGCGGGGAGCGGTCGTCGCTGCGCGGCATCTATCGTCGCTACCGGTCCCATCTGGGCGCTTCATCTCTGTGGTATGCCCTTCTGACGCTTCTTCCTATCCTCTCTCTCCGTGCCCAGCAAGCGCGCCTCCCTCCACGTGACTTTGGGGTGCAGGTGGGCGGGGCCCGCGGCTGCGAGGCGAACCCTCGCGAGAGGTGGGGCGGCCCCGATCTGGGCGGGGCTCCCGGCTGTCACCGCGATGAGGAGGCGCCGTCGCCGCCGCCGCCGCTGGGCTGCTCCGGGGTGCGCCCCTGAGGGGGTGTGAGGAGATCCCGGGCCCTCCTGCAGGTAGGGGGCCCGGGAGGGCGGGGGCCCAGCGGCGGCTGTGAGGCGGAAGGCGGCCCCGCCCCCCTTCTGCCCTCTCACCCCGCGGGCCGAGGGGGTGGAATGGGGGAGGGGAGGGGGCGTGGCTCGTTCCCAGCGGGGGGGGTGGTGGCGAAGAAGGGCGACCCTCCACTTCCCACTCTCCTGTAGTGTGCGTTCCCGCCCCCCCCGGCTGCTGTGCGGGGAGGGGGCTTCCATTCAGTGTGGGTCATCACCCTCCCCCCACTCAGACCCCAAAGGAAAGAAAAGGGAATGGCGATTATTTGAGGGGGGGCGCGGGGAGTTGTTGTTTTGGATGCCATTTCCCTCTCCCTCCCCCTTCAAAAAAGTATTGGTAGTCGGTGGGGTCGGGAGAAAGAGAGAAGCCCCCCGCCCCCAATGCACACACAGGCTGGGCTCCCCACCAGCAGTCCCTCTCGGGAACAAGGCTGCCTACGGGTCGTGGTCACTGGGGGCTGATGGGTTGCTGGTGGTGAGCTGGGCGAGTGCTGCTGTGCTCCTGTGTCCTGCTTGCGGATTGGGGAGCCCTTCTGGTTAGCTGCTGCGAGAAACAGGCAGCTGCACTAGTTGGGCCTTTGGCAAGGGACCCTATGCAGCTGGGCTGCACAGGGGTGGGGTGCCATGGGTGGGTGTCTCACACACACACACTAATTCCCCCCTCCTCTCTTGGGGCAAGAGTTTGTATGAGGAATAAGGGGAACTTTCTCCCTCAAAGAAGAGGGGTCGTGTATTTGTACACCGTTGAAACACATCACTTTTTCATCTCACCCTCCCAGGGCTAGCCTAAGTTATTCTGCTGCCCAAGGCAGAACAGCAGATGATGACTCTTCTCCCTAACCACACTGGATCTTGATGCATAGTACTCAAGACCAAGGTAGCTGCCTTAGCACTCAAGGAAGAAATCCCCAAATTGTTTCTCCCTGTTTCTAACAGTGAAATTGCAACAAACAAAATAATTAGCAATTTGTTGCCCTTTCCTGATACCCAGAAGCAGTTGCCTAGGTTGGCTGCCTTAGTCTGCCTAATGGTAGGACAGGTGCTATATTCCTTATCCCCTAGCCCTCTTCTGTCATCTTCTTTTGCCTCCACTTTCAACTTTCCCTGGTTATTGGAAAGTTTGAGAAGAACAATGTGAGCACCCCCTGCCCCGAGATGATTAAAATGTTGGGTATGAGCTTTCAGGTTGCACAAAATGTATCTGCAGGATTCTGCAGTCAGAGCTCAGATTTTTAAAAAGTGTGAGGTTGCATGCCCAGCATGTTAATATGTTCGGGTCAAGTATATGCACATGAGCAGACAGTTAAGCCAGGTTGCTAAATGCCCCAAAGGACTGCTTTAGACATGATAACTTCTGTACATGTGAAATAGTTATCAAAGAAACAGTACACAACGCGTGCCACTGCTTCCCAGGCTACATGTGTATTGTGTTTATGTCACATGTGATGATCTATGTGTGCATTGTATGCTGTTTCACACATGGAAGTGTTTTTCCTGTGGGAATTCTGGTGTGCTCGGAGCAGCCCTTTCATTCTAGGCAAAAGGCACCACCATTTGCCTCCTTGTCTGCTTGTCCTCATGAGAGTTTAAATCAGGGATGGAGAATCTGCAGCCCTCCTGGTGTCGTGGGGCTTGAACTTGCATTAGTCCCAGCCAATGTGAGCAGTGGTCAGGGATGATGGGAGTTATAGTGGAACAACGCCTTGGAGCCCCACAGGTTCACCACACCTGATTTCAAGCAACCTGCTCAAACTCTCAAAAATATTATTTCTAACATTGTACTCTGTATGCAGAGGTGGTCGCTTTAAAATTAGATCCTTGCAAAACTTGTCACCCTAATGCCATTATTTTTATTATAGTTTCCCGCCACCACACCTTCCTCCTAGTGAGCGTAGAAATATTTTTTATAAGCCTACATGTGGTGGGGTTAGTTAGCTTGTGAGTTAAAATTTGATTGTGCTCCTGTTCAAAGATGATAGAAGTGCTTTTCATCCATATATCCTGTGGGAAATTTGAAGACAAAATGCTGGTGGAAATGTATTGAAGCTCAGCTACGTGGTGGTCTGAACAAGGCCCAGTTTGTCTTTCCACTGCTTAGACTTTACAGCACAGAAAAATGCAGCATGTATGCTAGAATAGCTCAAGAGATGCCAGCTATTTAGCTCAGCTTGCTGCAGCTGCTTAGAGATGGGTCTGTGCCTTGAACCATCAAGGGGGCATAGTTGATTGAAATCAAGGGTTCTGAACACAATCATTACCATTTCTAGAGAGATAAAATAGTTATGGCAATGTTTATTATTATGTGACTTTGAGGGAAGCAGGCTTCTGAGCGGCACAAAATTCTTCAGCAAGCAAGAGCTTTTAATCGCTACCTTTTTGGAAGAGCTCTGTGTAATTCAGAATTCCGTTATTTGCACCAGCAGTGGGGTGCCCAATAACCTTTGACTTTCTGAGCCATATCAGTTCCATCACAGGTGACTTTTCACAAGCTAGTGTTCAAGTAGAACAGCTGTCTTCCCATGTAGAAGGGAGCAGAGTTGGAGAAGTGAAATACATAACTATACGTATTTATTTAGATTTCAGCTCGAGGAAGCAGTCCTCAAGGAAGTGGTCATAGCTTACTTGTAGAGCACATACCTTTGCATGCAGAAGGTCCCAGGTTCAGTCCCCAGCATATTCAGTTAGAAGGATTAGATAGCAAGTGAAGATCCTTCTCTGACTGAAACTCTGGAGAGCTCCAGTCAGTCTGTCAAAACTGGGTTGTGTGGACAGATAGTCTGGCAGTTTCCCATGTTAGTTTTATTGATTTTTTTTTATTCCCCCTACTTTTTTGACATGTATTTGTACGTTTCTAAAATAAAGTTGGCACCGTTTTAATAAAAAAAATTAAAATTCATTTCTAAAGAATTTAAAAATCAAGGAGTTAAACAGAATAAATTTCAGACTAAACTACCATTAAAAATCCCCAACTATCCTCTCCCAATTTAACCCTAACACACAAAATCTCACAGCCATACAAAAAGTGTTACTAATGTTTTTATGTTAATGCTAATGTGACTGTTTTCATTTGAAATTTGTTTGGTTCAAGCAAAGTTATAAATGGAAGTAGCAGGGTGGTGCTTTGGTGTGCCTTGAGCTGCTGCTCTTTTTGTGGAATAAATTGAATTATCTGTTCTCAGAAGTGGCAATTTTTTGGTTTGTAGGACAAAAGGTTGCATCCATTCTGTGTCCTGTCCTATACCACTTGCCGGCTGCATTTGTATGTCATGATAAACAAGTCTTTCCCAGCCCTGTGCCAAGCAGATGTTTTTTATCATTTACTTACTTACTTATTTGCATTTTGCTTCCTGCAAAGAAGTTCTGAAGAAACCCATAGAAAATACTGTATTTAAAAATTACACTGAAGCATTCACCCACAAAAATAAGTCAGAATACAAAACCACTCTTCCCCATTCAGCAGCAGGGTAAGCACCAATTTCTACTACAAAAACCCCAAATGACCCAACACAGTATCAATGCTTAAATACATGGGAGAATAAGAATGTCTTCCCCTAGTGCCATAAAAATAACAGTGTTGGTGACAGGCAGATTGCAGGGTTGGGGGCCACTGAAAAGGCCTGTTCTCTCACTGCAAACCTCTTTTGGAGGTGGTACGCTAAGAAGGACCTGAGATTATTGTCATGGGGTCTAGGTAGGCTCATAGGTGGAAAGATGGTCCAAGCTCCCACTCAAATGCTAATGTGTGAGTAAGAAAATAAGCTTCATTCAAGGCTTGCAATGGTACACATCAGGCTACGTTAACAGATTGTATAGCTAAAGAGTCAAAGAATGACATCAGGGGTCCAAGACCAGGCAGTAGCTTTGAAGACATTACAACTGGTCATGCCCCCCCCCCCCTTTAAAGGCGAGACACAGCACACTCATAATACTCACTAAGAGACTGGTGCACTTGAAGGAACATGTTTCTTCCGGGGGTGTGGGTCTGCTGCCAATGGCAGAAGCAGTGCCAAGTTCTCTGTGACAGGTCAGGGGTCATCTTCTGGTTCTTCCAACCTCCTCTCTTGGCTTGTTAGCACCCTTCCCTATTGGGCTAGTTGGTCGTAGTCAATAATTTTGCAGAAGCGTCAGTTTCTAAACTGTCTTCAAAGGCCGCTCAACATATAATGCAGTAATCTAACTAGAGGTTACTAGATCATAGACCACCAAAGCCAGACTATCCTAATCCAGATGGGGTTGCAGCTGGGCCACCAGACACCATGCAAGCCACTTGTGTCTGCAGTGACATTGATGGATCCAATAGTACCCCCAAGCTGAGTACCTGCTCCTTCAGGACAGGTGTGATCCCATCCTAACAGGTTCCACACACACCCTGTACAGACTGAGGAACTGCCCATTAACAGTGTCTCTGCCTTAACTGGATTGGAGTACTGATGACACACTCCCAAACTCTGAATGTCTCCATTCAGCAACATGATGTAGAATAGCATGGGGGATAAAACTGAACATTGCAGAAACCTGCGTTGGAGATTCCATGGGACCAAACAATACCCCCCCCCCCCCGCAGACACCACCTTCTGGAGCTAACCATACAGCTACAACTGGTACCACCACAAGGCAGCACCACCCATTCTTAACTCTAAAAGGATAGCAAGATGGATGGTATCAAAAGCCACTGAGAGGACAATCAACAGGGCGACAGTCCCATCTCTCCCAACGTAGGTCATCATATTGGCAGTTTTTCTGCCAAGAGCAGGAACAAACTCCAATAGAAATGATCCAGAAAATCAATCCCATCAAGATTGTCTTTTGCTGGTTAGTGACCGCACACTTGAGAACCTTGCACAAGAAAGGGACAGGAGTGACTCTTCTATTTTGTCCATATCTTTTGGGTCCAGGGAATATAGACCAGGAGTGACCTTAACACCACCTATATCAGGTTGCCTGGGACTGCTCCATATTGCAACGAGGCATTAATCCCTCCCCTCCCTGCCCAACAAGCCCCGCCCCGTAGATTTTACCAGCTATGAGGGGCAAGAGCAAGAAGTCAAGTGATCCATCAACACATTGTCCACAACCTCAAGCCATGTCAGCTGGAATTCGTCCCACAAAACTGGCCCAGACAGTACTCTGGGTACCTCTTGAGACTGACCTGCTACAATAGTAGAGTCCAAGTCCTGGCAGATACAATTTTATCCTTAAAATGTCTTGCAAACAAGACATAGCAGGATGCTGTGGGTTCCAAAAACTCATTTAGGCCAATTTGTTAAATGCAACAAAATAGCTCCGCGGGACAGCATATAAAGGATGCAATGGAAGAAGCAAAGAAACACTCTTTGCCTCCTTCACTGCTACTAAGCAGACTCAATAATAAATGAATACTAGTTCAGTTGCATTTGTCTGGAGTTTTCCTCCACACATTCAAGCCATCTCCCAACCTGCTTGAGCACCCTTTACTCCCTGGTGTACCACAGAGCTATCTGGGCTTTTATCAAGTAGGAGTGATCCTGGGTCACCTCTCCACTCCATGGGACTTAGACAGGAGCATCAGTCCTATCAGCTGGGGAGGTAGGAGCCCCAACTGTTTGGGAATCTGTTTGACTCAACCTCTGGAAGTAGTAGTAGTAGTTGTTGGCATCTTTCTGTCAGAGTGGACCATCCTAACCGATACCCTTCCTCCACATAGAGAAGAGTACAGTGACAGTCTGAATCTCACCAGGGGATGACTTGATCATGAAAAGGGAATGATAGATCACCCTCTTTTTGCCCTGTAGAGCATGTCCAGCTGTAAGCATTGGACCAATGACATATTCGGAAGGCCCCATCTTTGTCATGATAGGCATGAAGTACTCAGCTGCCCCAGATCCAGCATGAATATTGAAATCCCCCATGACCAACAGCTCAGTGGTTCACGGTATAGAGACTGCCTATGTCAGCTCAAGCAGGAAGATAACTGGGCAATATACCAGCAGCCTCCTAACATGTCCTCTGCACGCGGGACTTGAATTTGGTCATGTGGTAAGCCTAGAAAGAGAGTATTACAGGACACCCCCCAAAGGCCCCCCCCCATGCTGCCCTGAATACCCAGGTTGGCAAAAAATACCCAGCTGTGGAAAACCCAACTCCTTGCTGCTCATCTGCCCAGGTTTCACTTACACAAGTCAGATCAGCCTCCTCATCCACAGTCATTGTGGATGGAGGAGATTTTATTTAAAACAAACCCAACAGCACCTGCAGGTTCAAGGACTGGATGACAGAGCACTCACTGTACCCTCAGTTACGGGAGGGTCCAGCATGCAGCGCAGCCAATAACGTGCTGTGCAGTATTTGCTTCCCTCCACCCCACTATACAGTCATACCTCATGTTATGTTTGCTTCAGGTTGAGCGTTTTCAGGTTGCGTCCCACAACGACCCAGAAGTACCAGAATGGGTTACTTCCGGGTTTCGCCGCTCCCGCATGTGCAGATGCACAAAATGACGTCACACGCATGCGTGGAAGCGGTGAATCACGACCCGCGCACGTGCAGACGCTGGTTGCGTTCTGCTCATGTTGCAAACGGGCCTCCGGAACGGATTTCGTTTGCAACCAGAGGTACCACTGTACTTCCTCCAGACCTCTACTGCACCTCCCACAGGCAGCATGGCTAGGGAGGGTGAGAGTTGCGCCTTCCGTATGCTTCAGGCTACTAGGCTGGGGAAGGCTACATTAAACTACTGTTTATCATTAAGAGAATAAGCCTAGGCAAATCACAAGCTCACCCCCTCCCCTTTTCCTGCAGTGCTGTTATAAGGAGGTGATCCAAAGCTTTCACTTTCATTCTTTATTAACCACAGCTTGTTATTTCATGCAAGGCTGACAAAGGCTGCATTCACAGGTTGTGGTAAACCATAGTTAATGGCTTGCCGTGAAGGTGTAGATGGCTCCCACTTTGCTCAAGCCAAAGTTTGTATTCATGAACAAGCCACAATCCCTGGTTCAGATGTAGTACTAGGCCATGGATTACAGTTTGTTGCAGGGAGCACAGCAGGAGTGATCTCCATGTCCACAGTCAGCCATCAACTATGATATACTATGGCCTGGACCAATCTATATTTCATGTGAACTATGGCTTAAATTTCAGTCCACGGGCATGAAGCAGGGTTGCTACAACAAACCATAGTTAAAATTAACCACAGTTTGGGCATTTGGACATAGCACCAATCTGTGATTAAGGAAGCAAAATGGAAGCAGAAGCTTTTGATCTCCTTGACCAGCATAGCAGCACCACAGGGGAGTGGGCCAAGAAAAACCTCGTTTGTTCCAATCACTATAAGTCATGGTTTAGCATGACACCCGAATGCAGCCATTCACTATATGAAACTCTTCTAATAGGGAGGCCTGGTTGTGGCTGGTGCTTCATTTCTAAAGACAGATTGTGTGATCTGGAAGTTTTGTCTGCTGGCCCCAGCAATGTGGGAGTAGGCAGGGGCTAATGAGACATGAAGGAATGGCATTCTGCACATGCTCAGGGTGTGTGTCTTCTTTATTTCTTCACATATTCCAGGACTGAGCCCTGGCTTGTGGCAGACATCATGCAATGTGCAGAAATAAGTGAGTCTGTTCTATCTAGAGAAGGTTTATTTAAGCTTCAAGTCATCACGTCTAAACGATGCAGGGTGCTATTATTGTGACTGCTGTTCTTCCCTGGGCTTTGACTATGACTCAGGTCTCTATCTGGCTGCTACAGAAGAAAACTGGTGTGTAAAAGATGGAAGTCCTCTCTGTAAGTAATTCCATGCGAATACCTTGTTGGGTGCAAGTAGTGAACTGACTGAGGTGCTCCAGCTCAATATAATTTTTGAATCCTCCCCTTTCTATAGACTAGACAAATTCATGTTTGGTTTGTATGGAAATTAGTGACTCTCGCCTCCCTGAAGACACTGTGTAATTCTCACCAGTTGTAACTAGCCAAAGCATGTAGTTTGGTGCCACTGAAACCATGGCTTTGTTTTTAGTAACAGTGTAATGCAGTTTAAACAACAACAACTATTTGAAAGTATGTCAAGTTGGTTTCAGTCAAGCTTAGTTTCAGAGAAATCTGCTTAAAATTGCACATAAACAAGCATCTTTCTAGCAATGTTCACTTAGAAGCAAGTGCCATTAATTTAAAAATAATTTATCCATAGTTAGGATTGAGCTGTGAGGCGCTTGGTCTAAGGAAGCTGTGTAATTTATTTATTTTATTTAAAAGGCTAACCCTGCCCATCCTGAAGACCTGGGGAAATTGGGGGGTAGGGGCAATAAATAAACCAATTTTGCTTGAAGCTCATCTGAAAGATTGCAAAACCCATGCAAAACTCTTTCAACCCGTGTTGCTCCCAGCATCTTCTGTTATTTTGTCCTGTACATCTAATAAACAAAGGTATACTGGCTCTGACCATGGAGGTTTTGTTTAATTTTTAATGGCTAATAGTTGCTGTTATCCTCCTTCAGGACAAATTCACAGCGGATGTGTTTAACAGTTGCTGCTGAGCACAGTTACAAAGGAGAAGCCTCCACTGTTATTTGTGATGCCGTATCATAGAATAGCAGAATCATAGAATTGTAGAGTTGGAAGGGACCCTAGGGGTCATCTAGTCCAACCCCTGGCAACGTAGGAATCTCAGCTCAAGCATCCATGACAGATGGCCATCCAAAAGCCTCTGCTTAGAAACCTCCAAGGAAGGAAAGTCCAGCGCCTCCTGAGGGAGACTGTTCCGCTGTTGAACAGCTCTTACTGTCATTAAGAATTTCTGTATGTTTATAGTCAGAATCTCCTCGCTTGTCACTTGAAGCTATTGGTTCGAGTCCTGCCCTCCATGGCAGGAGAAAACAAGCTTGCTGCCTCTTCCATGTGACAGCCCTTAAGATATTTGAAGGTGGCTATCATATCTCTTCTCAGTCTCCTCTTTTCCAGGCGAAGCATGCCCAGCTCCTTCAGCTGTTCCTCATAAGGCTTGGTTTCCAGACTCTTGATCATCTTGGTTGCCCTCCTCTGCACACCTTCCAGCTTGTCAACATCCTTCTTAAATTGTGGTGCCCAGAATTGGACACAGTATTCCCAGTATTCTGCCAAGGCAGAATAGAGTGGTACTGTTACTTCCCTTGATCTGGACACTATACTTCTGTTGATGCACCTGAGAATAGCATTAGCTGTTTCGCTGCTGCATCACACAGTTGACTTATGTTAAGCTTGTGCGTTACTAAGACTCCTAAGTTATTTTCACATGTATTGCTAGTTAGTCAGGTGTCCCCCATCCTATATTTGTGCATCTGTTCTTCCTGCCTAAGTGCAGGCCCTGACTTTTGTCCTTATTGAAATTCATTTTGTTAGCCTGGGCCCTGTTCTCCAATACGTTGAGGTCATTTTGAATTCTGATTCTGCCTTCTGCTTCATTAGCTAGCCCTTCCAGTTTGCTGCCATCTGCAAAGTGGATGAGCATTCCCTCAGTTCCTTCATCCAAGTTATTTATAAAGACGTCAAACAACAACGGACCCAGGACAGAACCCTGCAGCACCTCACTTGTCACTTTTTTCCAGGATGACAAGGAACCATTAATGAGAACTCTTTGGGTTCAGTCAGTCAACCAGCTATAAATCCACCTAACACTTACCTCATTCAACCCACATTTTACCAGCTTCCTTGCAAGAATATCATGGGGGACTTTGTAAAAGAAAAAAGCGCCTTACAGAACTGAATTGTTTAATTATTTCCCAGCGCTGTGCATATACATGGTCACTTGTGAGTTGATCACGCGTGGGGGGAACGCCTGTACATGTTACATCAGCAAAAGCAGCACAGAAATCAGAAGTTGGAAGAATCAGAAATAATAAGCCTTCCAAATGTTAATACTCTGAGTGCAGATAAGAACACTGTGTATCAAGCATATCCTGTTGCTTAAGGGCATTAGATAGCTGAGGTTTCAAACAGAATTTTTTAACAGATGGTTGTAATTAAAGTGTATGCAAAAAAGCAAGTCTTAATCAGCAGCATTCTAGTAAGCACTTTAATGTGTTGCTACTAATTAGATTGTTGCACAGCCAAAGCCCGAGTGAGATATGAAATCAGAAACTGAGGAATTCAGGTGCAATTCAGATTTGCCCACTATGCAGAAGTGATTTACTGTCTTCCTTGTTCACCTTCACGAGAATCTAATGTGGCTGCATATTTTCATTCCTGTTTTTCAGCTGCATAACAAGGTCCAAGCCCTGACTCTTTGAATCTACCCCAGTTGATGGGTTGAATGATGACCCAGTGGTTCTTTGCAAGTGCCAGCATCAGGGTTTGACATGGCTGGGGCCCTGCCAAGGCCCGTTCCTCAACAGGGACTACCACTGCCGGCCCTGGAGCCTTCTGGCGCTGCTGCTACTGCTGCTCCTCCTGCCTGTGCACCTTCTGCCTCTGAACCAGAGTGCAGTGATAGGCACAAGCAAGAGAACCAGCAGCCTCTCCCTGGCAGGCAGTGTGTATTGGGCCTGGAAGAGGAAGATACGACCATGGGCAGCAGCAACAGAAGCAAGGCAAGCATTAGCCTGCTGAAGACATCTAGCCCAAAGCCATCATCTTCGCCAACTCCCCCCTTCTGCCTGGAGCTATCTTTGGCTTCTGGCGAAGGTAGCAAAATAAGGGTCTTCGAATAAAGCTGCCCATATTTATTTTAAAGCTTAGGATTGTACCCAGGGCTAGTCTTACTCAGAGCAGATCCATTTAAATCAATGGGCATGGCAAACTTAGACTCATTAATTAAAATAGAACTATTCATGGTAGAGCTTAGTTGGATTCAACCTATTCATAACCCATGCTTTCACTGTATAAAGCTGCCCCAGAGCAGGTAGCAAAGAAAATGTGTTAAACCTCAATACTTAATAAAACCAACAATGCTAAAAATGCCAGCTATAAACAATCATTCCTTATAACAGAGGTGGGGAACCTCCAGCCTGTAGGCCAATTTTAGCCCGCCAGAGAGTCCAGTTTGGCCCACAAGGACCTTCCCCCCCCAAATGCCCACCCGCCCATCAGCTGGCGCCAGAGGGATTGCAACCCCATCCAGAACAGGCAATATGTGTAATTCCTAGATCCAGCAACTTCTCATCTATAGTGCCTCTGTCTTGTTGGGATTCAGTCTCTGCTTGCTAGCCCTCACCCTGCCCATCATCACATCCAGACAACCATTGCATGTTACTGAGAGGCGTATTGCTGTGAGATTGCTGATGCCCATCGCAAGCAGCCAGTTTAGTGGTTTTCCCGCTTGTGGTACCTGAAAGTCAAGGCCTGCCCACTGTGGGTGGGGCTACTTCCCATTTCAGTTTTGATGTGCAGCTCTCAATTTGGGAGCCAGGATGTGGCATGTGAGAATGTTGAAATAGCTCCACTCCAGGTTTCAGGGCCGCCTTGGTATCCATTCTTTGTGCATTCCCATCCTAACAGAATTAAAATGCTGGAGTTGAACTTGCCCAGGCTGTGTAAATCATGCAAATTCCCTTATTTTGCATAATTCATTCTAGTTTTGCTGACCATGGGCATGGGCACCAATGCCCTACTGCTGTTCATTAGGCTTCTATGATTCAGCAGCAGGGATTGCCTACACTTTCAAGCATTTCTTCATGAACCTAAAGGCTAGAAACTTAACTTAGGAGTTGGATAGCAAAAACAGATGCTCAGGAAGCCACTCCTAATATCTCATTCTGTGCTCTTTCTCCCCACTCCCATGCTTCCACGTAATCTCAATGTGCCCACAGCTCTGACTCTGCCAAATAGAAAAAGCTTTGAAAACAAACAAACAAACAAACAAACAAACAAACAAACAAACAAACAAACAAACAAACAGGGATTGGTTCTGCATCTCCCAAACCTGAGGTGTTACAAAGGACAGGTTGGTTAAATGTGATTGGCCACAGTTCCCAAAGAGTTGAACTGTGCCTGTGTGTTATAATTGCATTATCTAAGTGTTGTCGTCCTGATCCCAACGGCTGTGGATGTTACTGCCTTGGAAGCTGGGAGCTGGGCAGGATTAGAGACACCCAAGGCATTAGATGCCAGACACCCGTTGGCTAACCTAGCTGTGTCATGTAAAATCACCTGCAAAAGTGCCCCCCTCCCCTTCATTCCATCCGAGCTTGGAGGTACGTTATCTTTATTTTAACTGCCTGCCTCTTCCCTGGTGGAGAGAGATGACTTTCTCAGTGGCTGTAACCCGATTGTGGAACTTGTTCCCAAAGGAGGCTAGGCTGTGCCCCTACCTTTTTTGCTTTTGCCGGTAGGCTGAAAGTGTTTTGTTTAGCCCATTCACTGACTGTTGTGGCAGGGTCTTTTGAGGTTAGCATACCCTTCAACATCTCTCAATGGAAATAGGGACATCCTATTCCATCATCATCATCATCATCATCTTTTTATTATTTACAGTGAGGGGGGAAAGTATATGATCCCCTGCTAAATTTGCCCGTTTGCCCTCTGACGAAGAAATGGCCAGTCCATAATTTTAATGGTAGGTTTATTGTAGCTGTGAGAGACAGAATACCATTAAACCTACCATTAAAATTATGGAATGGTCATTTCTTCGTCAGAGGGCAAACGGGCAAATTTAGCAGGGGATCATATACTTTCCCCCCTCACTGTATATCCTGCCCATATGACAGAGTTGCCCCAACTACCCTAGGCGACTTCCAACATATATACAAACATAATAAAACAATAAACATTTTAAAACTTCCCTATACAGAACTGTCTTCAGATGTCTTCTAAAGGTTGTATAGCTACTTATCTCCTTGGCTCAGGGGTTGCATAACTCTGTATCCTACAACACTTCTCTGATGAAAATAGGGACATATTAAGGAAAAGTGGGGCATTCCAGGATTACATCAGCTTCCGTAAATCTGGGACTGTCCCTGGAAAATAGGGACACTTGAAGAGTGTGGTGTAGTGTTTGCAGGTGGGGGGGGGGTTATTCCATTTGCAGGGCCATCTGGGCTCGACAAGGCTTGTGTAGCAAATAGTGAGTTCAGTTGGGTAGGTGCAGCCAGATAATTGTCTAATTGCCCAGTAGTTTGTTTGCAACTCAGGCTAAGCCACTGAGGGGCAGAAACAATGCTATACAGTCATACCTTCGAAGTTGAACGGAATCCGTTTGACTTCCAAAACGCTCAGAAACCAAAGTTCCTGCAGTCAATCCGAAGCAGTGGAAGCCCCATCGGACGTTCGGCTTCCAAAAATATTTCGCAAACCCAAACAGTCACTTCTGGGGTTGCGGCGTTTGGCAGCCAAAACGTTTAAGACCTAAGCTGTTCAAAAACCAAGGTACGACTATATTTGCAGTCTTCCTTCTCAACACTGAGGCGTTCGTGTGCTTTTGTAGCTGATCTAAGATATATGTATGCCATCTTAACCTGTCTGCTGTTTGCCACTGAGTAAGAATGTCAACCCGGACCCCCATGCCAGTGTAGCATCCTAGGTAGCAGACAGCTGTGTGTTTTGCTTTTTGTTTCTAAATGAAAACAAACACCTCCCAACCTTTTTTGCAGCTTGAAAAAGCAAAGGAATGTACATATGTCTGTATTCAAAAATGCATTTGTATATTTGATACAATATTTGTATTTCACTTTTCCAACAACAAATGTTGAACTCAAAGCAGTTCAGAATATTAACAATAGCATAAAAAACAAACACTGCAATCATCATAATATCAAACAAAATAGTGTATAAATAAAGCAAACAGCAGCAACAAGGTCATCAATGCAATTAATACAATTCAGTAAAGTCATAGTAATTCATAGTGTTGCCATGATACTTTCTAATCACATGGAACCTTACTCCAGAACAAACAAACAAAAAATGGATTAGCTGTGGCCTCTTAGTTATCAAATGCACTGTTTTTAACACTTCAATGGATGGGAAGGTCTTCACTGTACATGAACTGTAGACACTTACATGGAACTATATATTTACAAAACCATTTGGGGTGGGTGGGTAAGGTCATTGTGTCACTGGTGGCTGGTGATCAGCTTTGGATATAGCTGGAGAAGAATATTTATTCATTTATTTATTTATTTGCTTCACAGCCGCCAGACCCCTGAACAAGAGACAGCATGGTTTGCTAGCTATCTGACTGAGTGCCTGGCTTTCACGATGCCTGTGCAGGCGGCTCAGTGGACAGAGTTCCTGTCCTGCCCAATCTGCTACAACGAATTCGACGAGAATGTGCACAAGCCCATCAGCTTAGGCTGCTCACACACGGTCTGCAAGACCTGCTTGAATAAGCTTCACCGCAAGGCCTGCCCTTTTGACCAGACAGCCATCAACACTGACATTGATGTGCTTCCTGTAAACTTTGCACTTCTCCAATTAGTTGGAGCCCAGGTAAAGGAAAGGAGCTTGTTTTGGTTAGAATTTATACCTCTCAAAATAATAATTATAATTATAATAATATCAGGTCTGATCCTCCTGTGAATTTTTGCTTGTGTACAGGAGCTGAAAAAACACACTGGGAGTTCAAATACCTTAACTGGAAATAGATGGAGAAGGGAATCTCTCTCTTTTTTAGCTGTTCTTTCCATAAGGCAAGCAGATGCTGGGGACAGTGGAGGCAGCCTCCTTGCTGGTGCTCCTAACCCCCGTTTTCTGGCCATTCCCCTTGGTTGAAGGGCAGCACTGTACATGCTACATGGCATATACTGGCCCTCCTGAGCCAGCTTGTTGCCACAGGGTAGGAAGTGGAGAATGGGCTTGGGATGGGTGTTCATCCATATGCAGATGATACCAAGCTCTACCTCTCAGTATACCTGAAGGAGTGTTTCCATTCCCACCATTCAGCCCGGACACTCAGGTCCAGCTCCGAGACCCTTCTGGTGGTTCCCTCCCTGCGAGAAGCCAAGTTACAGGGAACCAGGCAGAGGGCCTGTTCGGTAGTGGCACCCGCCCTGTGGAACGCCTTCTCATCAGATGTCAAGGAAATAAACAGCTATCTGACTTTTAGAAGACATCTGAAGGCAGCCCTGTTTAGGGAAGTTTTTAATGTTTGATGTTTTATCATGTTTTTAATATTCTGTTGGGAGCCGCCCAGAGTGGCTGGGGAAACCCAGCCAGATGGGCGGGGGTATAAATAATAAATTAATATTATATTATTATAATTATGTGGGCAAGCCCTGTGCCATATACTTAAAGTTTGATTATAGTTGGGGATTAAAGTTGACAAGCCAAAGGCCAGGCAGAAAAGGGGGGGTCTCAAGGAGAAGAGAGAGAGGAGGCACCCTATACTTGTTAATTTCATAGCAACCTTGTTTGCATGTACTGCTAAGCCAAACCATGGCTTTCTGCAGAGGTGCAGGCTTCCAGAGAGGGAATGGTGGCTAATTTGCACCTCCAGTAATTTTGTTGCTGCATTAAACTAAGCCATGGTTTGGTTTAGCATGTTGTCTGAACCTGGGCTTGTGGTTTAGCTTGCCTGGAAAAATATTAGCATTATATGGAAACCGTGCCAGTATGTTTCCATTTAATAGTTCTGATATTTCATTAGTTTTATTCCTTCTGTTTCATTGGCCTTTTGTTTTGTTGCCTTCTTTGCCTTCAGTTTCAGGTGAAGGGCTTATCTGCACTTATCTTTTGCCCCACTTTTTCCAAGTACAAGTCCGCGCTTAAAAGCTCCATTTCTGAGTGTGAGGATTTTTTTGCCTTGAAGCTTTCCCCCTGAAAACCCACTCTTTAATGCTCAAGCAGAGCAAATGTCAACTCAAGTTTTCTGCAAATTGCTGTTTGGTCTGATTAAGCTTTAAAGAGCAGCTTTTCACAGGGAAAGCTCCGGGGGGGGGGAGTGGGGGCGCTCTGACATGGAGCTTTAAAGTGCAGACCATGCCTGGAAAGAGCAGAAGAAAGGTAAGTGCGGATAAGCCCCAAGAAAGGCTTTCCTCAAATAACAAAAGTGTTTAAATCACATTTTGATACATCAACATTTTGTTTCCTCACAAACTGCATGCATTGTCTGCATGTACTTTTGTAAACCAAGAAAACCTTTAATAAAAAGTATTCTCTCTCTCTCTCTCTCTCTCTCTCTCTCTCTCTCACACACACACACACACACACACACACACCCCTAGTGGTATCTTAAAGGCATGAAATCTTATGCTAGGTCTGGGTCTAATCAAATAAGCAAGCATTGCTGCTTATTGTCAAGTCAGATTTTTAGTGGCAGCTCTTTGATCTTGCATAATTCCAGAATTAGGGTGCTTGTTGAGAAATGGTGCATAATTTCCTGCAGCATCACATTAATGGTGTGTATCTCTCTCCATTCTTTGATAACAAATTACACACTGGTCACTGCTTCTTCCTTTCTGCATTTGACCTGTACAGGCACCTGATCACCAGACCATCAAGCTAAGCAACTTAGGAGAGAACAAACACTATGAAGTGGCAAAGAAATGTGTTGAAGATCTGGCACTTTATTTGAAGCCACTAAGTGGAGGCAAGGGTAAGTTCCCCCATGAGGTAGTGAAAGAAGCCGGTCAAGCTGGTGTCCTTTTCAAATTGAAGGTTTTAAATATGAATCGCACATGGTGGGAAGCTGCCTTCGGCCACATCAGACTGCTTGTTCATCTTGTCAGGTTCCAGGACACCAGGAGGGCCCTTTTGGATCCCAGTAAAGACCCACAAGCAAGGCATGAGCGCAATAGCCCTGTTCCACTATTGTTCTCCTGCAAGTGGTATTCAGAGGCATGGGGTTTCTTTCATCCTCTTAGTAGTATATAGCCACACGGAAGGAGATTAGTTAATTTGTCAACTGCCTTTCCCTGATGCCCAGGTAGAAATAGGCAATTCTGCCAGTTTCGGTTTCTCTCATTTTCTCATTTTCCTAACTTTTAGTTTGATTCAGTCCATTTATTTGTGATTGTTTGCAGTAAAAAAAAGGGGAAAAAGGGCAGCGTCTTCAGGGAGAATCTGTGTGCATCTGCATGCTTGTTTCTCCTAATATATACAAATTGTACACAATTTTGCCTAGTATTTTCTGTTTTCTCCTAATTGCATTTTTGTTCATATTTTTCCTAAATATATCCATTACTGTATAAGTGTATTTTTCACTAACATATTCATCATTATATGCACTGCACTGTAAAATTCAGAAACAGACAATATTCAGAGACATCAAAGGATAGTGTGTGCTTTGATTTGTTTTGTATTTTATTAATTCAGGAAGTGCAAATGTAGTAGGTTCATATAGAAATGTAAACTGAATGAATTCTGCACCACCCCACCCCACCCCACCTGCTACCAAAATCTGTGCATTTCACATGCCATTGTGCCCCACCTGCTCACTGAGGAAATCCTTGCCTTTCACATTGAGTAGAAGGCCTCCCTGCTAACCTTTCTGCTTTTGTTCCTCCTTCTGAAGGCATTGCCAGCCTGAACCAGAGCGCACTGAGCCGGCCTATGCAACGGAAACTGGTGACACTAGTGAACTGTCAGCTGGTGGAAGAGGAAGGCCGGGTCAGGGCCATGCGGGCAGCCCGCTCCCTCGGGGAGAGAACTGTCACTGAGCTGATATTGCAGCACCAGAACCCTCAGCAACTGTCTGCCAATCTCTGGGCCGCTGTCCGGGCACGAGGGTGCCAGTTCCTCGGTCCAGGTAACCCCTAGCTGGAGTAAATAGAGAGAGGGACTTGTCAGAGTGAAGCACTGAGGCCACAGTCCTGTACATGCTTACCTGGGAGCAAGTTCCCTTGGAACTAAGACTCATACTTCTGAATGGATACATCGGGGATTGGGCTGTTCATCACTCAGACACTATTTGAGAAAACTTCCTACCAGGTCCCCACCTTGGGGTAGAAGCTGGTGGGCTCTGTTTATTTTTGGAACAAATAATTTAAGTTCCCAGCCTTCACTGTTGTGAAGGTTCAGGCAAAGAATAGTTTGGGCCTACATCCTTTAACCTGCTATGGTTTGCCCTTGCTTTTTCTAGACCCTAAATAACGTCAACCTATGGCTTTCTAGCTATGCAGGAAGAAGCCTTGAAGCTGGTGCTGCTGGCCTTGGAAGACGGCTCAGCCCTCTCCAGGAAAGTCTTGGTGCTTTTCGTTGTCCAGAGGCTGGAGCCAAGATTCCCCCAGGCATCCAAAACCAGCATTGGCCACGTGGTACAGCTTCTATATCGAGCCTCATGCTTCAAGGTGCAGTGCTTTCGAGTTTCTCATTTCTAATCTGTTTTAACTGTTTTTAATTCTGAAATTTACATCGTTGTAGCCCACCCTAGACCCTGCTGGTAAAGTAAATTTCATAGTAAAAAAAATCATTCTAGGTTTTCTGCAGCTAGGCAACTCATAGTTAGCAAAGTTGCTTTTAATGAAATATTGGTTACGATACCTCAGAAAATGTTAGGGTAGTTTAGTAATGAGAATTAACTCATGAGAAATCTTTGTAGTACTATCTCTCTGACCACTTCTTTTAAAACTTCAAAGGAAGACCAGTGCAAAACTAATATATTTTTCAAAAAGTTTGGTTCTATCCATTTATTATTATTATTATTTATTACATTTGTTATTTGATTTATCTTCTCCAAGGTCAGCCAAAGCACCTGACCACCATCTGGGTCTGAGTAGAGGCAGTGGTTCCCTACCCTAATGACAAGTCTGTGTCAATTTTATAAAAGTTTAAATCTATGCAATGAGAGCATAGTATTGTTCATGACAGCAGTAACTGGTTATAACACAATAATCATGGGGTGCATTCCTTTCCATCAAATGCACTTTTGGATATGCATGGGGGGTATCAGCATGCATTCTGCTGAAAGGTAGTGTGGTTCAGATGGACTATGTCTGCACATGGATGCAGCCCCACAGTCCTTTAAATTGATATTTGAGTGCACTAGGCGTGGAGTGCCTGGCGTGCTCTGATCCATGGGGTCATGAAGAGTCGGACATGTCTAAATGACTAAACAACAACAACAACAACAACAGGCATGTTTGTTCATTGACTGATTTGTGTAGGTCACCAAAAGAGATGAAGATTCTTCCCTGATGCAATTGAAAGAGGAATTTCGCAGCTATGAGGCATTGCGTAGGGAACATGATGCTCAGATTGTCCACATTGCCATGGAAGCCGGCCTTCGGATATCACCAGAGCAGTGGTCTTCCCTACTCTATGGAGACCTGGCGCACAAATCCCACATGCAGTCCATTATTGACAAGGTGTGTAGCGGCTACAGAATAGTTGCTTTTTATTTCGTTTTCTCTGAAATACAGCACTACGTCTGGTGATGAAGCTGCATAGGGCAGATTCTGAGCTGAGAGATACAACCTCTCAGCACTGATCCTCAATTCATGCAACCTGAAGACGTGCTGTTAATTATGGAATATTTCTCTCCTGCCTACACCTTCGGCTCAGGTCAATCAAACAGCAACCATTTTATAGAACAAAAACTAAAATACATAACGAATAAGATTTGGGAATGGGGAGCAGGGAAGAGATTTGATGTTTCTTGATCCACAAAAATATGTGTGGAGAAAGTGGGTAGAAATAAGCTCTTATAATACTAAAACTTGGAGCCATCCAATGAAACAGAACAGAAGAGTCAGGCTGGAGAAGAGGAAGTATTTCTTCACACAGTGCATAATTAAATTATGGGATTTGCTCACACAAGACGTAGTGAAGATAAGACAAATTCATAGAAGATAAGTCTTATCAGTGGCTACAAGAAAAAATGGTTATGTTCTCTCTCTACTGTTGGAAACTGCAGGCCTCTAAATACCAGTTGCTAGGAACTGCAAGTGGGGAACCTGCTTTTGTGCCCAGGTCCTGCTTGTGGGCGTCCCAGGAGAGGCATCTGGTTGGCTGCTGAGAGATCAGGATGCCGGACTAGATGGTCTGATCCAGCAGGGCTCTTCATAGGTTCACAGTAGAATTTCCTTCATATAACGCAAAGCAGTACAGGATTCCTTTTGGTGTACCAACCTCCCCGCTGCACCAAGGATTCTTATGTTTTATTGTATTTTTAATATTCTATTGGAAGCCGCCCAGAGTGGCTGGGGAAACACAGCCAGATGGGCGGGGTATAAATATATTATTATTATTATTATTATTATTATTATTAAAGCACTTGTTTGTTTCTTTTCTTTAGCTTCAGTCCCCAGAATCCTTTGCAAAAAGTGTGCAGGAGTTGACCATTGTTCTGCAACGTACGGGTGACCCTGCAAATTTAAACAGGCTTCGTCCCCATTTGGAGCTATTGGCCAACATAGATCCTAATCCAGGTTTGTGAATGGTCTGCATGTGTACTTGAGCATGCACACTCGCATTTTGTTTTACATTCCTTCCTTACAAAAGGAGAGGGATAGTTTTATTTCCCTTTTCACTGTATACTGGGGGATTTCTTTCTTAGTTGTTTTACTCACAGCAAGATTTGTGCATGTCATGGGAAACCTAGATATACTGTATTTTTTCACTCTATAAGACGCACCAGGCCACAAGAGTTTTTGGAGGAGGAAAACAAGAAAAAAATAAATCTGAATCTCAGAAGCCAGAACAGCAAGAGGGATCACTGCGCAGTGAAAGCAGCAATCCCTCTTGCTGTTCTGGCTTCTGGGATAGCTGCGCAGCCTGCATTCGCTCCATAAGATGCACACACATTTCCCCTTACTTTTTAGGAGGGAAAAAGTGAGTCTTATAGAGCAAAAAATACGGTACTTTTGTCACATGGGACAATCTTTATCTTGTTCTGTGTGGTTTCCTCCACAGGAGTGTGTTCTTTGTAGTAACCTGGTACCTGCTAGATGTCGTTAGACTACAAATCCCATCAACCCTGACCCCTTGCCTGCTGTCTGGGGCTGATGAGAGTTGTGGTCCAAAACATATAGAGGACATCCGGTAAAGGAAGCCTGGTTGGTTGGTTGGTTGGTTGGTTGGTTGGCTGGTTAGTTGGTTTAAGTTATATACCAGCCTTCATCTGATTATCACAGGATGGTTTATGGTATAAGAACACAAAAATACATAACATGATAACAAATAAAACAATAACACTCCTCCATTCAAACATACATCATTTAAAAGGCCATCAATTATTTAATTAGCGAAAGGTCTGGGAGAAGAGGAATGTTTTTGCTTGGTGCCTAAATATATGTAGAGAAGATGCTAGGTGGTCCTCTCTGGGGAGAGCATTCCACAAGTGGGGAGCCACCACAGAAAAGACTCGTACTCATGGTTTCACCTCCAGACCTCTCATGGAGGGGGCACACAAAGAAGGGCTCCAGATCATGAGATAAGGGCTTTAAAGCCCTATACGGCCTAGGACCCTCGTACCTACGGGACCGCCTCTCCTGGTATGTCCCACAGAGGAACTTACGGTCTGCAAATAAAAACATCCTGAAGATCCCAGGCCACAGAGAGGTTAGGCTGGCCTCAACTAGAGCCAGGCTTTCTCGGCTGCGGCTCCAATCTGGTGGAACGCTCTGTCACAAGAGACTAGGGCCCTGCGGGACCTGACATCTTTCCTCAGGGCCTGCAAGACAGAGCTGTTCCACCAGGCCTTTGGTCAGGGCGTAGCCTGCCCCCTCCTCTGGCAATCTGCACAGAATTTTGCTTAATGGTTGCCACCAATTTGATTTTAATTAATTTTTATAATGAAATGTTTTTAGAACGTTGGATTATTTTGATTGTTGTTAGCCGCCCTGGGCCCAGCTTCGGCTGGGGAGGGCGGGATATAAATAAAATTTATTATTATTATTATTATTGGGTTGGTTCATATGGGGAGAGGCAGTTTATGCAGTTGCCAACTGTGAGATAGTAGAAGTGGTAGAGAGGCCCAATCACAGATCTGGGAAAACAAAACTTTAGGACTCCAGTTTGGCTCTACAAGAAAAATACTGTGAGAAAATGACGCCATGACAGTTGAGCATCCGTGTAGCCTGGTGGGAATTTTGGCACCAGCAGAGCTCCTGGATTGTTTCTGCTTAGCTCAAGAGAAAAGTTGTAACTGACCAAAAAATGTGGTGCATTCCTGTTTGCTGCCGATAGCTCACTTTCCCCTTCCTCCTCTTTTGCTGCTCCCACAGATGCAACATCTCCAACATGGGAACAACTGGAAAATGCCATGGTGGCTGTGAAGACCGTTGTCCATGGCCTGGTGGACTTCATTCAGAATTACAGTAGGAAAGGCCATGAAACTCCACAGGTGACTGACTGATATTATTTAGCTGGTTGTTTTTAGCTTGCTTTTTGGCCAATAAAGGGGCCTTGACTGAGGGGCAGAGCGCCTGCTCCACATACAGAAGTTCCCAGGTTCAGTCCCCGGTCTCTCCATACAGGGCTGGCTGGGGAAAAGACATCTGTTTGAAATCCCAGAGAAGGTGTTGGCAGCTTCCTGAACTGGGAATAATAATTTTATTATTTGTATTCTGGCCCTCTGACTGGGTTGACCCAACCACTCTGGGCAGTTAAGATTTGACCTGTAGATTTGGGATGTGAATAAAATTGTAAGATATATGGTGGTCCACAGTTTTCTGGCCCCCACTGAGGGGGAAGACCTCTGGCTGCACATTTTGAGGGTAAAATCATTCAGCTTCAGAGAGACATTGGTTCCACAGCTGCTGCAGGCCTTTATGTAGGGCTTCCCTTGTGCTTTGTCCGGAAAATGCATTTAGCGCAGAATGCTGCTGCATAATTCCTGATGGGACCAAGAGTCTCTCAGGATCTTCACCTGTGCTCAGAGATTTGCACCTTCTGCCAGTTCACTACCAGGCTGAGTTCAAGGTGTTGTTCTTGGTATTTAAAGCCCAGAACAACATGGGACTAGTTTCTTAAGCAATCGCCTTATCCCATATATGTCAAATTGGTCATGCGCTTCTAAAAGTGCCACAAAATGTCTGCTCTTTGTTTTTAAGAAGTCATTCCTTGGTTGTGGTGGCTCTGCACTTTTAGACTCCTGCTGATTCCCCCCCCCCCCCGTTTTGTCAGGCCTGCCTGAACACATGATTTGGGTATAGCTGTTCCTACATTTGTTTTAGGTGGTTCGTTGTGTTTATTATTATTAGATGTGTTTGAATGTTTGGAATCTGTTTTTAGTGTGCTTTTAATTACTTATTATTACTGTGTTTGCCACCTTGGGCTCCTCCCTTGGGGAGAGAAGGGAGATTGCACCTCTTGTCTCCCCCTGCCATAGGCAGCTGGGTCCAAGGGACTAAAGAAAAGTATATTTTAAAATGATTCAATAAGGTACATCTGTATCCAAGTATTAGAATTTATCTAATCTAGGAATGCCCACCTGCTGCCATGACTGTTGGTGGTAAAGAGGTGGTGCTTGTGTCTTTTTTGCGGGTGGCCAGAGGCATCCGGCTAACTGCTCTTAGGAACCAAAGTATTAAGCATGGACCATGTGTCATTTCATTTTTACGATCAGCATTAATCTGCAACACTCTAGGATCCTTTTTGGCCCACAGGAATTAGAACAACAACAAAAGAGAAAGATGTAATAGTGTTTATCTGTTCTAGCTAACTTTTTCGGTATAAGAATAAATGTAGAATTAAAAATATATATATGAAGAAAAATTAAAACAAGAAAGAAAAGAAAGGAACCAATGATCCGTGGGCCAAATAGATCTTTGGGGCTGTCCATAGGGATAGTTGCTGGGGGTTTGTTTTAACTGCTTGGAAGTAGCTTGCTGCTTGTTCCTTGGATTCCTGGGGGCTGGCACTTGTGGGCTTTTCTAGGGTAGGAGCCAGAGGCAGGCAGTGACTCTCCTGGTTGGTTCTCTTTTCTGATGCTGCCTGGCATATTCTTAACACCTCCTGGTTGGAGGCAGTAAGGCTTCCAAATACCAGTGGCTTGAAGCCACAGGGCGGGAGAGGGAGTGCGCCTGTTCTGCTTGCGAGTTTCCCACAAGCTTCTGGTTGGCCACTTAGATGGGCCAGATGCTGGACTTAGATGGGCCACTGGCTCATGGCTCTTCTTATGTTCTCTCAGCGTGGTTGCATGTTGAACTAACAGAACTATGAAAGTTCTCATGCTTAACTGACCAGCAGATTCCAACTAAAAATCAGGAAGAGCTTTCTGACCGTAGGAGCTGTTCGACAGTGGAACAGTCTCCCTTGGAAAGTGGTGGGCTCTCCTTCATTGGAGGCTTTTAAGCAGCGGTTGGGTGGTCACATCTCAGGGATTCTTTAGCTGTGATTCCCGCATTGCATAGGGTTGGACTAGATGACCCTCAAGGTCCCTTCCAAATCTACAATTCTTCAATTTTATGGTGAGTACAGAACCCAGCACAGCTGTCAGTAAGGCGAAAGTCTTGCAAATGCGGTCCTCTCGTTCTAGTGGCGTCAGCAACAACTCTGGTGGGGATTTATTCCAGGCTTGGTTTATGTAATGCAATGTTTTCCCTCCCTCTCTCCCTCTTTCTTTTTGAAAGCTGCAACCAAATAGCAAATACAAAACAAGCATGTGCCGTGACCTGCGACAGCAAGGCGGGTGTCCGCGAGGGACCAACTGCACTTTCGCTCACTCTCAGGAAGAGCTGGAGAAGTAAGTACTGGGAAGTGGGGGAGGAGCAGGAACTCTCCCTAAGCTGGTGGATGCGTTGCAGCAGAGGCTTGATGCACAGTGTTCCCTGAATGCAGGGATGGGCAGCCTGCTGCCCTCCAGGTGTCATTGGACTCCAGCTCCCTTTGGCCCCAGACCGAGGAAGGTGGAAGTGGGTGGGTGGAGAAATATTGCAGCTCAATAATACCCTGTGGATTCAGCCTGGATGGTCAATAAGATCCAGACTCCAACTGCCAGGCAAACAGGACATTTATGTAGGCATTGTAAGGCCAGTGCGACACAACCTCAGCCAGCAGGTAGTTGAGAGGTAGCACCCAAATATGAAAGAAAAAGAAACCCCACAAGCATTTATAGGTTTACAAGCAAAGGGGTGGCTGTGTCCATATATGGCAGCACTTCCTTATACTGGCTTCTACTGGCTTAATCTCAAGGCACAGCAACTTTCTTAATTTCCACTCCTTTCTTTGTCCTTAACCTTAACCGTGGTAGCAGTAGCTTCTACATACATGTCGTCCTTCTCTCGCAGTTTCCTTGCAGACAAAACCTTCACTTCACTTAGCCCTTTTCACATGCATTTCAATTTTCTTTAGTTTTAAAATCGCTTTTATAATTTTATTTTCCTACGCACATCTTTCCCTTAATGCAGGGATGGGCAGCCTGCGGTCATTCAGGTGTTGTTGGACTCCACTCCCATTGACTCCAGACCAGGGAAGATGGGAGTGGGTTGTCATCCAACAGCAGTTGTAGTTCCCCCATCCCTGACTCTCTCTCTGGCCTCTTGTTCCATCCTGAGAGGCCTCCTTTTGTTCTGAAGCCATGCCAACATCTCAGTGTGAGAGTAATTCCTGATCTCTTTTGCCGTTAAGATGGCAGGTACGCTTGGAGGAGGGAACATTTGGCCCTCCAGAAGTTGCTCAACTACAACTCCCATCATCTCTGGCTACTGACCATCAGTTGGGGGGCTGATGGGAGTTGTGGTTCAGCAACATCTGGAGGGCCAAAGGTTTTCTACACTTGCGCTAGCAGGTCTATTTAGCTGGACAACACCCTCATATTTCATGTAAATATGTTGACGTCCCTTCCTTTGACAATGCCTCCCCCTGCAAAAAAAGTATTTGGCCTAGCTAAATCATGAAATTCTTTAAATGATAGCAAGCTTTCCAAAATGTTCAATCTCATCTTCATTTAAGTCATAAGTTTAAGATACTAACATTACTTCCTTTGCTATCTAATCCACTGGGTTTCCATCGAATTCCTTATCTGCACAGTATGTTATTTTCCTGCATTGAAGAATGCACCGTAAGTGAATTTGGACAAAAAATTTTGGCACTGACAAAGATTGCTTAGCTAAAAACAAACTGAAAAGTGGCAGCGATTTTTTTTTTTTTTAAATCACGAGGCTGAATAAATTCTGTTCAGCATACTTAACATACCATGAGAGACAGTCAAGCAATAATGATAAAGATTATCCAACAAGCTTATTACACAGCAAGAGTCTTACAAGGTAATACAAAAGATGCCACAGCATGAAGAGTGAAAAGGCTTTAAATATGCAATTTTACAATTTTCTATCATTTTAAAAATTGAATTAACTACTAATGGATTATTATTTTGAAATGTAAATAAAACCAGTTAAAAAACAAAAAAAAAAAAACACCAGGTGTAACGCTGAAACCTTTCTCAAATTACTTTTGGCTCTTTCAGAAACAGTCATCTGCCTCTAATTTGAATAGGAGCTCCCCTTGCTCAGATTTGTAGGGGGGATAGAGCTAGAGCCAGAGAACTGTGGGGCAGACTGGAGGAGGGAAGTTGGTGGGGGTCTCGGCAGTGACCCTTCCTTCAAGACAACTCAAAAGGATCTAGCTTTGGGGATGGCTCCCTGATGTCCAGTCTCCCTTTGGTTTGAGTGTTCCTGGAACATCTTCAGATGCTGCGGCAAGCCCTATCCAATTTATCATCACCATCACCATCCATTTATTTATTAAATTTGTATATTCATCCATAGATCTCAAAGTGGGTCACAACATAAAAATACAAGAAAACCCCCACAAAACATATAATAACAATAATAACAAACCAATAATAATCCCTGCCTCCCACAACACGTTTAAAAGGGCATTGAATGTCTGTCAGCCAAAGGCCTGGTCGAAGACCATTTTCACCTGCTGCCAAAAGATGTATAATGAAGGCGCCAGCCTTTCTACCACACAGTTCCAATTTAAGAAATAATAAATGGGCTTTTCTGAGCAAGCTGAGGCCCATACACATGTGGAAGCTGTTCTCCATATGCATGCTTTCCGGAACTGGCAAAGCTGACACACAGATTCCAGGAAATGGACAATAGGGATTTTGAAAAAGAGTGGGAAACTTTTATATTATATTTGCAGAAACAAAGAAAGAATATTGACCTGATGGTAGGATTTAAATAAACATTCACCACTTTATGAATAGGGAACAGATAATGTAATAAAAGGAAAAATATGATATTTGTAGAAAACAGCAGAATATACGAATGAGGTTAATAAATCAAAAATGGAAGTTGAGGGAAGTCCAAAAGGGGGGAGGGAGAGATGTGATGTAAGCTGTATGTTATAAGTATATTTGTAATGAGAGAAAATAAAATTAATAATAATTTTTTTAAAAGACATATGCCTGCTTTCCAAGTATCCCGATTTTCCAGGCACAGCCCCAGAATTTCAGAAGCCGTCCCTGTTTCTGATTTGATCGCAGAATGTCTGTTTTCCTTTTCCTCCCCTCCTTATCTCGGAAAACAATTAAAAGGGGTGTGTGTAGAAACAAAAACGGAGTCTTGTTTATACTAAAAATAACATACCAGCACCAAATGAAGGAAACGGCGAAGCTGGCATAATAAAGCCCTTCCTGTAACTTTGAAGGGAAATGTCACCTAAATTCACATGCCCACTGCTTTATTGCAACCACAGGTATCGGCTGAGGAACAAGAAGATCAGTGCCACAGTGAGAACCTTCCCCCTGCTAGGCAAAGCCAGTGTCACGAGTGCAGTATCCACCACGACAGGAAGCATCATTTCCATCATGGGAAGCGCGGAGAGCTCTGGGAAGATGTCACAGAGCACTAACGGCATTGTGAGCCTGGAGAGTGGCAGCCCCCAGCTGATCCCACGTTGCTCTGACCCCTCGTCCATGATGGTGTTGGAGAACGTGAAGAAAGCGGGGAAAGCTGGAGCCAATGGACAGAACACCCCGGGCTCCTTGGCAGACCCTCTCTCTGAAAAGTATGTGCCATGCTTGAAAGAAGGAACATAGCTCAGCGGCAGAGCATCTTTCTTGCATGCAGAGGGTCCCGGGCTCAGTCCCCAGTGGCATCGCCAGGTAGGGTAGGGAGAGGCTCCCTGCCTGAAACCCTGGAGAGCCGGTGCTGCCATTCAGTGTAGACAGTACTGATCAAGATGGACCTGTGGTCTGGCTCAGTATAATGCAGTTTCCTATGTTCCCTCTGTTCCCATTACTCCCCCATGAACATGCTGTTTTTCCATGCAGGAGGCAATTCCTCTTCTCAAAAAGGCCCCTGCTGTGATGTGTGCAGCCAGCCTGGTCAGTAGCCAGAAATGGTGGGAATTGGGGGTCCAGCAACATCTGGAAGGCCCCAGGCTCCCCATTCCTGCCGTGACTGAAAGCAAAGAGGGAATGCTTTTTAAAACCAACATTAGAGGTTTTGTCTACATGCCTAAATTTAAAAAGTTACCCCGAGATTTCTATAATTCAAGAGACAGCCTAAATTTAATCTCTCTCTTTCTAAATTTCTTCCAGTAAAATTGGTTCCCTTTCGAAGACTCCTGTCAGTCAGGTGGCAGCTACCTCAGCAGGTCCTCCTCCGCCGCCGCCGCCTCCTCCTGTGGGCACAGAGATGAACTCCATCACGCCCCAAGTTGGCCCATTTGCTGCTCGAATGCCTGTCTACCCGCCTCACTCCGACAGCCTCCAGTATTTTCAAGATCCCAGAACCCACCTCTCCTATGAACCCCAGCAGTACCCGCAAGCAGGTGAGGCACTGACAGGGCACTCAAGCAGACCTGGCCTTTTCTGTGGCCACCCCTGGATCATGGACCTGGCCATCGGACCTGCTGTCCTTTAAGCCCCAAGTAAGGACAGTCCTCTTCCTTCATGCTTTCAGTGGTGGCCCACACTGGTGGAGTAGAACTTTTATCGCTGTGTGTATAAAATTATGTGTGGTGTGTCTAGAGAGATGTTTTTCTCCCCCTCTCATAATACTAGAACCTAGTGGAGTCATCCAGTGAAGCAGAATGGTGGAAGATTCAGGACAGAAAGGACTTTTTCACTCAGTGTGTAGCTCAAGCTTCCTCAGTCTGATGCCCCAGTACATGACTGTAATGTCTCTTCCAGCCTGGCCATGCCGGCTGGGGCTGATGGGAGTTGTAGTCCAAAGCACCTGGTGGGCACCTGGGGAAAGTTGGCCTAGATGGATTGGTTTCAAAACATCAACTGAAAATGTGCTTCCTAATAAATACTGAGTGGCAGATTTTAACATTTATTCTTTAATACAACTGTATATTCCAAAGAGATGCAAGCCCCTTAAAAAAGGCATTCCCTCTGCTTGCATGGGAGAAAGAAGATGCAACACATGTAACATGTAACCGAGGGCCTTCTCGGTGGTGGCACCCACCCCGTGGAATGCCCTCCCAGCAGATGTCAAGGAAATAAGAAGCTATCCTGTTTTTAAAAGACATCTGAAGGCAGCCCTGTTTAGGGAAGTTTTTCATATTTAATGCTTATTTTTTTTAACACTCGATTGGGAGTTGCCCAGAGTGGCTGGGGAAACTCAGCCAGATCGGCGGGGTATAAATAAATTATTATTATTATTATTATTATTATTATTATTACATGTGTGATATGCTATCTGCAAACAAAACTGACTCCTCTTCTTCCCCCATCCTCTTTTGGAAATATTTTATATACCCATATGCAGATTTAGGCTGCAATTCTTAGGACACTTACCTGGGACTAAACCCCACTAAACATAGTGGAATTTACTTCTGAGTAAACATGCACAGAATTGTGCTGTAAATTGATTAATCAGGTATTTATTAAACAGTTACCAGAGAGGTAGCTGTGTTGGTATATCACAGCAAAATCGACAAAGGGTCTCAGGCTTTGTAGATGGAAAGAATGAAATGTTATTCTGGTTGCACATTAAGGTGGTGGGGTTTTTTCATCAATGCGGTCAGAGGTAAATGAAATTCAGAAAAGTAGACAGTGATAATTATTAACAGTGGTCATTCACAAAAAAGTTGCATTGGTAATACAAGCAGCATCTGTACTGTTCAGATCTCACCCTCCCCCAACTACTTTTATACACACTTGTAGCATAGAAAACATGATGCCATTTTGTTAATGTGTAGGTGCCACAAAGCTGTTGATTTATTTTAAACATTTATAGCTTACCTTTGTGCATGACCACAGGCCTCCAAGACAAGTGATTGTAAGTGTCAGTTAACAGTAGCAACCATTATTGTTCTGTAGTTAATGGCAGTGGAGACTAATGAAGGCTTTGTGGGTGAGTGGGAACCATGATGACAAATGACCCCCTCTCCCCCAACTTTAGCAGCTGTATGTTGTAAAATTCATATAGCTCACTTACTTTTGATTTCTCTTAATTATTTCTACCAATAGCCTTACTCCACTGACAGCAGTTGCCTTATGTCAGTCTACATTGTGGCATATAAAGAAGAGAATATTTCTGGCCCATTTAAATGTGTACAGAGGGGAGAAATTATTATTGGGCTTATATTCTGAGGAGAGGAATGGTTTTTATGCAGACAAGTAAGTTCTGTTCAGCTACCCACCACCTTAATGTGCAACCAGAATAACATTTCATTCTTTCCATCTACAAAGCCTGAGACCCTTTGTCGATTTTGCTGTGATATACCAACACGGCTACCTCTCTGGTAACTGTTTAATAAATACCTAAGATCTGGCAGCTAAGAACACCTGGTCAATGCATGCAGCAAAAACAAGGTGATAGAATTATCTGTACCATTGCAGGCTTCAGGTGGATGGATGGAAGATAATTTTAAAAGAAAACATCTCCCTGCAAGTAGAACACTAGCAAAATTGTAGCCTAGTCTGCTCCCTGCTGTGCCAGTTTTCTGCTTGTGGGGATATCATCATTATTCATTTTTGCATGGGGAAGCATTCAAAATGGATCTGAACATGGTGCAGTCCACACTACTTCCTAATTCTGCTGCATGTGCAGACTGGCCCTAGAATAATGTGAAGTTCTAGGCCAAGCTCAGCAAGTGTCTCTTGTTCCATAGGATACTACCCAGCACCACCGACAGTTCCAGCTGGTGTGGCCCCTTGCCTCCCTCGCTTTGTGCGGCCCAGCAATGTCCCTGAATCCGCACTCCCATCTGCTTCTGTGCCATATGGCGATCATTACAGCGCATTCCCCCCTGGGGACAGATTGAGCTCTCCTTACCAGCCACCACCGCAGCCCTATGGGCCAGTCCCGTCTGGGATGTATGCCCCGCTCTACGACAGCCGGCGGATCTGGCGGCCGCAGATGTACCCAAGGGATGAAATAATCCGGAGCAACTCCTTGCCTCCCATGGACGTCGTCCACCCCACTGCCCACCAGTCCTTCCTGCGAGAGAGATACAACTCTTTGGACAGCTACCATTCCATGGCCTGCCAGTTGCCGGCTGACCAGAGGACGGTGCCTTCCTTGAGGGTAGGTTCCCCACTAGCCACTGGAGCTTTGTTCCTTTCTGCTCTGAGGCCTCTCAGATATCCCTAACCAGCTCCTCAGGGGCCCCTGGTGCCGTTTTGCCTGCAGGCAGAGACGCATTTTATTTGCCTGGGACTCTTAAACTTGCTGCATGAATTACTCTCCTGTGTGGCTTCCTTTTTGGAAGCTCCCTAGGCCGAATGAGATGATGTCTTATAACTTTGGGGCATTTCTGCGACCTGATTTTTTTCTGTTTAAATGGTTTATGGCTCTGAGCTGAAGAGCACCCCCATACTGCATAAAACGAGGCAGAGGTGAAACAAAGCAAACATAAGGAGCAAGAGCAAGTGCACCCAATACTTGGGGCAGGGGCCAGTTAGGACTCCTTGTGACCCTCCTGCTCACATTCCTTACCCCAGTACCACACTTGAATCCTTGCACACTTCTGGGATGTAGGCTGGCAGGATACAAGGCTTGCTTCCCCTTTTGGGAAGCTGCTAACGCCTGTCTTTTGTTTAATCAGAGCAAGCTCCTGGCCAGCTGGTGAATTCCTTTGGGGGAAGTATCAGAGAGAAGGGTGTAGGGGAAAGGTTGCAGCTGAGTGGTAGAGCATCTGCTTTGCATGCAGAAGGTCCCAGGTTCACTGCCCAATGGCATCTCTGTGTCTGAAACCTGCTGCCAGTCAGTGTAGACAGTACTGAGCTAGGTGGACCCGTGGTCTGGGTCAGTATAAGACAGCTTATGCTGTGTATTTCTGGTTTTAACTGCCGTCACATGGTTCAGATCAGGAGGAAGTTGGGCATGGTGGGAGGAGATGCAGCTTAATGCCTTCCTTGCATTGCCAGCTGAACATTTATTTATTTAATAGGTTTATGTGCCACCCACTCATGTAAAATATAAAGGCGGCCCACAACAGTATATTTACAACAGACCATGAAATAGCATCAAACAGTACAAAATTATGCATTGCCGCTGATGTGGCAGAGCACCCGCCCTGCGTGCAAAGGGTCCCAGGTTTTGCTCCCCAGGTTCAGGCAGGTCTGGGAATGTCCCCTGCCCTGGAGAGCCGCCACAAGTCAGCAGAGACAGTGCTGAGCTGAGTGGACTAACGGTGTGACTCCATACAAGGCAACTTCCTGTGTTCTTGTAACACAAGCCTTTGAGCGGCTAACTCTTGTGTTCTATGTGAGTTTCCTGTAATGTTAATTGGTCCTGATCTGGCACCTTTCTCCTAGGATCCTTGTGGCCACTTGAAACCCACTTACGACGACCCACTGCGGAGGAAGCCAGAGCAGTGGGCCCCATGCCACATACCAAAAACGCCTCTCGTGTCCTCCTCCACTCTGCCTGCAGCCGCACAGTCTCCTCCTCCTCCTTCCCCTCTCTTCAACGTGGACTTCAGCCGAGAAGTAAGGCACCAGATTGCTACAGGGGTGTGGGTGGGGGAAGAGCACAACTGCTCCACCAGATGCTTTGGCACTCCTTTCTCCTGAGGTTCAGCACATGCTCCCTCGTGTCCTGCCTGAAAGTGGATGCTTCCCACGATGGCTTGGGATTTAACTCCATAGGGCATTGTGGGGAACTTGTGGCCCTCCAAATATGGTTTGGCTCCAGGCTCTCCCCTCCCCCGCAGCCAGGAGTGATGGTAGTTTGATTCCAGCAACATCTGGAAGGCCACATCTGTAGTCTAATGACCAATGGTGGTCCTGAGGCTTGGGATCTCCTACAATTTTGTTTTGATAATTTGTAGTCCTGCATGGTTGCTTTGAAGAGCTGGGATGTGATTTAATCCTCCTAGACACTTTTCGTTTTCCAAATCTCTTCCCCCCACCATACACACCCACTTGCTATTAACTTCATGGAGGGGAACAAGGCAGCTACAAGCTCTTTCTCTCTCTTCTACTCACCCCCCTCCCCACCACAAGCTAATAGCAGTTTGCACCAGGGCCAGTATTTAGATTGGGGAAGGATATTGAGATTAAACAACTCGCATAGGACCATTTATCTGTTTTGGGGAGATTTTTCATAATCACAGAATTGCAGGGTTGGAAGGGGCTGTGCAATCACTGATTTCAAACCTCCAATGAGGGAGACTGCATCACCTTCCGAGGAAGTCTCTTCCACTGTCAAATAGCTCTTAACCTCCAGAAAGTTCTTTCTAAGATTTGGTTAGAATCTTTTTTCTTGCACTTTGAATCCATTGGCTTTGTTTTATTAAGTTGCAGTCCCATGTCGCTGGTTAGGATGGCTGCCTGATAAAAAGATAAACCTCCCACATCAGGCCTACCTGCCACCCTCCTAGTGGAAACAAAACTTCAGCAGGCACCCCGTGGTTGCTCTTACTTATCCTTGGTTCCCACCTCCCTTTTCCTTTTCCTTCTCTTCCCTTTCTGCCATGTGATTCCCTGCAACCTCCTCATCACAGGGAAATTGTTTTCCTTTTTCCTTCTGTTACTCTGCACAGCACAGTGTCCCCAAATGTGCACATGTTTCTGCTGCTGACATGGGAAATACACAAAAGGCCTTTGGGATGATTGGTCAAGATCTTGTGGGAGATCAGTCTCCAAATCTAACAAATGCATGTTCTTGCTAGTTAGCATGAGAGGGGGCTAAATCCTCAGAGCTGTATTGCTGATAGGCGGATACCCAGACCATAGAAATAAAATTGGTAGAGAGGGCTCCGTGTGGTGTCATTTCCCCTCCTCTGCTGGAAAGGAAGGGACATATAGTATTTCCTGTTCCACTCTCTCTTCCTTTTGACCAGCGTTCGGAGACCGGCAGGCCCCACTTGCTCCGACTCCAGGCACAAGCCTGAAGCTGGTTATACTGTAAATAACGAGTATTTTGGCTGCATAGTTTTTTACTGCTGCCATTGCCGTGAACCAGTGCATGATTGTAAAGCAAGTAAATATTTTGTTTAACCTACTTGGCAAGCTGTTGTCTGATGCTTTGTTAAGTGGGTTAGGAAGGGGTAAGCCCGCCCCTCAAAGGTTTTACAGCCTATTTCCTATGCTTTTAATTGTGCTGCCAAGGGGTTTTGAAACTTGATTCAAACCGCACACAAGGGCACCTGGAGGGATGATTTGCAATTAATATAGCCTCTCCTACCGATTAAAACCCACCCCACAGACCTTACCTGGTGTCTTTCTTTCCTTCAGTTCTGCGAGAGTGCCACCAGCCAGCATAGCTCCAAGTACGAGGACGACCGCCTCTCCCATTACTCTCCCTGGTCCTGTGGCACCATCAGCTCCTGCATAAGTGCCATTGAGTCAGAGCCCAAGGACGTCATTGCCAATTCTGGTGCTGTGCTCCTGGTAAGGCAGCTTCCCCTCTGGAGCCCATTCTGCTTGGGCTCCCTCTGCCAGTGCTGGGTTTTCTTGGAACCAGTTTCCAAAACATGATTCCCTTAACCTCATCTTACGTCCACATGCACACACACACGAGTGCCCCCCCCCCCAGTCTACCGCATAAGGGAAAATATATTGTCCTGAGCACCTTACAGGGTTGTTGTAAGGATTGCGAGAAGTGGTTTGGATGCCCTGCCTGATGACATTCCGAAGGGAACGGCTTCTAAAAGGGTTCCTATGAGTGCAAGATGTTACACTGGGCCTAAGAACGAGCCTCCCTGCGCACCAGGCCATGTGCAGGCCAGATCCTGCATTGCAGGAAGCTGAACTGGGTGACCCTTTGGGCCCCTGCCAACTCTACTATTCCGTGGTTCTATCTCTGGGCTTTCCTTTTCTTGTGGGGCTGTACAGGATCTGGACAGTGGGGACATGAAGAGGCGGGTGCACCTCTTCGACACCCAGAGAAGGGCAAAGGAGGAAGACCCAATCATTCCGTTCAGCGATGGGCCCATCATCTCCAAATGGGGCGCCATCTCCAGGTCGTCGCGCACGGGTTATCACACGACAGACCCAATTCAAGCTACTGCTTCCCAAGGAAGTGCTACAAAGCCAGTCAGCATGTCAGGTATGGGCTGGGTTGGTCTGGAGCCTTGGAAATGATATAGAAGAGGATGCCAGGGCGGCAGGTGTGGGCGGAGGACAGGATTCTCTCTGGCCCGAGCTGAGTTTGCACCTTTTGCCGGTTTGCAGATTACACCCCTTACGTCAGCACCATTGATTCCAGATGGAGCTCCTACAATTCCGATTCTACTTCATCAGCGCCTTTCAGAGAACGGTAGGTGAGGGAGCTCTCCTCGAAGGGGGCATCTGGGGAGCCCATCCTGGTCACAGCACCTCGCCTAAGCTCAGCATGCCCAGATCCCTTGCCAGATCTGTTGCCAGATCCCATGGAAGCGGTAGGAGTTTTCAGGCCACGGCAGTCAGCACTAAGTTCACAGCTCCTCAGTGGTGGGACTGGGGCCTGGAAGATCTGGGTTGAAATCCCCATTCAACCATTCACTGCACCAACCACCTTCTCTAACCCTAACCTAACCCACTGGGTTGTTGCAAGGATGGAGGATGCAGCTATACCTGGTGGCTAGTCAGGATATCTTGTGTTCTGCCTCCACTGTGGGAAGCAGTCTGCCTCTGAATGCCAGTTGCTGGAGGTCACAAGTGGGGAGAGTGGCTGTTGCACTCGGGTCCTGCTTTCAGGCTTCCCATTGGGGCATCTGGTTGGCCACTGTGAGAACAGGATGCTGGGTTAGGTGCCCCCCGCCCCGTCCTAATCCAACAGAGTATTTCTACATCCTTAAAAGGATTATGTGGGGAGGGAGAGAACCAGCGACTGCACCTGGAGCTCATTCCATGAAACCAGGATGCAAATGTAATAAATAAATCAAATCAATTTGTATTGATTTGTTGGGTCTCTGGACCGTATTAAAGATTGATTGAGTGTAATAATAAATAAAAGGACGATAGAATGGAGTGAGCACCACCTTGCCAGAGCCAGTGCGTGGAGACTGGGCTTGGGATGAGGGTGCTTTCTGACAACATTTGCCCTGCATGAAATACGATGTGTTGAAACCCCATTGTAGTAATTTCCCTGGCATTCTGCAGTGACCCCTGCGCAGACTAATTCATACCAGCCTGTTCAGTTTGAGGGTGGGGGGATAGAGGTTCAGTTGTCTCTTTGCTGGGCATCATTTTCCTGCAGAGAGGAGGGAATCCTGGGACAGGCCAGCCAGCTGAGAATTTCCTTTCATCCCTGGACATTTCTGTGCACCTTCAGAAGGTCTGAGGATGAAAGGAAACCCCTGGCTGGCAGGCCCATCTGTTTCCTTCTTCATCAGAGGTCCAGTGTCACGCTTCCAAGGAATGTGCAGGGAGCAACTTCTAAACCTTCCTTCTCTTTCAAGGGACCGGTTCATCCTTACAGATGTGTCTGCCCCAGGAAAGCATTCTAGCACTGGAGATCTACTGAGCATCGAACTGCAGCAGGTATGGCTGATCTGGCAACTTTGCCTCCTGCTCTGGGATTTTTTTGGGGGGATGGAGAATTTACAGAGGGCCGGCCAGTCTGTTGAGCATGGTCCAAGAGCTGCAGGGCGGAGGGAGGAATGGAATGAGTGTTGCTTCCACCCTGCCATTTCCTCTGTTATTCTTCCATGTAGGCCAAAAGTAACTCGTTGCTGCTTCAGAGAGAGGCCAACGCACTTGCCACGCAGCAGAAGTGGAGCTCCTTGGCAGAAGGAAGCCCCCTCTCTTTGACCCTCCTAAGCAATGAAATCAATCTGAGAAACGGCGAGGTAAAAAAAGTAGCTGAGCTGGGTGGAGAAGATACTGAAGGGAGGGACCCCTTTTAGAATACAGTGGTACCTTGGGTTACAAACGCTTTGGGTTACAAACTCCACTAACCCGGAAGTTGTACCTCAGGTTGCGAACTTTGCCCCAGGATGAGAACGGAAATCGCGCAGTGGTGGCATGGCAGCAGCAGGAGGCCCCATTAGCTAAAGTGGTACCTCAGGTTAAGAACAGACCTCCGGAACGAATTAAGTTCGTAACCCGAGGTACCACTGTAAATGCATTACAGAGTCTGGAGGGAGACATCAGCGGTCATCTAGACCAGCCTACTGCTGCTAGGCAGGAAGACTACTTCTACCATCTCCCTGATACATGATTGTCCAAATTCTGCTTTAAAAAACTCTTCTAATGAAGGCAGTCTGTTCCCCTGCTGAGGAGCTCAGTACCATCAGGAAGTTGTTGTTGTTGGTATATGTATATGTATATGTATATGTATATGTATATGTATATGTATATGTATATGTATATGTATATGTATATGTACAGTGGGCGCTCGGGTTGCGAACGTGATCCATGCAGGATGCACATTCGCAACCCACAGCGTTTGCAACCCGCAGCTGCACATGGGTTGCGATTTGGCGCTTCTGCACATGTGCAAAGTGTGATTTAGTGCTTCTGCACATGCGTGACCACCAAAACCGAGAAGTAACCCGTTCCGGTACTTGCGGGTTTCGGCGGGTCCGTAACCTGAAAAAATGCAACCTGAAGCATCTGTAACCCAAGGTGTGATTGTATATGTGTATGTGTATGTGTATGTATATGTATATGTGCAGTGCTTTTTTTCTAAAAAAATGTTTAGGGGTACTCTCATTTTCCTGCTCATACTGAAATACTGCCCCTCAATGAGGCCAAACATAAGATTCACAAAATGTTTAGGGGTATGCGTATCCCTGCATCCCCCCAGGGAAAAAAAACACTGTATATGATAATTTCCTAGAGGCCAAGATCCAAGTTTAGTGCAAGTTTTCTTTGGTGAGAGAACCCCAGCAAGAGATTTAAAGTCACAAAGTAAAGCATGGGAATGTAGTCTGTTAGACCTTTAAAACATGCCCCTCCAAGTGAGTTCTAAAATGTCCCCTTAGAAGGTTTCTTTCAAAAGTTTTTCTCTTCCCCCTGCAAGGGAAAAGGCAACACGTTTTGTCAATTGAAAAAAAGTTTGTTTACAAACTATCCAAAGGTCAGATTCATATGCTTCAGAAAAGTTGCACAGGCAGCAAAACTTGTCTTAGTCACAAAGTGGTAAAAGTGCCTGAAGAAGCATCTCCACCCACATCGTTCTGCCTGGATACTCTGGTCCAGCTCCGAGGGCTGTTCCCTCCCTGAGAGAAGTGAGGTTACAGGGAACCAGGCAGAGGGCCTTCTCGGCAGTGGCGCTCGCCCTGTGGAACGCCCTCCCATAAGATGTCAAGGAAATAAACAACTATCTGACTTTTAGAATACATCTGAAGACAACCCTGTTTAGGGAAGTTTTTAATGTTTGGTGTTTTTAATACTCTGTTGGGAGCCGCCCAGAGTGGCTGGGAAAACCTAGCCAGATGGGTGGAGTATAAATAAATAGATGGTGATGATGATGATTCCTAAATTTTAAAAATTTTGGTATAGAAACTCAAGAGTGGCTTGTGAGAGTCATGTGGTTGAGCTGGAACAACCAGCTGAAACCTCTTCAAACGCTGAGCTGCTCAGGTAGACTGGAAGGGAACAATAGGCTTGGTTATCTATTGACTCCTCAAGGTAAGGGGAAGTGACCTAGCTAAGCCTGGCAGGACGGTTTAGTCTATGTCATTAACCCCATCATGCATTAATTAGACTTAAGCATGTTAGTTATATGAGGCTGGTTATCCCACAGTTCTGTCAAATGTTTGGTCTTAAACCTTTTTCTAGTAATCTGAACCCATTGGAGCAATAGAAAACAAACTTGCTTTGTCATCTGTCAGGGGTGAGCCTGTGTAGAAACTACCCTCCTTTCTGAGGGTAATACATTAATTTCTCCACCTGCTTATGCTTCTTGCCCCCAACTGCCACTGGCGTTTCAGCCCTGGAGGCTTGGCCCAGAATGGGAGGCAGCCCTCAGGCTGAAAGAAGCCCCCCACCCCTGATCTTGGGGGCAGCCCTTCAGTTGTTTCCTTATTTCCTAAGCTTTCTAGTCGCTTGCCACCCAATGGTCTCCAAGCAACATGGAAAGAAAAAGAATATATGCATAAATGTATTATACAATAGAAAAGAGGTTAGGGAATCACATAACCCATAAATATTCCATACAGCATACTTGGAAAACAAAAACTGAACACCAGCCCTCCTGCATAGCAGTAATAGAAAACATTAGCAATACAAAGACGAACAGCAGCTCAATGCTGAGAGCCAGTGTGGCATAATTGTTAGAGTGCTGGACTAGGATCTGGGAGGCCACTCAGCCATGAAACTCACTTGGTTTCAGTGAGCTAGTCACTGCCTCTCAGCCCAATCTTACCTCAAATGAGGAGGGGAGACCCACCTTGAGCTCCTTGGAGAAAAAGGTGGGATATAAACATAATAAATATATAATATTAACACTCCCACCTACAAAACTAGTAGATAAACATAAATACTCAAAACTGACTCACATCCCTCCCTAGTTCAAAAGCCAATCACACCAATCCTGTTTTTGTTTTGTTCTCTGCTTAATCTTGCCACCCCACCCAGAAGTCCAGCATCAAGGCCTGCTGATGTGAATCAGTGGTGGATGGGTTCAGGGTCCTTCAGGGATGGTCCAGTGTCTCTAAAGAGGGTCAGTGTTTTATTCTGGCTGCTCCTCCTTTCCTGCTGTTGGAAGATAGCTGTCCCATTGCTACTTTATTGTCTGTTCTCCAGCCTCCATATACCCAGCGCCTTCCATCTTTCCTGGGTCTCCAGCTGACTCGCCATCTTTTTCACGTTCTCCTCTGGACACATCCCAGTTGGTCCCTCTCTGTCTTCCCATGTAATGCCCAGAAGTGTTCCAGCTCCGCAAATGTCTTTGGCCTCAGAGTGAGCCTGGCTACTCTAAACTTAAAAGGAAGGGGCAACTTCAGTAAGAAGGAAATGGCATTGTGTGAAATGTGCCCACTCTTTTCCTTGGGCAGCCTGCAAAGGTCCTAGAAGGGCACCTTTTGTTCTCAAGGGGCAGGTCTCCTCCAAGAGCAAGTGGGGAAAGCAGTGCCTGAGATAGGGTTTGATTCAGCAGCATATATATTTGTCACTTCAGATGCAAAACAGGACAGGACCTGCCACTTATGGGCAAATCCAGGTCATGCAGTTATAGTTGGCTGCAAGGTCTTGTGCAACAGGCAGGCTTCCCCAAAATGTCAATACTTTTTTCAGTAAGGAAAGTGAATGCGAAAATGCACTGGGAAAGTGTAGGGTGAGACCTGCCCTGATGCAATGGCATCTCTAACCTCCCTGCAAACAAATAGGAGAGAATGCTCATACAATAGCCAACGTTGTCTAATTTCCTTCCAAACAAATCAGGATGAATGACCAATAAACAGGTAATCCAGAAGCACTTTCTGCCTGCAGCTGAGGGACACACTATGAGCTTCCAGTTTCTTGTATGCCTGATTCCCCATTTTCTGTGGAAACAGGAACAGCAACTACTTCTCCTTTATTTACCATTGGGGCGGTATCTCTCTACACCATGCCCTTCTCCTGGAGCACTGCCCTCCCTCCCTTTCTTTTTTCTGAGTAATGTTTTTCTGGTTGCATAACAAAATGACATTTATCAGCTTCAGCCAAACCTGTTGAGTGGCTACACGTTGCATATGTCAGTCACATGTAAGAAGGGAAATGGAGGAGGGACACTGCCATATAACTGAATCACTGAACTCATTGTCAAGGCTTCAGCTATCTGCGACATATCTTCTCCATAAGTATGCATGAATGTACTTCTGTTTACGTAGCTGACACAGGGGGACCCAGACCTTGTCAAAATGGGTTGGTTTGTTTTTAGTTTAGCCGCTAACCATTAGGTATTTTGGAAGAGCCAGGTCCCTAACTTTTATTTTATTATTTTATTTTGTAAAATTTGCATGCCGCCTGATTGTAAACACACACACACATATATCAAAGCAGCCTAAGGAAAAGGAAAAAAATAAAATTATCTGTAAGAAGAATTAACAATAATTTTAAGATTTTTGAAAAGCTGAAACAATAAACTAAAAACAGATTAAAACTCACACCAGTTTTCTAAACATCTCGACAGGCTTACCTAAACACAACTGTTTTTAACAGTAAAAAAATAACAGAGATAGAGTGCAGTGAAAACACCTAGAGGGAGTTTCAGGGTGTGCATGCTGCCACAGTAAAATATCAAGTTCTTTTGAATGTGGAGCAGGTGGCCTGTGGCACCTACAACAGTGCTGGTTCTGCTGATTGAAGCGGTTGAGTGGCCGTAAGGCGATCTCATAGAAAGACCTTTCTTTAAATCAATTGTGCTTTGTTTGTTTTCCCCCACTCCTATCCTGCTTCTTAGTCTGACTATCCGGAGGACGGTGCAGACACAAAACCAGACCGAGACATTGAACTGGAACTGTCAGCCCTCGATGCCGATGAGCTTGGTGGGCAGGGAGAGCAAATTGAGGTACATGAACACTGCCGTTTCCTTAATTCACTGAACATGCCTATGTGTCTGTGTCTTTGCATCCTCTACTATCTCAGAAATCCAGAGCTGGTGGCCCTCCTATAAGTTTCCATGTAAAGCATGAAATAACCACAGACCAAAACTCTGGTTGAATCCTAGCCTTGCCAGACTCCCAGTTCAGACACAGCAGTGTTATTGAGATGTTCATAAAATTCTGAGTATTGATTCCCCACTCTGTAGAATTGTGTCTTGCATGAACTTTTGGGTCAAACTGCTGGTCCAGTCTGTTTACCCTGAGTGGGAGCAGCTTTCCATCAGTTCAGATCTGGGTCTTCTCAGCCCCACTTCCCTAAGTCACTTTTAAATGTAGAGGTGGAGGATTGGACCCAGGACCTTCTATGTGCAGAGCACATACCCCTAACACTGGGCCCTGGACTCTCCCTCCCCTTATATTTTGGACTGGCCACAAAGAATCCCTGGTGGCTATGGCAGGGAGCTTTAGGGTCTGCCGTCTAGCCTCTCAGATCCTTCTCAGCAATGCCATTTCCACTTCACCTTTCTCCATCATTTGTGGGGGAGTTCTGATTGGTTGGCATCACCCCCCACTCCCACACGGCTAACACTGTCCTTCCACTTCCAGGAGATTCTGAACCTGCAGCTTGGCATTGGCAACCAGGACGATCATCTGTTCAACGGCTCAGCTCTGGAGAACGGCCACCCTCTAGAACAGCCTCCAAAAGAGCCCAGGCAGCAGGCGAGGCCCACCTTAGGTGAAGACCTTGCTATTCCGTGAGTGTCAGACGGAAACAGAAGCTTTCTGTGCCCCGATACAGAGCCTCTGTTGTCTCTCCTCGTGTCCCCTGTGTCGTCTGTGGCACATTTATTCAATAAGTGCACCATTGCAATGTTTAAGGCAGCTTTACCTGATCAGGACAAAAGTGGCTGCTGGGAAACTCACAAAACTGGAGGAAAGAATCTGCTTTCTCACATTATATAAAGAATGTGTTGATCATTTCTGTGCAGGAAGAATTCATCCTTGAGCTAGCCTGCTAGAAAATCTGCACCCTGCTCTCCTTGCTGAATTAGGCATCCAGCTCCAATAATCCAGGCATGCTTTTCTTCTGAGAACATGACTTAATTTCTACGCTGGTGTAGAGCTAAGGCGAAGGGATGGCTATATAAGCCTGTGTGATTTGTAAGCCCATGGACACCACTTTTGTGGGTTCCCCAGCAGCCACTGCTGTTCTTTCCAAGTAAAGCTGTCTCAAGCACCACAGTGGTGTTTTTATTGGAGAAATCCACCATGCTTCCTTGCCGAATGCTGGCCTTCTCTTGCCTGGTCTCTTCTTTCTTACTCCTTATACTTACCCAGTCCAAGCCCTTCATATTTTGGGGGCTGTGGCTCCCACCAGCCCCATGCAATCTTGCAATTGATAGAAGTTGTTGTTCGAAATGTATGGAGGGCACCAACACAGGGAAGGCTCTTTCTCTCTTCTTCCCCTTCTCTCCTCCAAGGCTGAGAATCTGGTCTCTCCCATTCATTTGCAGCGGCCCTTCAGCCACTGTGATGAGTGAAGAAAGGAAATGGCTCTGAGCACTGATGGCGCAACAGCGTTTCTGGCCACTGCTGCGCTGCTAGCTTCTCTTAAGAGGCTCCAGAGTTACACCAGTGGCTCCACAGAGAAGGGAGAGGAATTTACTGAAGCTGCATGGGCCCTCTTTCAAATTCTGGGTTATTAGCAGTGTGAGAGCTCAGGGTTAATGAACACAGCTTCTCTCCCCCCCCCCCCACTCTGTCAGAACCCATCTGTTCATTATCTGTCATGATAAGTAATAAAAATAAAGAAGAAAAATCACAACTCAACTAGGGTATCAAAACTATCAGGGATAATTCACTGTCCCTTGTTTTTTACATCCTTGGATTGCTGTGAGAATGTTGACATTCCTGTGTTCTATTTTAAATAATGATCAGGGTTTATTTCCCCCTTCTCCCCTCTCCTCCCTCCCTCCCCCCCAAAAAAAATCACCAGGGAGAAGCAGAAAGCAGCCCTGCCAATGACCTGCTTCAGCCAGCCAACAGCATCCTCTGTGAGCGGGGTGACGTCCCTGCCCATCACAGCTTCCTCCTCCGGAGTGGGCAGCCTCGTTCTCAAGACAGCCCACAGCCTCACAGCAGCTCACATCATGGCAGAAGGGAAAAGTGACTTTTTAAGGCCAGTGGCAAATGGCAAAATGGTTAACAGCTGAGAGGTGTTACGTTTTCAAGCTCGTGATCATGCTAAGGCAGCATTTACACTCTATTATATAATGTATATATTTTTTAAGAAAATACTATTGGGGTGATTTGTTTCCTGTGGACTCTTTGATACATCAGGCCCCTCTCAACTTTGCATTCTGGAAAAAGAAAAGAGAAAACAAACCACTTTGCTAGGCTCAGGTGTTCACGTTCCACAAGTGGTTTGTAAAAAGCTTAAGAGCAGCTTTTTAATTTGTTTGTGGAAATTCCAGGGCGCCTTCTGAGCCGTTCTTGTTGAAAGACAGCCTCTCTAGATAAATTTGCAAGTTAGTTCATTGAAGCCAGCAGATCCTCGGGGTGAAGTGACTCATGGGAATAGAACTCACTTGTTTTGCCTTGTTTTGTTTCATGAGAGAGGAACTTGTATCTGGTTGCAGTTGCTTGTTTCTTCAGCTGTGGAACTTTGCATGAAATAAGCATGTGAGAGAGAGAAAGAGAAAGAGAGAGGAGCGCTGGGGATCCTCTTAACATAAGACTTAATTCAGGGTTGATACACTTTTTCTTTTTCCTTTTCCTTTTCCTTTTATCTTTGCACGACTGCATTATATGCAGTAGTGTAGCACTTTGCATATTCCTGTCTGGCCCTCCCCCTTCATTTCCCCTACCCCACCCCTCTTCTGATTTAGAGCTTGGTATTTCCACATATCAAGCAACTTGCCTGTGTACAAATAATAGAGTGCAAAATCGAAGTGCCTGCATCCTAGCGCTTACATCTTCTGTCTCTTTACCTGCTCTTGAGTTGTAAGCAGAATTGTTACATCGACAACGGGCTTGTCCACACTGACCGTACTTTTCTGTCTATGAGACGCCCCCTCGTCTAATACATGGAAAAGTACGGCACCTTCCTCTGCTCTTTCCAGGCACAATCTGGGGATCCCTCTCCCTTTTTTTCCCTCTGGAGTTTTCTCTGCAAAAACCCCGCTCTTTAAAGATCAGCAAGCTCAAAGAGCGATCTGCAGAAAACCGAAATGGGTGTTTGCGCCAATTCATATTTGAAGAGCAGGTTTTCACAGGGAAAGCTTAGGGCAGAACCCCCACAAAAAGCCACTGAGACGCAGTTCGTTAAAGTGTATACCTCTGCCTAGAAAGAGCAGGGTAAAACCTAAGTGTGGATAAGGCCAAAAACCCACTGCACTTGTTGCCTGGGCTCCGAGTTGTGCAGCTCCTTCGGCCAGATCAGTCCCCAGAGCCTCAGCATCAGTCGCTCCCTGCAAAAGAAACATTTTCTGTCACATTTGCACTGACTTGACAACACAGTATTGCTGTTGATGTACTTGTCAAATAAGAAGCGATTAGCAGTTCTTTTGACACTCATTGTGTTGTTTTGATTATAGCGTTACTGAGAAGTTTAGTGTTTAGGTTATATTACTGACTCTTGACAAGGCATTGAACACTTAATGGTATAGCTTTAGTTCGGCTTGTACAGAACAATGAATAAATGTGTCTTTTTAAAAATGTGACTTTAAGGAAACGTAAGTAGGGAGCCATCACCTGAAGAACACACACCTCTTGGGCCCTGAGCCGTATTTCCTTTTACTTTCTTGCTTTAGAAACTCAGGGCACCCAGAAGGTGGTAGAGCAAAAGAATGCTTGCTGGCAAGATAACACCTTCCTCATTTGTCTTCTATGGCTTTCTAGTTCTGATTTTTGCATTACTCCTCCTCTTCTTTTTTTTGCAGTGTTTGATAATTAACTTCTGTGAAGTTGTTTACTTGGAGAACTGTACTGGGATATTTCAGCCAAGTGACATTTTCACAGGTATACTGTACTCAAGGGCTCGTCCCACTAGCAAATGGCTTGTAAAAGAGACGATCATGTTACTCCTGGCAGAACAGAGCTGGTGACTGTTTGGGATGCCACCCCGTGGGCAGGATCAGGCCGCTTCTTTTCACTTCCTTTTTTAAGAAACTATATCGTGCACACTTCTGGATTAGGGGTGGGGCAAAAACAGGCATTTCTCTGAGAGTTACAATACTGACTTGCATCCTTTTTTATTTTGTATCTGCTGACTTGAAAGTTCATGAAAAAAATTATGTTGTAAATATTATTATCTGAAAAAAAAATCCAAGCATTAGTTTATATATATTTATATAATATATATAATTCCAGTGATGTTGTGAAAGACCCCGGCTACTTATTTAATACTAAGGCACAAAGAGCTATTTATAATATGTCAGCCAAATCCCTTCTCTTAATTTCATGGGACAATTCCTCAGGCTCCTCCTCCTGTTGCCACCTCACTCCTGCAACAAGAGAAACAGGGCAGCTGGGGATTTGAGACTAAAGTACCCGTTTTCTTTAAACTTGTGACTGTTAAGATTAACTGATTTTGGTGTGGAATGCCATTTGGGTTGTTATTGTGTTCTCTGATCCAGCTGGGAAATCTTGTATATATAAATATTACATTTGAAATGCTTCCAAAAGTTGTTGTTTTTTTGCGCTATATGTAACTTCAGATATATAGAGATATATGCAAAACAGCCTCTCTCTCTCTTTTACATGGATATTTAAACAATAAGATCTTCTGTGCTGCAGGTGACGTGTTTTTTAAGGAGGAAGAAAATGGAATTGCTATTTTATTGCAAAAATAGACAAATATTAGAAGTCTGAGAGATCCTCATTTTTGCCCTCAGGGAAATAGCCCCTCTGTGAACCGGAGCTCCCCCAGGCGCCAATACAATCCAAGGGTGGATATATAGTAAGACCTTGGTTGTGCTGCTGGGGAAGGGGGCGTGGCATAAATTGTTTACAGTTCTTCGTTCACTTGTCCAGTGGCATCGCATAATTTTAAAAGCCACCATATTTCTGCTGTCCTTTTACCACCTGGACTGGGAACGAGCTGCCTTTGTGCTTCTTTGACAGAGGCAGCCAGAACTCCTGCACTACAGTAGTTTTGTAGAAAAGGGCCACACACTTGTCAGGAAGCCTCTGCTCCAAGGTTGTACTTTAAATCTTCAACACAGAGAATTGCAGGCTCAATGAAACAGCTGGGACTTTCTCGCCATGGAAATGGCATCATTCTGGCTGGGCGTTGTCCACCTCTGAAGCAGTTTGTACAAGCCAGCCTGTCTGGGTGTGGAGCAGTCAACTTATGGTACATCCTTTGGGTGCCCTTGGGCTCCCAGCCACCACCAACCATCCCCAGGCAACATGGCCAAGAATAGTCATAGGTGATGGGAGTTGTATTGCAGCAGCAGCAGCTGGTGGTGGGACCCAAAGAAGCTCTGCACCCCTTGTCTTTGGGACAGCCAGAGGGATGGGTGCTGAGATGAATTAGCACCATAGCCTGCTTTGCAGCTGTGTCTTTAGAAAATTAGGCCAACCAGAGGAGAGCCAGGCGGAGAGAGCAGAGGAGGGTGGTTCCTGCCCTCTGCCAGCAGGTGGCATTTTTGTAGGCAGGTGCAGGGGGGATTGGGGGCACGCATACTGGGGGGGCGGGGGGTAATTGTGGTGGCAAGAAAAACTTCAGCTGTGCTTCCTCATAATGTGCATTTCCTCTCCCCCTTCGTTTTGACTCAGTGCTTTGGGTAGCAAGCTTCAGATGTGAAACAAATGCTGAGTGTGATGGTAGATGAGACGTTGAGCTGCATAGAGAAGCTGCTGGCCTGTGCTAAGGAAGAGTGGCAGGTCTGTGATAGGCCTGGTTTGACCACTGGTCCCTGCCAGATGCGCTGTTCGAAATTAATACCTGGTGACAGTTGGAGTGTAGAACACAGCGCTTGCCTAAAGTGTGTGTGGCCAATGCCAGAACAGAAGTCCTGGTAGTATCCTTCCTTCCATTCTTTTTTGATAATTTGAAAGCCAGGTCTGTTGTGAAATAAACTTCATTTACAAACAAAAACTCCATGCGGCTTGGCTGTGGGTTTTCTTGTGGTGAGCAATTTTCATGTCTAATTTTGTGAGCGGCTGGCATTTCTCAGCATTTGATTAAGCCTGGCCTGCTTTGCAAAGGGTTCAATCTAAGTGCTTGCATCTGCACCCCAATATTATTTGGGGAGGGGGCAATAGCCAGCCATTCACTACCTGTGGGAGATGTTTATTTTTAAGCCCTTTGTATTTAGGAGTTCTATATTTAGAGACTGAATTTGCAAATAACATGGCATGACACAGTGTTTTGCTGGGGCGTGTTCTTCCCCTGTCTGAACTCTCAGCCACTTCCTTGGCTCTGAGGAAGGGCAGCAGCAGCAGCACGGTGCTTTGCTGGCAAAGCGATATTACCAGGCGTAAGGGTGGAGTGGGGTGGCTGAAGTGGAGTGAGCCAAAACTGTGAGCATCCCACCAGCCCCAAAACTGAGAGAGCAAATACCTGTCCACCACACACACACAGGCTTTTGTGAAGCTTTTTAATGGACACTTTATATACTTGACAGAGTTTGAATTAAAAATAAAAACAATTCTGGCTGTGTTTCTGAGTGCCAGAAAACAGGGCGAAGTACACTTTTGCACAGATCCCACCTGCTTACCCAGAGAGAGTCCTCGGTTATTTAGTCCAAGGCATGGAGATGCATGCATTTTCCTTATCTGTGCAGACAAATAGATTATACTGTAGTTGTGATACAACATGCGTGGCTTTTCTTTGTACTGCACACACACCCTGTACAGCCACTCCAAAGTATTGTGGTTTAGCTTGCAGTATCTGCTGTCTGCATTTATACTATATACTACATATTCTTTTCCCTGGAAGTTAAAAGGAAAAGAAAAACACCACTTTTTCTTTTATTGTTGCGTTGATTAACATTTTATAAACCTGCTTGGCCCAGAAAGTTTGGGGAAAGAGGGCTGTTTGTCAATTCTACAACCGGTTGTGAAGCTGAAGTGTGAATATTTCTACGTCTGTATTAGACATTTTCTTTGCAAATCTATTGTTCGATTGAAATGTAAATGAAATAAAAGATGGTGTACACCCATCATGTATAATAAAGCAGACACCATCGCTACGGTGGATTTAATGCCTCATTTTTAATGATGCATACTCAGCTTCTATTTAAAAAAAAATATTTAACTTAAAAAATCTGTAAAATAAAAAAGGGATCTATTTGGGGCGGGGGATGAATTCTATTCCATTTAGTTCCGTTTTCAATTTCCAAATTCTGTTGTTTTTCCCTTTTGTGTTATAGGAATAGGATTTACATGGGAAAGCTTAGACCGTACGGTCTGTATTTTTGGGGAGGGAAGTTTGAGTGATGGGTGTGGGCTTTGTGATTTAGCCTGAATAGCAGAGTGAAGTCTGTGTGCGTGTCTTTTCTGTTGCACTGAAGTGAAAAGATAATTAGCTTTTGGGCTGGACACGGACTTTAGCGAATCGTGGTTTTTTTCAGTGTTTGAGAGAGAATTAATAGAAAAAAGTTTGCAGTACTTGACATGTATTTGCATGCCGTAAAATAAAACATTTTGTCCACCTTAACTTGTATTGCCTTCTTCTCTAAACATGGGGGGGGGGGTGTCTCAATTTTTGCACATTGAGGTTGGAGGTGGAAACTGTTAGCTAGGCATTCACAGTGATAGCTTGCTCTTAGCAAAGGTTTTATAACTCACGGTTAGATCACATGCTTTGGTGTCTTTTGTTTAAAAAGTATTGGGCAACAGAGGATGGGAAAGTCCTTTCTGAAGCAGAGTGGACTGGTCCTGGAACAGGTAATCTCTGCTGGAACATGATAGTTTTTCCTATGGATAAGTCACAATTGTGGGTTTGGGTGCTGGGTCAGTCTGGGTGATGCCTTGAGGCCCTTCTAATTCTTGGGGTCAGCGACAGAATCTAATAAAGGAGTTTGCTGAACTGGCCTGAAATTTTTGTTTATAAACTTTGAATGAGCTTTGTTGCAAGCGCTACAGCAGCTAAGAGATGGTGCCTTTCAGGCTAATGGATGGGCCTTTCATCCACCCCACTTTCTTAGGGTAGGAAAATAGCCAGAATTGTGTTTGAGCTGGAAACAGATGGAGGTTGTAGACCCAGGGATACTCTTGCTGGAAGCAGGCTGGAAGCTGGAGACCCAGAGACACGCTTGCTCTGGGCTGGACCCAAGGATGTGGCTGATGGAGAAGCAAGAGCTGTTGGGGGTATTGATGCTGTGAGCCCCTCCTTCTCATGCTCAGGTTGTATAGATGTGTAAATAAACCATGTACCCTAAATACACCACAGTCCCTGATGACCTTCATTCCAAGGAAACCGAACCTGGCTAAGCTCCTGGAACCTCAGGGGTTTCTCATTACTTGGAGAATGGGTTGCATGTAACAATATGTATGAAATCTCATCACAACAGTGAACTTCTAATCTGCCCCCACAAAAGGAACGACATGAAAAATGCTGCTCTGGCTTATTCACACTATATGTTTAAAGTACTACGAAGCCACTTTAAAACAGCCACAGTTCCACCCCCCCCCCATAAAAAAGAATCCGTTAAGGGTGCTGAAAGTTGTGAGGGAGACCCCTTCCCAGTGCTATGGTTCCCAAAGTGCTTTAACAACCAATCCCTCTTTCTGGGGAATGCAAGAAAAAGAAAGGAGGAAGGGAGCTAAATCCTGCTTGTTTTAGTAAGAGCCTGCTGGGTCAGGCCAAAGGGGGCCCATCCAGTCCAGCATCCTGTTCTCACAGGGGCCAACCAGATGCCCCAATGGAAAACCCCAGAGTAAGACCCAAGCACAAGAACAGTGCTCTCCCCTCCTGTGGTTTCCTGCAACTGGCTTTCAGAAGCACTGGTGCCTCCATCCGCACAGGCAAATTATTATTATTATTATTATTATTAATAATAATAATAATTATTTATACCCCGCCCATCTGGCTGAGTTTCCCCAGCCACTCTGGGCGGCTTCTAATCGAGTGTTAAAAACAATACAGCATTAAATATTAAAAACTTCCCTAAACAGGGCTGCCTTTAGATGTCTTTTAAAGATAAGATAGCTGCTTATTTTCTTGACATCCGGTGGGAAGGCGTTCCACAGGGCGGGTGCCAATACTGAGAAGGCCATCTGTCTGGTTCCCTGTAACTTGGCTTCTCACAGTGAGGGAACTGCCAGAAGGCCCTCGGCGCTGGACCTCAGTGTCCGGGCTGGATGATCGGGATGGAGACGCTCCTTCAGGTATACAGGACCGAGGCCGTTTAGGGCTTTCAAGGTCAGCACCAACACTTTGAATTGTGCTTGGAAACGTACTGGGAGCCAATGCAGATCTCTCAGGACCGGTGTTATATGGTCCTGATGGCCACTCCCAGTCACCAGTCTAGCTGCCGCATTCTGGATTAATTGCAGTTTCTGGGTCACCTTCAAAGGTAGCCCCATGTCGAGTGCATTGCAGTAGTCCAAGTGGGAGATAACCAGAGCATGCACCACTCTGGTGAGACAGTCCGCGGGCAGGTAGGGTCTCAGCCTGTGTACCAGGTGGAGCTGGTAAACAGCTGCCCTGGACACACCATGGCCTAGTAGCCATTGTTATCCTCCACTGAATTTATCCTAGTCCCTCTTTTAAGCCTGTCCAGGTGGGTAACCATTGTTGCCTCCTGCAAGAGGAAGTAACTGGTTGGCACAAAGAAGGGCTTTCTTGTAAGAGATGTTTGACTGTGGATAAATAGGGAAAGAGGAGGTGGCCGTGTAGAGCTTGGCTCTTTTCTGCAGTGGCTCCCTGCTTGTGGGATGCCTTCCCCAGGGAGGCTCTCCTGGCACCTTCATTGCATATCTTTAGGCAAAAACATCTCTCTTCTCCCAGGCCTTTAAAAAAAATTGGGAGGGTAACTGTTTTTTGCTGCTATGTATTTTTTGTGTTTTCATACGGTAAACTGCCCTGTGATCCTCCTATGAAGGGTGCTATAATTTTTTAAAAAAAACAGGGAGCAAGACTGATCTCCCCCATCCCTCCCCCTCCATGGTGCGGTCCACGGGCGGCATCGGCCGAAAGAGATCCGGCAGCAAGTGCAGTTGCAGGCTGCTATTCCACCTTACCTCTTGGTGCCGGGGAAGCTCGTCCCGGCAACCTTTGCGCCTCCCGCTCCCTCCCCCTCCCCTCGCCTCCTGTCACTAGGAGACCGAGAGAGACACTGAGGGAGAGCGAGCAGATCCCGGTGAGGAGGGGGAAGGGGCCCGGATTTCGGGCTTGCGGGCACCGATCCGTGGTGCGACGGTCGAGGGGAGCCCCGGGGAAGGGAGGAAGGAGCCTCTGCCCCACAGAGGCGGCCAAAGGGCGCTGTTCGCGCGCGGGGGGAGGAAAGGGTTAAGCACCCCGTGTGTGACAGAGGGTGGGGCTGTTTTGTTATGGGGGGCCCCACAGCAAGGGGGTGGGGAGGGCTCTCTGTGGGATGGAGTGTGTGGGGCTCGTATGTGGGAAGGCGGGGGGGGGGCGGCGGTGTCTGGCTCGCGAGTGGGGATTTGGGGCGGGGTCGTGTGGGGCAGCGGTGGGTCTCCCGTGGCGCGTGGGCCCCGAGATCGCGTCGGGGGCTGGCTCGCTTTCCAGAGGGGCGATGCCCCAGGGCATCTCTGCGCCTCAACGTCCTCTGCATTTAGGGGTTGCGCCTGCACCCCCGTTTTCATCCCGGGGGGGGGGGCTCAAGGGGGCGCGCGTGGTCGCCCCCTTCCCCATCTAACCCCACCACCAGCCCTGCGAGGCAGGTAGAGGCTGAGAGCGCGCGGCCCAGGGATGGGGGGAGGGGCTCGATCTCCCAGGTCTTAGCCCCCCCCCCACTCTGATCCCCTGCAGCACTTCTGGCTCGGGGGGAGGCGGGGGGGGCAGCATCTGGCTGTGCTGCAGCGGAGATAGATGCATGGAGGGCGGGGTGGGGGGGAGAAGATTCCGCTCCTGCTCCATCTCAGCCTAATCCTTCCTCGTGCGGGGGGAGAGCGGCCAGGCGGCATGGAGGGCAGGGAGGGGGCTGGGCTCGCCCGCGCGGGCTCAAAGGGGGCTTTGGGTTGGGCGCGCTCGCTTGGTTGCAGGGGGGAAGTCGGCTGGGGCCTCCGGGAGTCGAGGAAGGCAGAATCCAGGCTTCCTTATTTAGGCTCGTTTTCTCTTGGGTGGATCTTGTTATTATTTGCATAGATCGCAGGGGAGGCATTAATTGGCTAGGTCAAGTTCAGAAACGTAAAAAAACATATTGATTGGCATGCTTTCGGTGGATTCTTGTGGCCTAACTTAACCCCCCCGCAAACAAATCTCGCTGCTGCAAGCGGAAGACAGCCAACCACGCCCTGGGCTCCCCGCCCCCCTCACTAGAAAGGAAATACATACAATAAGCGAATAGGAAGAGTGACTACCCAAGTGACGCTGACGCAAAATCTGACACACACTGTACACTAAATAAAATAAGTGTTAACAACCACCCCTTCTCCCCACCCCTCTTTTCTTCCCCGACCCTTTAACTATATACAACACTAGTGGCTCAAAACAAATGTAACTGATATGTAGAAAAGACAACCTGAAAAAAGAGACAATGCTTGTGCTTTCGTAAGAAAACCTTTAATAAAATTGTTTTTTTTTTTAAAAAAAAGAAACATAAGAGGACCCTTGTTGGATCAGGCCATGGAGTCCAGCATCTTGTTCTTACAGTGACCACCCAGATGCCCATGATGGGAAGCTGCCACATTACCACTTTCCCCTCCTGCATTAAGAAGCAGGTTGCCAATAAGGGGCTTTTTATTTGTCTTATTTTGCTTCTATGCCCTTCACAGCAGCTGACCGCTCAGCTTTTTCCATCTGTAGGACAGGCAAAGTGTCACCCTGCCGGCGATATTTCTGATAAAATGGTAATGGTAATAGCTTTATTATTTATACCTCACACATCTGGTTGGGTTTCCCCAGCCACTCTGGGCAGCTTCCAGCAAAATATAAAAACATAACAAAACAAAACATCAAACATTAAAGCCTTCCAGATACAGTGTGGTGTTGTGGTTAAGAGCGGTGGGCTCGTAATCTGGGGAACCGGGTTCTTGTCTCCGCTCCTCCACATGCGGTTGCTCAGTGACCTTGGCCCAGTCATACTTCTCTGAAGTCTCTCAGCCCCACTCGCCTCACAGAGTGTTTGTTGTGGGGGAGGAAGGGAAAGGAGAATGTGAGCCGCTTTGAGACTCCTTCGGGTAGTGATAAAGCGGGATATCAAATCCAAACTCCTCCTCCTCCTCCTCTTCTTCTTCTGCCTTCTGATGCTGGTATAGCAAAATCAGTTGCTGTTTTTTAAGGTTAGCATCATTGAGAATGTGGGGTAGGGCTAGTGTGCCTATCTCCCCCCAAGTCCACACTGCATCCTTTATTTTGCAATACTGAATGGGAGTGTTGGCGTTGTACTCTAGCTCCTTTCTCTTCATCCTTAAACCTAGATTATGTAGGACATGAAATGGGAGCACAGAGCCTGGCTCAGAGGTCGAAATCTCCCAAAGCAGCAGCAGCAGCAGCTGTTCGGCTTAACAGGAAATGCATTTTAATAGTGTGCCTTTGATCTCATTCTTTTTTTTAAAAAAACACCACATAGCCTTGATCTCAGTAATTCGCAGTAAATGTTGTGCATCCCTCACAACAAAACTACAGGAACCCTACAGCCTACCTGCGTCTTTGCCGACCTAGTGTCCTCCAGATGTTTTTGCTGGTGCTGGCAGCAGCTGTTGTTGAAAACGTCTGGGGGGACCAGGCTGGCAGAGACTGACCTACCTTGTCCCTCAGAAGCTTTTGACTATGGCTGATCTACTGTAGGCTAGCACCTGCTCTCACAGTGTCTGACCAGTTGCTCATGGTTTTGAAAAGCCACAAGGATTTGAACACCAGACCCCTCTCCCCTCCTGTGTTTTCCAGCAATTGGTACTCAGGAGCGTTGCTGCTTCTGACTGCAGAGGCAGAGCATAGCCATCGTGGCTGGGAGACACCAACATCCCTCTCTTCCTCCATGAATTTGTCTAGTCCTCTCTTAGATCCATCCAGGTTGGTTGCCATCACTGCCTCCTGGGAAACGAGTTCCCTGATTTTTAACTCTGCGCTGCGTGAAGAAGTTAGTTATTTTATCTGTCCTGAATCTTCCAACATTCAGCTTCATTAGGTGTCCACAAATTCTAGCTTTAGGAGAGAGGGAGAAATACTTTCCTCTATCCAAAAACAGCATCCATCAAGTTACATATTAAAGGAAACAGAGCCATGTAGCAAGGATGCTGAGGCCTTATTTGCAAACCTGCAAATGTCCACCCTGCCCTCTTGAAGAGCGTGCAGAGTAACTTGCCCACCTCCCTCTTTCCAACAGCTGCTGCTCTGGGTTTTCCAGTGGAGTCAGCCCCATTGGTTCTGATGTGTTTGCTAATCTGATTGGTTTGCTAATCTGCATAATCCTCTAGATGGGATGGGGAACCCTTTTTAGCCTGAGTTCTCATGTGGCTAACCTTCCATTTAAACTCCCCCATCTCTTACATTAACAGGGAGGGGTGGGTGGGTAGCTATCTGTCATGTATGATCTTGTTGGGATTCCTGCATTGCCTGGGGTGTGCTGGATGACCCTCAAGATCCCTCCCAGCTCTACAATTCTGTGGTTCTACCTGGGCTTTGTTACTTTTAAACCCAACTGTGCTCATTCTATGTTATTTAGTTTTTCATCTTTCAGTTTTTGACTATTGTAATTGTTTCTCTGTTTTATATATATATTATAAAATGAAATTTTATTAAATGAATCGAAATGAACCCACTGAGTGTCATTTTACAGTCAATACATATTTATTTATTCCATAAAATTTATATACCGCTTGACTGTAAAAAAAGAAAAGGACCCTCAAAATGGTTTTTAAAAAGGTAAAACAATAAAACTGGGAAAAAATCACACCATAAAAAAACAAAACAGGGAGGGGGACCTCGATGCAGACAGAGAAGTCCCCATGGGCCAGAACTGATGCCTAGGCTAGACACCCCATTTGAGGGAGTCATAAGTTCTCACACAACTAGTAGCCCTTTGCCTCGCGATTGGAGCTGGGCTCTTATTTGCCTGTTGTTGTTTTTTTGGCAATTGTGAATTCACTACAGAGGGGACTGAGCAGCAGCAGTCCCCAGCAGCTGGACCAGGCTGATGTTTCCCCTTTGCTGACCACATCCTTCCTGGCCTGGAGGGAGGAGGCCAGTGCACTGTCACCCCATGCTTGAGGCAAGAGAGTTCCCCCTGCAATGACATGGGTTCTGTCCTGGGGCTCATTCTCACATCACTTGGTGCCTCATGGCAAATCCTCTCGTGCCAGATGTTGTTCATCCCCATTCCGAGGTAGGCTCCCTCTGCATCTGGAGGCTCACTCTGTCTCTCATGGCTAACAACCTTTGTGGACCGCCTGAGCTGGTTTTTAAAGAACCCTGGGCCATCACTCCATCTTTGGGTAACCTATTCCCTGCACACCACATTTCCTAGACCAGAACTAGAGATGCTTCCCCCCCCCCGCCCCCCGCTATTATTCCACGTTTTGGGCTCCTGAGCTGCTGCTCGCATCTCTTGTTTCACGGGAGAATCTCGCTTCCTTGTTTTGATTTTAATCACTGAGCAACTGCATCCCAGATGGCGAGCAGAGTGCTGTATGCAAATCCGTGGCGGAGGGAGCAGATCTGGCTCAGGATAAAGGGAAGGATTAAAAAGGGGTGGTGCTAAACCGGAATCCTCCGTGTCAGTGCTCATAGGTGTCAGTGTCAGTGCTATGCAGGTGGCTTGTTCATTTGCAGGCTGAGCAAATGGTAGGCGTGGGCATTACGGTAAGTCCTTCTGGGACCTGAAGAGGTAGGAGGGGGGGGAGTGTAAAGGCTGTATTTGGAGCAGAAGTGCAGTCGTTGAGCAAGGTCACTGAGAGTTCAATGTGTCCTTTCCCTTAAGACTGCCATGCACCCCGTCCACCTCTTCAAAGCCAGCGATGAAGAGGGGCAGGTCTCACACCCCTGAGTGAGATTTCATCCACACTCATCCCTGTAACCTTTATAGGGGCAGAGCCTGCTCCTTCTCTCTGCTTCTAGAGGCTGAGGTTGAGCTTGCACCTCTCCTTTAAGCTCACTCTAACCCACCCAAGTTGGACCGAGGAAGAACTCGGACAACCCTCCAAAGGTCCATTTTCCAGTGGTCTTTCCGAGCAAAGCCAGGGCTGCAACTGAGCTTCTGTTAACCCTCTGTGCATTCTCTTGGCAGCTCCCCACAATGACTACCCTGGACGACAAGCTGCTGGGTGAAAAACTCCAGTACTATTACAGCAGCAGCGAGGAGGAGGACAGCGAGAAAGAAGAGGAGGGGGAGGAGCAGCAGCATGGCTCCCCCCAGGATGCCACGGAACCCAGGAACGTGGTGCTGAGCAGCGATGGCAGTGCGGTAAACACAGGTGTGCCTCCCTTTCCCCCAGGTCCCCGAATTCACCTACGACTTCCTTAGGGCTGAGCCGATCAGTTGCATTTAATACGCACAAAAGATCCTTTAAGGCTAGTCTGCTGGGGAACGTTTTACTTAGTTTTATTTTATTTTGTAAAATGTATATACCAAAACAACAACAACAATGACAACACCTGAAAACGTTTTACAAAAAAAATCAGGAAGAAGGATTAGCAGCAATGTTTTAAGACTTTCAGAAAGCTAAAGTGACAGTAGACTAAAACAGATTAAAACTCACATCAGCTTTCTATTCGTGTTGACACATTAAATGATTTATAAAACTACAGGTGAGGATCTCAAACTATATCCTTGTTCTTCCTGTGTGTGACATTATTATTATGACTGGAATGTAATTGAAATCAACAAGATTTTGGAACGCAGAAATAAAGAAAACCATCAACTCATCAATTCTAGCACGTGGGGGGCCGCCTTATCTAAATTATATAATTTGGTATTTGAATGATTGATATTATTGATTGTATCATAAATTGGTATTGTTATAATGAGGCTATTATTGGATAACAATTGAAAATTAATAAAAATTATTATTAAAAAGCTCACATCAGCTTTCAAAACATCTGCGTAGACTTGTCCAAGCAAAAATGTTTTTCAGCAATTTTGTTGACAAATAGGCAGGGAGTTCTAAAGTGTAGGTGCTGCCACACCAGAATATTGAGTTCTTACAAATGTGGAACAAGTATTATGTGCCAGCTCTGCTGATTGAAGCAGTTGAATGGGCATTTGTGGGGCAAGGCAATCTCATTGGTAATGTTGGAGGTGTTTCCTTCTTTGAAAATAGGGTAGGAATCCCCAAGTTAAATGCAGAAAGGTGTAACTCTTCCAGATATTTGGAAACCCTCCACAATTGTCCAGCTGTCAAAGCTGTGTAAGAGATCCACCTCTTGGCTCCTGCCTGGAAGAAGCTTCCCTGTGGTAGCTGTCCCACGCTGGGAGGTAAGAGCCTGCCTCACTCCAGATCCAGCCGTTGGTCCCTTCTGCCCAGGATTCTATATTCTGACTGGCAAAGGCTCACCAGGGACTTGTGCAGAGACATGTCTTTTTCCAGAACCTGTTCTCTCTCTGGTATTATCTTTTATATGTGGTTTTTATGTTGTATTGTATTTTATATTGTATTATTTTATGAATAGCATTATATTCATATGCATATAAATTTACAAACATTTATTTGTTATTTTTCTATAAAATACCCATTATGGGGTTTGTGCTTTAATGGGACATTTGGAATTCCCTGCTAGCTCTTGACTGGGACGTAAGCAGAGCCCTGCCCATAGAAGGGGGGACCCTTCTAGTCCAGCTTCCTGTTCCTACGGTGACCATTCAGGTGCCCCAATGGGAAACTACCAAGGAAGCCCTGAGTGTGAGAGCTCGTTCCTCCTGTGGCTTCTTGCTAACTGGTGTTAACAATTAATACATTCTTTTAGGTGGGGTGGGGGCGCTTTTGTGTCAGTTTCACTTGGGTTGGTTCTCTTTCTATTCATGCCAACCTTTTAAATGCCTGCTGACAACTTTTCTATTATCACCTGCCCTATGCAGGCAATGAAGAATACATCTTTCCACAATGGTTATAATTGACGTCTGTTTTTAACCATTTTAATGGTTAATATCATATGTTTTTATTGCTATAAACCGCTGTAATATATGTTTGTTTACTGCCTCTGTGGAGACAGAGCTTAGCCCTTCTGGCTAGTAGCCTTGCCACCCAAGCTGGTCGTCATTGCTGCCTCCTGTGGGAGAGAGTTTTGTAGTTTTAACAGTTCAGCCATGCACTACGTAAAGAAGTGGTTTCTTTTCTCTCTTCTGAATCTCTCCAGAGTTCATCCACAACTGTGATGTTCAGAGGTTTGTCCAGAGTCCTCTGTCCTCAGGCAGGAGTGTTTGTGTGTGTGTGTGTAATCCATACAGGATTTTACTTGAGCTCAAGGCCAGCCTGCTCCTCATATCTGAGCTAATCCAGCCTCCCCCATTTGGCTCCCCAAAGGGGAGCCCTCAAGCAGGGCCTGAGTCCAAGAGCACTCTCACCCGCCCTGCCCTGTGCCTTTCAGCAACTGCTGTTCAGAAGCACCACTGCCTCTGACTGTGGAGGCAGAGGCACAGGCACCGTCTGTTATTGATGTGGCAAGTTGCTGCTGCTGTTGCTGCCTGCTTCATCCCCTCCCTCCCTCCCTCCCCAGGCCCCAAAGGGGTGATCAACGACTGGAGGAGATTCAAGCAGCTGGAGACAGAGCAGCGGGAGGAACAGTGCCGGGAGATGGAGCGCCTCATCCAGAAGCTCTCAGTGACATGCAGGTCCCACCTGGATGACGAGGAGGACAAGCGGAAGCAGAAGGAGCTCCAGGAAAAGCTGAATGGCAAGGTAACAGGCACAGGAAGAGGGGCATCCCTGGAGCAGGTGCTGTTTTGCAGCTGGCGGGGGACCACCTGCCCTGAGTGGCACTTAGCACCTGGTGGTAGAGCTGCCAAGTGTTCAGGGCGCAGCTAGCAAGGGGAACCTGCAGCCCTCTGGGTATTTTTGGAATCTAGATCCCATCAACCAGCGCGGCCCACAACCCAGGGTGATGGGGAGTTGGAGTCCCCAACTGCACCTGGGGTCTTGTGCTTGTGCCGCCTCTGGAGTAAATCAGTTAAAAAACAGGCAGGCAGGGGGCAGGGGATTTCAGGCAGGGAGGAGTGCAGGTGGGTTAACTGTCGGGGTAACTTAGTAGCAAGGGCTGGCCTGTCCATTGGCCTTGGTGAGGCAGTTGCCTCAGGAGAGGGGCAGCAGATCCTGGGCGTCCAGAAGTGCACAGCTCACCTCCTCCTGCTCTTGCTGCTTTTGGTGGATGCCTGGGAAGAGCAGGACTGCTGCCACCTGTGCCTCTCTGTCATCCTTCTTTTCTCTCCCATTTCCTCCAGCTATCTGCAACTGCCCTGAGTCGTCTCAGGCAAAGGCAGCTGTAGGAGGGCACCATTGACTGTTTTGCCTAAAGTGGCAAAATGTATTGTGCCGGCAGTGCCTCGCTTGTTGGGAACTTCCTTTCCAGCTTCTGAGCTGTCCTCCAGCAAGTGCCAATTTAAGCCGCTTTTGTTTAGTGCTCCAGTTGTAATCAGCATCTTTTTCTTGATATTATGCAGCTCAGCCCATGCGTGCCAGGAGGAGGGGGCGGAGGAGGGGGCAACGGGAGGACAGGAGGGTGGAAATTTACGTTCCGCCTTGAGTGGCACAGGGCCTTGGGCCACCCCTGACTGAGGAGGCAGCCTGTTTCCCCAGCTCACCCTGCAGGAGTACAGTGCGCTGCGTGAGGGCCCAGATGACGAGGAGTTCCTGCAGCAGTACCGCAAGCAGCGCATGGAGGAGATGCGGCGGCAGCTGCGCAGCGGGCAGTACTTCAAGCAGGTCTTCGAGATCCACAGTGCGGAGGCCTTCCTGGACACCATTGACAAGGGGCCCAGAAATACCCTGGTGATGGTCCACATTTACGAGGATGATGTCCCAGGGGCCGACTCCCTCCATGGATGCATGGTCTGCCTGGCCACTGAGTACCCCGCAGTCAAGTTCTGCCGAGTGCGGAGCTCCCTGATCGGCGCCAGCTCCCGCTTCACCACCAGCGCCCTGCCGGCCCTCCTGGTCTACAAGGGTGGGGAACTGGTGGGCAACTTTGTCCGTATCACTGACCAACTGGGTGAGGACTTCTTCGCCGGGGACCTGGAGGGCTTCCTGCAGGAATGCGGCCTGCTCCCTGAGAAGGACCTGGTGCTCCTCACCTCCGTCCTCAATGCCTCCTCCTCCTGCCTCAGCGACGACAGTGACCTGGAGATCGACTGAGGGCAGGCTAGGGTGAGCAGAGAGGCACCTGTGAACAGGCAAGTAGAAAAGCCCACCCTTTACTAGCCCCTAGAAGGCAGTTACCCAGTTGCCACACACACACAAACACACATACCGTTCCCAAATGGAGGAGCCACCTCAAGCCTCCAGCTGAAACCTGTCCAGCAGCCTGTGGCCTCTTCCCTGCCTTCCCACCACAGAGCCCTTGCCGCTGCTCCTGATGGGTCTCCAAGCCTAGTTGCTGCTTTGCTTTTATGCTTTTATGGATCTTGCACCTGTATTTTGCACAAGCAGGCATTTTGGCCAGGAGCTGGACGCCAGCAACCCACCCTCCCAAAGGAGTAGGCCTGCATGGGGCTCACACGAACCCCGAGGTGTCAAATGGGGTGGGGGAGTTGTGCTGATGGGAGTTCTAGTCCAAAGCACCTTGAGGGGACCCAGGCTGGCAAACACTGTTGCAGACCATAGCTCAGTCCCAGTAGTTGGCTTGGTAAGTCTGGCTTTTCTCTCCGGGGGTCCTGGGCATTCCTAGCATTCATTTAACAACCCTTGATGTGTTGCTCTGTACAACATCGCCCTCAACAGCAGGTTGCCCTATGCTTGTTTGTGGATGTTCATCCCCTGTGTTAATCTACAAGACATGACCTTCTGCCCTGTTCCTCCAGCAGAAATGGACTCTATTTTGCTAAGCTCTCTTTGAAAATGTGTGACGTATTCCTAACAGTTTTTAAACTAATGCAATAAAGACATGAATATTATTAAGCTTCCTGTCCAGTTGTTTCTTTGAGCAGCTGTTGGTGCTATGCAGTCCTTGTCCCAGGGTTGTTGTTCATCGGGAGGAAGAAAAGCAGAGCCACAGGTACAGATGCTCACCCACGGAGGCCGGTCTGTTAGGAGGGATGGGGCATTCCCCACCAACGTCAATCAGCCCCAACATGCCTACCCTCTCTTGCAGCCAGTCCAGAGTGGTGGTGGCAGCAGCAGCAGCAGCAATCGTTTCCAGTGTCTTCCTCCTTAGCCTCAGTGTTGCCCATGTAGAACTTGCTGCCCCTTAATCCACCTTCTGCTTTGTCAAACAGATGGTTTTCTCTCATTTTTAATGACCCATAAATGTGACTACAGATGTGAAACCCTGCAGTTAAGGTAGCCAGCACAGTGCCCTCTGGACTCAAATGCAAGAAGAACCCTGCTGGTCCATCTGGTCCAACATCCTCTCCTCGCAGTGGCCAACCCAACGCCTGTTGTGGGAAACCTGCAAGCAGGACACAAACACAAGACCCCTCTCCCCTCCTGTTTAACCGTGTGCCATGTGAAGAAGGACTTTTTAAAATCTGTCTTGAATCCTCCAACATTCAGCTTCATTGGATGGCCACAAGTTCTGGTATTAGAGAGAGAGAGAGAAACTGTTCTCTCCACATCCTTTATGCCATGCATAATTTTATAAACTTCTATCATGTCACCTCTTACTCGCATTTTCTCTAACCTAAAATGTTGTTGGATGGGTTTATGGGAGTTCTAAGTTCCACAATACCTAGAGAGCAGTGGTTTTCAACCAGTGTCTCATGGAACCCCGAGGTGCCTTGAAGGATGATCGAGGTGCCTTGGGCAACCCTGGCCTCTGTCCCTCTTCCCTTCTTTCCCTCCCTCCCGCCTCTGATGCCCTCCTCTATCTCTGCCTCCCCAAGGCTTGCACAGCTGTTTGTTGCAGCAGCCCTGGCTATAAGCTCCCCAGGCGAATGGTGCACCTTTGGCTGGCCAGGGGGTGCTTCCCCAGCCCCTGTGGGGCAGTGTGAGGAGGCATCTCTCTTTGGGGCGGGGGGGGCAGCTCAGAGACCAGAGACAGCAGCTGCCCAGAGGATTCCCTGGGAGAGGGGAGAGGAGAGGGGGCTGAGGGAACACTCCACAAGGGAGAGTGTTCAAAAAAGGGTGAGGGGCTGCCAGCTCTGCAGGCAAGGGGGGACGTAAGTAGGCCCCTGGGCCCCACAGGGGTGCCACAGAAAGAATGGAGTTGGTCAAGGGAGTTGTGGACTCAAAAAGGTTGAAAACCTCGGCCTAGAGAGCATTAAGGTATCTGTCCCAACCTAGAGCATTGCTGTGCATGACCTGAGATGCAGTTGTGGCCTAACGCATGTGACTCACGTAACAACATCTAGCAGGAAATTGACATTATGACTACTAGAACTAAATGGCTCGGGACCCCAGTACCTCAAGGACCACTTCTCCCCATATAAACCAACCTGGACCCTGCGATCACCCATGAGGGCATTCTTTGTGTGCCCCCTCCCATGAGAGGTCTGGAGGGTGGCAACATGAGAACAGGGCCTTTTCTGCAGTGGCTCCCCGTTTGTGGAATGCTCTCTCCAGGAAGCCTTGCCTGGAGTCTTCTCTACATGTCTTTAGGCTCCAGGCAAAAACATTCCTATCATCCCATGCCTTTGTGTAATTAAACAATCTACAGTGGTACCTTCAGTTGCGAACGGGATCCGTTCCAGAGGTCTGGTCGGATCCTGAGGTTTCCGCAACCTGAGGACCGCTTCTGCGCATGCGCATGTGGTGAAACCCAATAAAATACTTCCGGGTTTGCCATTTTCGCATCTTGAAGTTTATATAACCAGAGGGTTACATAACTGGAGGTACTACTGTATTGCCTTTTAAGATGTTTGTTTGTTATTATGGTATTTTGTGTTTTTATATTGTAAACTGCCCTGTGATCTTTGAATGAAGGGTGGTTTACAAATCTAAATAATAATAATAATAATAATAATAATAATAATAATAATAATACCAATAGGACTTCTCTCTGGGCCAGCCCAAAAAACCCAGATGCTGGAGGTATGAAATGCAATTGATTTCATAGCCTAATGAATTAAATTAGTTTACCTTTCTCAGTAACAAGCATCTGAGTTCACTAGAATTTACTAACAGAATAATGTTGTGATCAGTGGTGGGGAGCCCTTTTGGCATAAGCAACATCTGAAGACCAAATGGTTTTCCTTTCCACAAAGAGTCTTGCAGCACCTTAAAAACTAACACGCTGATTATGGCGTCACTTGTTATGCATAACAGCCCACTTCATCAGATACACAGAGAACTAAGCTGAGATGCAGGTGAATAGACAAGTGTTTGGGACCGGAGAATTAGGGAAATGGCTGAAGTGAACGAAATGCAGAAAAGTGCAGACTAATTGATGGTGCTAATCCATAAAACAGGTGTGTTTTTTTAAAAAGGTTTTTACTGAAAGATTTTCATGGATAACAAAGGTGCATATGCCTCTGTTTTCTGTTCATACGATTCTATCTACAGGTCACTTAGATTTTGTGTGAGATGTTGCTTTTGACAACGTAGGACACACTGGCGCTGATAAACTACATAATCCCTTTAAGGCACGAAAAATCCTTTGTCTCTGTTCAGAACACAAGCAAAAGCACTGAAACTCATAATACCATAATAAGAGCCTCTGGATCAATCCAACGACCCGTCTAGTCCAGCCTCCTGTTCTCACAGTGGCCAACCAGATGCTCTTGTGTGAACCCGACAAGCAGGATCTGTGTACAAGAATACTCTCCCCTCCTGCGGTTTCCAGCAACAGCACACAACCTGCACCAGTTGGGTACCACCTCAAGCTACCTATGGCCTGTCTCAATCCATTTTATCATGAAGTCCAGATCATATTGTGATGGAGGGGTGATAGCTGACCTAGAGCAGGGGGCTATTTCCTTCCCCTCCTGTCCCTTTCCCCCCCTCCTTTTGTATCATGTCTCTCTCTTTTTATTGCAAACTGCCCTGGGAGCCCTCTTGGCTGAGGAGCACGGTATGAATGTTGTTGGCTTCCATCTGTCTCGAGAGACAATGGAGTGCACTCCGGGATGAAGACAAATCACTGTGTTAGCAACACTGAGGTGACCTCCCCAGATGACAACACACTGATGTGGTCCAAAGGAAAGCAGAGCAAGATGTTTGGCACCTGCTGGGCTGCATGAGTTGCTGGAAGGAGGCGTACAAGGCACCACCCAACCATCCTAGGGATTTGTACAGTTTACTCCTTAGCTTTGCCTTGCCTTGCCTTGCCTTGCCTTGCCTTGCCAGCAGAGGTTTAGGACTAGAGCTTTCCTTCTCCTAGAAGGGCTACCTTCCTAGGTTGAGGAGCCCCACCTGCCCCTCACTTCCCTCTACAGCATATGCAGAAACAACCTTCTTGATTGTTGGACCCATTCTTGGTCTCACCCATTCCATGCGCTGGAGCCTGTCTTCACATACAGGGGAAATCCCTAATTCACTGAGAGTTTGAGACCCATCAGCTCTCCTCACCTGGCTTAGCCTGCCAGTCAAAGCCATTCCCAGGCTGTGGCTGCTGTCACATGCTGACAGCTTCTAGGAACCACAGGTGAGAAATGAGTGCAGGGTGGGGACCAAAGGCGGACAAACTACCTAAGAAGGAGCATGACATGTACAGCACCTGAGGCACTACTGCTCCCCAAAACCTCATACGCCCCAAGGTACAAAAGTGCTAAGCAAATAAATCCTTTTGGATTGCAAGAAGCAACTGTGTTGAAGGACCACCCTAAGCTTCTTCCTGCTCCCACTGGCAGCTACCCATTGGTGGGATGTGGGTTTTCCCATTTGGCAATGTGCACTTTGAGCTGCTTCGGCCCAGAAGCTCTTGCAGCCATTGGAGGCTTGCAGAGCATTCATAGGTATGACTTATTCCATGATGCAAGGAATGTCACTGTGCTCATGCTCGGGTGGATACATTATTCATTTCTGCCTATCAGTGAGCATACAACCAAACACTAAAAAAACCCGAAGTGTTTTTAAGACCATGCAAGCTTGATCTCAAACACACAAATGCCCTTTAGGTTTCTTTTTTAAATTTCCCAACCTGTGTCTGGACCATGTGAGGCTAATACTTGTTTACTAGAAATGTTGGCGCACCATCTGTCTCCTTCCCGAAAGCCTTTTTTGCATGAGGCTCAGGTTACAGTTCTGTGCAAACTGGTCATCAAAACAACAACAGGAAAATCCAGCCTCCCTTTTGTAACCCATCTATTCCTCTCTTTTTCTTTTCCACCCCTAGGCTGAACAAACATGTGTATCTCACTGACATGAAAGTTAGCTTGGTGGATGGCTGCCTGTCCACTGTTTGGGACTTTTTAGTTCAGAAAAAAGATAAGTAAGAGGTGACAAGGTAAAAGTTTGTAAAATTATGCACAGCATGAAGAAAGTGGACGAAGAAAAGTTTTTCTCCCTCTCTCCTAATGCGAGAACTTGTGGACACTCAATGAAGCAGAATGTTGGAAGATTCAGGACAAATAACACAAAGTACAGTGGACGCTTGGGTTGCGAACGTGATCCATGCGGGAAGAACATTCGCAACCCACAGTGCCGCGTCTGTGCATGTGCGGGTTGCAATTTGGCGCTTCTGCACATGGGCAAAGTGTGATTTAGTGCTTCTGCGCATGCGCAAGTGCCGAAACCTGGAAGTAACTTGTTCTGATACTTCTGGGTTTGGCGTGGAGCGCAACCCGAAATTGCACAACCTGAAGTGTCTGTAACCCAAGGTATGACTGTACATGTACATCTTCACAAAGCGCATAGTAAAACTATGGCACTCACTCCCACAGGAGGAGGCAGGGATGGCCACCAAAATTCATGGAAGAGAAGGTTATCAATGGCTGCTATCCACAATGGCTCTGCTTTGCTTCCTTGGTCAAAGGCAATAAATGCTTCTGAATGCCAGTGGCTGGGAGGTGTCCGCAGGAGGGAAGAGTGTTGCTCTTGTGCTCAGGGCCCGATTGCAGGTTTCCCCTCAGGGGGATCTGGTTGTCCACTGTGAGAACAGGGTGCTGGGCTAGGTGGAATCTGATTCATTTCTTCTTTCAGAGACTTGCATAGTCTTCAAAGACTTTCAGAGACTTATAAGACTTATGTTTATTTGGTTTTATGTTTTCAAGAGAATCCATTAAGAGTGCATATTTTGTGACTTCCACTGATTCATAAGTTTTCTGTATATGTGATTTCATATATTTCATATTATATAGTGTATTGATATCATATCATTGTATTTGGTCATCGTGTTGCCTTGGATATTACTATCTTCCATCTGACAGCCCTTCAGGTATTTGAAGATGGCTATTGTCTCTCCTATCAGTCTTGTCTTCTCCAGGCTAAACATCCTCAACTCCCTCAACCTTTCCTCACAAGGCTTGGTTTCCAGACCTTTAATCACCCTGGTCGTCGTCCTTCACACACCTTCCAGCTTGTGAACATCCTTCTTAAATTATGGCACCCAGAACTGGACACAGGAGGCCAGGTGTGGTCTGACCAAGGCAGAAGAGAGTGGTGCTATTACTTTCCATGATTTGGATCCTAGACTTCTGTTGATGCAGCCTAGAATAGCATTAGCGTTTTTTGCTGCTGCATCACAGTCTGGACTCATGTTAAGCTTGTGGTCCACCAAGACCCCTAGATCCTTATATTGCTGCTATAGCAGAATGATATATTAACCTGCTACAGCAGGAGGTTAGGTGAACCCTTTACCAATCAGGTGCCATCTAGATGTCTTCTATAACTCCCATCAGGCCCAGCCATTGAGGCCAATCACAGGGACTGATGTCGCAGTTGTAGTCCACAACACCTGGAGGGCACCAGGTTGGGGAAGGTTCCAATGCTAACTCAGAAAATGTTATTCTGATAAGGCTACTCCCAGTCAATAGTTTAATCTGGGGTGGCAGCACCAGCAGCTTGAAGACCTTCGTGTAGAGCTAAAATATCTCTTCCACTCTCCCACACACTTCCTTTTCTGAGCTGGCCATTTCATTTTGACTCATACTTTGACTTGCAAAACCTGCTGTAAGACAATATCAGCTGCCTATACCAGATGCCCGGTTTTACTAATTCATAAACAATGATTACAATATAAGTTTTCCATTCTCTACTGGTTGACACCTCTGCTTTGTTTTTCGTGGCCAATTAAAAATAAACACAGGGAGATTAGGTTTTACTTGGGGGCGCCACCTCCCTGCATTATACCCCCAAGGGTGGCCTCATCATCTCTTCTGGAGAAGCTTTTAAATTTATTAGACATTCCCCCCCTGTGCCCCCCCCAACTTGCAATGGCTGCAAAAGAAAAACAGGCAAGGTGTCTTATCTGCTGCCACCACCTCAGAGTTTGCTAGTGAGCTGGGCCTATTAAGCACCCTGTTCACATGTCTAAGAGGGACACGGGTGGCGCTGTGGGTTAAACCACAGAGCCTAGGACTTGCTGATCATAAGGTTGGCGGTTCGAATCCCCGCGACGGGGTGAGCTCCCATTGTTCGGTCTCTGCTCCTGCCAACCTAGCAGTTCAAAAGCACGTCAAAGTGCAAGTAGATCAATAGGGGAAGCGGCTTAGTCACACTGGCCACATGACCTGGAAGCTGTACGCCGGCTCCCTCGGCCAATAAAGCGAGATGAGCGCCGCAACCCCAGAGTCGTCCGCGACTGGACCTAATGGTCAGGGGACTCTTTACCCTTTACCTCACATGTCTAAAGAGTTGACCATGCATGATGTGTTGCCATGGGACCAACTGGCTCTTTCAGCAGAGGGTAGGCCTTCCCCAGGAGACTTGGGAGCAAAAGGGAGAGAAATCTCACCCACGGGCCTCAGTCTGTCACAGTCTCCTGCTGAAGCCTTTTTGAAACACACTGGAGCAGCACAGGAGTGTGGTAGCTGGCGACTCCACAGGCACTGACCAACTGGTGCCTTCCATAGGAGAGTGTTTTCACAGTTGAACTTTTAGTGTAAGCTGGTGGTGGCATTTGGATTTCTCCAAATCATAGCCGAAAATGTTTTCAGTGGGTCGTACCTGCACCTTGAAACTCTCACAATCAGCTCACTGCTTGCCCCTCCTGCCCTGTGGGACAGAGTGGAAATGTGTCAAAAAACCATGAGCCAACCATGAGCGTGGGGCAATGTTGAGCTGGCCGGCCACGACTCCCAAGCCTCCCCTGAGCTGTCAAAATGAAGGGGGAAGGCGGCACAGCTCCGCCCCTCCCCCCAACGGCTTGGGGTAGGCTTGGGAGTTGCGGGTGGCACGCCAAATGTCTCCCTCCTCAGTGATGACACCCATGGCAGGCCGCCTCCACCGCCTCCCTTCCTCTGTCCCTGGTGCTATGCACAGCCCAATGCGGCCCTTGAGGCCTTCTCTGAGGTGCTTGGCAACATTTGAAACCCCCCCGAGCCATCGCACTGCCTTCCCAATGTAAGTCGGCGGGGGGGGGGGGGAGAGCTTAACTAAAGCCTTGTTAGGGCTCTAGGGCTCTACCAGAGCCTGGTACCTCCTTTCCAAAGCCTGGTACCTCACTGAGCTGAGTTTGGGAAGGCAGTGCGAGGGCTGTGGGGCAGGGGCTCAAATTTTGGCCTCACTCCCCCCCCCACCCCGGCATGACAAGGCAGTGTGTCTGTGCACTCTTGTGCTCCACGGGGTATGAAAAGCTGGGCTTCCCTGATCAAGATGGTGTTCTGGGATTGTGATGACCCCTCTTGCTGGTTTGGGTGAGTGATGCATGTTTGTGTGCATGTAGAAGCTTTTGCTGTTTGTGTGGCCAGAATGTAGCTTATTGCCAAAGCACCCACTTTGGGCCTCTGTACCCCTCCGCCACTGGCAAGTAGCCCCTGAAAGATTTCCTGGGGAAGAATGTGGCCCTTGGTCTGAAAGAGTCTCCCCACTCCTGGACTAGAGATCTTAGCACTTTCAGGAGAATGATTGGCTGGATCTTGTCCTCAAGGGCCCAACAACCACACCTGTGCCCCCAGCATTGACCATGTTTGCCAGTTGATGGCATGATAAATGGTCCCCCACCCTAAAGAAAGGAAGCACATTTGTGACTTTTGGAAATGAAATCACTATTTATTCTGACCATTCCCTGCACTCCCAACACCCTCTCCGCCCCATAGCAGAAACACACACTCTCACACACTCACCTAAGTGGAGGTCAAAAGGAAAACACTTTATATCTCCCACAAAAATTTCCCAAACCTATTATTCTAAGGCACGTATACACCACAGGTTTAAAAGAGATTGAACTGGTTCTGCAATTGTATTGACAAGCTGGAAGGTGTACAGAGGAGGGCGAAAGATGTGATCAAGTGTGTCTGGAAGCCAAGCCATATGAGGAACGGTTGAAGGAGCTGGGTATGTTTAGCCTAGAGAAGAGGAGAGTGAGAAAAGATACGATAGCCATCTTCAAATACCTTAAGGGCTGTCACACAGAAGAGGGAGCAAATTTGTTTTCTCCTGCTATGGAGGGTAGGACTCGAACCAATGGCTTCAAGTTACAAGGAAGGAGATTACAACTAAACATCAGGAAGAACTTTCTGAGAGGAAGAGCTGTTTGACAGTGGAATGGTCTCCCACGAGAGGTTGTGGACTTTCCTTCCTTGGAGATTTTGAAGCAGAGGGTGGATGGTCATCTGTCTTGCATGCTTTACTGATGTTCCTGCATTGCAAGGGACGACATGACCTTTGGAGTCCCTTACGACTTCATGGTTCTGCAATTCTATATTTTCCTCTAGAGATTTTAGGGAATCATGTTTAGGAACTGGCTCCAGGGGGTAAAAGATACAATTGGAACCCATGGCATATGATGAAGCAGACATAAATCTGCATATAATGTGTTGTGCTGGTTTTTATGTCTAGACAACTGGGACATTAACAGGACAGGTGGCTGAGGAGCTCCCCAACAGTGCCCAGCCCTCATAGAAAGCAAAGTAAAGCAAATAAAAATCAAAGTTGAAAGCAGGAGGAGCAGGTGATTTGGGCTATGTGTCATAAGGCGAAAGGTCTTGGCACCCAACAACATCCCTGTAATACGTGTTTTACTGCTGCATGTGATGGGCCAAAATGACCTTGGAAGGAGAAGATGGGAAGGAAAGAGGAAGCCGACTGGGCAGAGGACAGGCAGACCACAAAAGGCTTTTCATTTCTCCCAGTAAACTGTACTTTTAATTCTCCTCTCTGAACCTAACCCTCCACAATACATTTCCAGGTATGCGATGAGCAGGGATGCTGTTCCGTTCTCTCCATTCCTCCCCACCAGCCAGCCATAGTCTACCACCACTCCTTGCCGCTTGCCACTGGCTGGACCACAGCCAAGCCAAGGAGCAGCCCCTGCCCTCTGCCCCCGCTGCGGTCCTAGAGCTCATCCAATGGCCCCTTCTCCTTTGCAAGCACAACGGCGTCCTCTCCACCGCCGGGAACCCGGAAGGCCACATAGGGACATCTCTTCACGTTGAGACACACCAGTTTCTGGAGTGAGGCCGTGTTCACCAGCTGGAAGCCAGCCTCACCACCAAAGGTGCTGGGCTTCCAGTACTCTGGGGAGCAGATGGGGTTCCCAAAAAGACCCTTCAAGGAGAATGGGGCCCCGATCTCCACCATGCTCTCGCCGAAAATCGAGTTGTGCTGGCTCTTCTCCACCAGCAGACCTGGGTAGAACTCAAGAGCGTCAATGTCTCTGTACAGGGTCTCCAGTTTGGCAGCAGTTTCTTCTTCACCTGAGAGAGGGAGAGAGAGAGAGGAAGAACTGAATATGGAAGATTAAGGGCAGACAAAGGTCCTCCTTCACACAGTGCACAGTTAATCTATGGGACTCCTTCCTGCAGGAGGCAGTAGCAGCCACCACCATGGGTGGCTTTGAAAGAGGATCGCCTTGGCCTCCTCCATGAATTTGTCCAATTAATGGCTCCCAGCCTTGATTGCTCGGCTCTTCCTCCACAGCTGGAGACAGAAATGCTTCCAAATCTCAATTGCTGGAAACTACGGGAGGGAAGAGTGACTCTCGTGGTTGGTTCTGCTTATGGGTTTCCCATTGGAGAACATAGTTGACCACTGTGAGAATGAGATGCTGTGCTAGATGGGCCATGGGCCTGATCCAGCGGGGCTCCTCTTCTGCTCAAAAGTGGGCCGTGATTCTGTATTTCATTTACAGTCATACCTCTTGTTACGTTTGCTTCATGATACGTTCCGCGGTGACCCGGAAGTACCGGAAAAGGTTACTTCCGTGTTTCGCCATTCGCGCATGCGCAAACACGCAAAATGACGTCACGCGCATGCGCAGAAGTGGCGAATCGCAACCCACGCATGCGCAGACGCAGGTTGCGTTCCTTTCAGGTGGCAAACATGGCTCTGGAATGGATCCAGTCCGCAACCAGAGGTACCACTGTATTTCAAAAATTATATCTTATTTTCCTTCAAGGAGCTCAAGAAGATACAAGGGCTCTCTTCCTTCCCATGTTATTTTCACAACAGACAATTTCCCTCTTCCACCTCATCCCCCCACCCCACCCCTGCCCCTCGGCTTTAGGGTGAGACTGCCTCTGAATATGGACTTTCTGCTTAACTGCCCTGGCTCCTTCCCCTCACTGAATTGAGCCTCTAAGGCTAAGTGGTCATCCCTGCAGTGATGCATCTTGTGGCAGTGAGTTCTGTATGCTGCGGGGTGGGGATGTCTGGCACCTCAGGGTGAAAGGTGAGTGATACATTCAAATATAATAATTAATAAACAGTTCTGAATCTTCTATGTGTCCATTTCAGTGGACAACACTGAATTCAAGCACTCTAGGAAAAACAGGCTCTACTCCATGCATACTCTTTCAGAAACCAACATCTCCCTTCACCCTCTACCACTCCCCCTCCCCAAATTAAAACACACACACACACACACACACACACACACACACACACACTTTTTAGCCTTGTCCTCACAGGGAAACACCATGGCCTTTGCAGGGTGGGGGTGGCATCTAAAGTGCCCCGCATGGTGACCCCTCTGGGAGCCCCCTGCCCTCATTCCGGCAGGTTGCCTGCCCTACCTGTCAGCTCCTGGAAGGAGGTGTAGGGCTTCATGCCAAACCTCTTCCGGTATTCGTTGAAGGACTGGAGGCGCAGCAGCCTTGACTCCTCAATGACTCCAATGGCCACTTTAAGAAGCTGCTTGTGGATGTTCGGTACCCCACCAATCTGAAAAGCCAATGGAGAGGCTTGGTTAGCAGGAGGGGAGGGGCCAAGCCACCTAGGTGGGAGCAGAGCCTGCAGATTTCCCACGCTCCCTCGAGAAGTTCCCGTTTGCATGCAATCATACGTAACAGGGGTGAAGACTTGTTGGGGTGGCTGGGGGTCAGATCTAGCCTGCAGACCATCCATTGGGAGGACAGGGGTCAAAGTCCAAATCCCACTTCTGACACCAAAGTTGCTTCCACAGCTGCAGGACTGAGGCTCTGCTTTTCTACAGTCAGCAGGAAGGGTACGGTAATTAAAATGGTGGTTTGGGGCAGCACTTAATATAGCACTGTGATCCCATTAAGTCTCTCCGTGGGACCATGACCCTTCTGTAATGTCTACTCACATGTAAGTCTCCTTCAGTTAAGGGTCCCCTGGAATGTTAATAAGTTCTTTCACTGCCGGCCTTGCCATGTCCTTCCTTTCTGGTCAACAAGGCTGAGGGATTTGTGGTGAATTGCCCCTTGATTAGTCAGTTCCTGTTCCCCATTAGTGGTTTTAATTACCCTTCATTGTTTACTTCTCCCCTCTTCTTTCTTTATGGAGCTATAATTTTCCTTCTCTTAAGGTGCAGCTGATCACAAATCCCTCAGCTGCACTGAACAGGAAACAATAAAATAGCCTGTGAGCAGGAAGACTTTGAATGAGCAGTAACCCTTTAAATCCTCAGCCATGCTGGCCAGGCATTTATATGAAAACAGCCTTTTATGGGAGGGAGGAGAAGAAAGAGGCCACAAATCAGCACAGCAAAAAAACAAAGAAAGACAACAACAAATGCACTGTTCAAACCCTGATCCAGACTCTCTGCAACAGTGGTTCCCAAGTGGGTGCTATCACCCCCTGGGGAAGGATTACCTAGTGGGGTGCTAAGAGGCAAGAGTGCGATGGAGGTGGGTGCCTCTGAGCATGCAGAGTGTTTACTTACCATTGGCCAGGTTACACCTTCCTTAAGCAAAACACCTTCCTCACTTCATATTTAAAGTTTTACTGCTCCTCTCATTGACAAATTTGTTTCCTTTGTTCACGTTTGTTTAGCTAATTACTGGCAACAGCTATTTATTTTCTGATTAGTTAGTGACCATGAATCTGTGGTAGGTGAAGAGTGTGTGTGTGTACAGTGCTGTTTTTCCTTTAAAAAAAAATGTTTAGGGGTACTTTTTTTCCTACTCATATTGAAATACTGCCCCTCAATGAGGCCAAACTTAGATTCACAAAGCGTACCCCTGCGTCCCCCAGAAAAAAGCACTCTGTGTGTGTGTGTGTGTGTGTGTGTGTGTGTGAATGATTCCTGCTAAACAATTTTAAACCAGGTATTGGGAAACTGGTTTCACTTCATCAAGCCCATCCGTCACATTGAGAATTTACTGAACAGTGAAATAGTTACTAAAGGTGATATCTAAGTCTCTTGCTAAGCTGATATCACTGGATCAAGTTCATCAGTTCTGTTGACTTAATTACACTAAATAGTTTTAATTCGCTTTTCAACAAATGTGTGCTTAATTGTCACTGTTTTGAATTTTATTGTGTTGGTAACTTCCACAGTGGGTCATGTAAACCACTATTCTGAATACAGTCATACCTCGGTTTAAATATGCTTCAGGTTGAGCGTTTTCAGGTTATGCTCCGCGGCGACCCGGAAGTAACGCATTCCGTTACTTCCAGGTTTCGCCGCTTGCACATGCACAGATGCTAAAAATGATGTCACGTGCATGCGCAGAAGCGGTGAATCGCGACCCTCGCACACGCAAATGCGCAGATGCAGGTTGCGTTTGCTTCAGGATGCGAACGGGGCTCCGGATCGGATCCCATTTGCATCCAGAGGTACGACTGTAATACTTTTTATAGGATAGGGGGACACTGGGGCAAGTCTGCAAAACCAGGGGGCAGTGGCCCAGAAAAGCTAGGGAACCACTGATCTATTAGAACTAAAAGCTGACAGTTCCAGCTGGCATGGTACGGCTACTTGAGGTATGTCAGTTCCCTAGGTTTGCTCGCTTTCCCATCCTGGTGGACCAAGAACCATCCTGCTCTTCTAGATTGGCTTGGCCCTTTGGGATGTGTGTGGCCAATGCACCCACCTGCCCAGCTTGCTGCCTGGAGAAGGCATCTACAAGGGCCTCCACTCCATAGTCTATCAGCATAGTGGTGTTGTAGACAAACTGGTTGTAGCTGTACTCTTGATCCTGGATCTTGAAGGTATCTGGCATCAGTGGATGCCAATGGTAGAGCTGGTTGAATTCCACTGCAATGCGGTTCCGGTACTGGAACTGGACTCCAAAGAGGAGTTCTGGGTCGAACTTCAGCTGTAGGAAGTAGCCACTCAGATGCTGGACATAGTCCTCAATGACGATCTTGATGGTCTCACCTGGGAAGAGCAGAGGGAGGGAGTCAACGGGTGAGGATGCAGGCAACTGAGCGCGTGATCTAAGAACATAAGGATCAGGCCAAAGGGGCCCCATCTAGCCCAGCATCCTGTCCTTCCAGTGGCCACCAGATGCCCAATGGGAATCCAGCAAACAGGATTCAAGAACAGGATCCTTCTCCCTTCCTGTGGTTTCCAGCTTCTAGTTTTCAGGAGCACTGCTGCTCCTAACTGCAGAGGCAGAGCACAACCATCATAGCTAGAAGCAATTGACAGCCGTCTCCTCTATGAATCTGTCTATCCCATTTTTAAAGCAATCTAGGTCGGTGGCTATCGCTGCCTCCTGTGGTTCCATAGTTTAACTATATGGTGCATGAAGAAGGACTTTGTCTGTCCTGAATCTTCCAACACTCAGCTTCACTGGACGTCCCAGAGTTCTAGTGCTATGCATTCTGACAGGCCAAAAGGCAGGGTATGAATAAATATATAATTATTATTATTATTGGGGGGGGGGGGGGAGAGACTTTTTTCACTCCACTTTCTCCATGCTAGGCCTAACATTGTATACTTCTATTATGTCACTCACCTTCTCTTAAACTAAAAAGCCGCAAACATCTCACCTTGCCAATCCCACCTAAGCCCTGAAGATAATAAGGGCTTGGTGGTCCATTCCACAACAAAGTTTTTAACATACAAACATCAATCTGCAAGGTGGTATTATCATGCTGGACTTTGGAGCTGTACCAGCTTCTTAATCTGTCCAAACAGGTCAAGAATCCAGGAAATCTGATGCTTATGTGCTTTTTAAAATACTGGTGGTAAAACAGTCAGCTTCACAGATTTCGCCTCTCTTGTTCCTTTGGTGGTGGACTTCACTGGAGGTTTTTCAACAGAGGTTGGGTGGCCCTCTGTCAGGGATTCTTTAGCCGGGATTCCTGAATTGCAGGGGGTTGGACAATATGATCGGTGTGTGTGTGTGTGTGTGTGTGTGTGTGTATGCAATATCTTTCCAATGCTACCATTTTACAAGTCTATAATTTTCAAATGCAAATTGTTTCCTCATTAATCGATGGAGAATGGGTTAGTGTGTGTGTGTGTGTGTGTGGAGGAAATAACACTGGAAGAATGTTGGCATGGCGCTTGGTTGGAACACCCCACTGCCCTGTTGCCCTCCCCCACAGCCCTCCCCCCTCACACACCAATAAGAATGAGCCTTGCGGTCTGGAACAGCTGCTCATCATCCCAGGTGGGGTGAATCTGCTTGAGAAGGTCACAGACGCGGTTGTGCTCGCGGAGCCAAATGGTGGCGTACATCATGAGTCCCGGGAGCAGCCCAAACACCTCCTGGCCCACAGCCAGCTGCTTTTCTGCGGGGATGTGCTTTGGGTAGATCATGTGCACGGGGGCGTCCAGTACCGTCGGGGGATAAATTTCCCCTTTCACCACCTAGGGAGGTGAGAGAGGAAGGGTGCGTGTCAGGGGTGCATCTCAAACACCTCGCAGGCCCAAGCTATCTGAAATATCATGTCCTCCCACACGAACCTGCCCTTCTCTTGGTCCCATCACCCTCATCTGCATGCTTCATAATCTGCCCATGAAATATTTATTCTGAAGGGGATTAGAGACATTCTAAAACCAGACAAATAAGACACAGATTTGCCTCCTGTGGCATCGGACAGAGTTCCCCACCTGGGATGATGAGCAGGCCAGACTGTTTGCCCATCTAGCCCAGTATTGACTATTTTTATCGGCAGCAGCTCTCTAGGGTCATCCTGTTTTGCTCTCCCAAGGCAGTAGGACCATTTATCCTCTTTCATACCTGGTATTTCAACTTCCCGTCTCGGAAGAGCCTCAGTTCATGTTGGCGTTCCAAGTTGTCTCCATATAAATGTCCAAGATCCACCTGCAGAAAAGGTCCAGGTGGTTACAGCTCATGAAACTGTAGCAGTTGCTTTGTATTTAGAAATTTTGAAAGCATGTAAGTACATCAGAAGAGCCCTGAAGCCGGATCAGGCTAGTGGTTTCCAGCAACTGGTATTCGAAGCATCACTGCCTCCAGCTGCAGATATAGAAGAACCTGTTTCTAACTGCTCACATTTATAAACTTCTTAAACGTATGTTTTATATTCTGCATAAACTGCTTAGAGATGTTATTGCTTACCTGGTACCCAAATTCAGGTAACATAAAATATAGAATTTAAAGCATTGGTGTACAATAAAACAATATAAAAATTAACCTGTGTATTTAATTTCTTCCCTGACTGTCCTGCCCCTCCCCCTGCCCCCCCCCCAAGTACTGTATTAGGGTTTAAACCTACTTGGGAACAAGTCACACACCCTGATGGGGAGTGGATTAATTGCCCTTCCCTTGTATTTTTCTGCTCTTGATTCCACCCACCCAACTCAGGGAACAGCTTTTGCTTTTCCAAAAGGACTGCCAGACTTTCAATATTATTTATCTAATGTATTCATATTTTTGGAAGTGAGTGATGTGGGTTTGGGAGGTGAGTCTGGATGATGCCGCGAGTCCCTTCCGATTCTTAGGATCCTGTACCCAGGGAGAGTTAGTATCAAAGAGAGGGTCCTACTGCTGAACTAGCCAGAGAAGTTTATTTGTAAGACGATGGCCTTGGCTGGCCACTGCAGTGTCCTCATCCGCATCCCAAAAGGATGGGCTCCATTGCAAGAGGTGCAATGAAGGGATGAGGCCCTCCAGGCTGATGGGCAGGTCTTTCCTTTCCCTCCTCACCTGGCTGCTAGGTAGGAGAACAAGAGCCAGGGTGGTATGTGGGAAATGAGCTGAAAAATGCAGGCTGGAAGCTGGAGACCCAGAGAAACACTTGCTCTGTGCTGGATCCCAAAACCCATTGGGATGTTAATGCTGTGAGTCTCTCCATCTTACGCTCAGGTTGTATATATGTGTGAATAAAACTACATACAGTCATACCTCGGGTTGAAGTAGCTTCAGGTTGAACGTTTACGGGTTGCGCTCTGTGGTGACCCGGAAGTAACGGAACGCAGACGCTCAAAATGACGTTACACGCATGCGCGGAAGTGGCAAATCGTGACCCGCGCATGCGCAGATGCGGGTTGCGTTTGCTCCAGGATACGAATGGGGCTCCGGAACGGATCCCGTTCGCATCCAGAGGTACCACTGTATCCTAAAGACACCACAATCTCCGATGACCTTCGTCTCAAGGAAACTGAACCTGGGTAGGCACCTGGAACCCCTGGAGTCTCTCACTACTTGGGAGATTAGGGTGGCATTTAACCAACCTTTCAGGATGTGTACGCCTGCAAGGTGGTATACATGCTTCCATTTGACATATGGTTTGTTTTGTCACCCAATGCCAAGAGAAACTCATTCTTCACATGCTGTTTTACGCTCCTTTCTGTATCCACTGGAATTCTCTTTTCCTCATGGGTGATCCATCATTCAATGGAGCCCAAGCATTGCTCACAGAAGCCCCGGGCTAAAGCAACCCTCACTGAACTCTGCATAGCTCTTTTAAATGTGAAGCCACCATTGACCTTCCAAGGGCCTTGAACCCAGGCAGCTGCAGAAGTGGGCACTCCACTTGGCCCTAGAAAAAGCTCTGTCTTTTCTCCATTCCACCATGTTTTCTTCCACCCCTTCATCAAGGCTGCAATGTGCGGGACTTCATTTGTGCCTGATCCAGAAGCTGCAGTTAGTGCAGAAGGCTGCAGCGTGGTTGCTAATACCTGTGCTCAGAGACCTGCACTGGTTGCCCATTTGCTACTGGCCCAACTTCAAGGTGTTCCTGTTGGTATACAAAGCCCTGAACAACCTGGGACCAGTTTACCTACGAGACCCCCTTACCCCACATATGCTCACTCAACCACTTTGATCGGCAGAGATAGCAGAGTTACAGGGGCGACATAATACCCGTCCCGCTTTGGTAAAAACTTGGTCCTTTAGTGTGGCAGCCTCTACACTTTGGAACTCCCTGCCTCTTGATATCAGGCAGAGGAACCCTCAATGTACTTTTCGCGGTGCCTGCTAAAAGTGTCCTTGTTTGGACAAGGCATTTTACCATTGTACTGTTGAGAGTGTATTAACTTATGGTCTGTGTGTGTGGTTTGGGAGCTGCACGGTCAGGGGAAAAACAGTGCTGTCCAGGGTTGTAAAGACTGCGGAGAGAATAATTGGGTGCACTCTTCCCACCTTAGATCAAATCTACGCTTCCAGGTGTCATAATAAACCTGCAGAGATAGCGCAGGATAGTGCGCACCCCAGAAATGATCTCTTCCAGTTTCTGCCTTCTGGAAGAAGGTACAGGGTTATAAAGACGAGGACTAGCCGTCTGAGAAAGTTTCTATCCAAACGGGATTTTGGTTTTAAACGCAGTGCAAGGTAGTCTCTATGGGAGTATATTGTGTTTAATTATGGGGTATCAGAGTTTTTAGGGGGCTAACCAGGCTGGGATAGCTCGGATAGCAGGCTTGTTGGGTTTTGAATGTTTTATGTAGATTTGTCAATTTTGTTGTTCTGTATGGGACAATGACAATAAAGATTATCGTATCGTATCAAGCCTACCCAGTTGAGATAATTCCAAACTGCTTTGGTGTTTTAACTTTTGTATGTTTTAAAGTACTGTTGTAATTTTGTCTTGATTTTGTTTGTTTGTTTTATCTTTTTGCAAGCCACTTTGTGGTTCTTTTTTTTTAAAAGAAATCAAGCGGTGCATATCAATGTTGTACTGGGGGGGGACCACCTTTGAGGGTCACTCCATGCCCTTAATTCTGCAGCAGGAGACCCAGGATGAGGCTTTGAAGGCCCCCAGGATTTAGCATGCTAGGGTTCTGCTCACCCCATGGCCTAGAGCCCTGGTGAAGCCATGGCCCATCTTCCCAGATGTCTTGAAGAATTGGTGAGTGAAGTGTTGGGCAAAGAACGCAAACATCAAGTTTGTCCCCTGGGGGTCCGGGTGGAACTTCTTGCGCAGGAAAAACTCTTCAGCTACCAGCTGCGCATCAGGAAGCTGCGGCGGACCTGCAAGGGAGGAATGAAAAACCAATTCCAAGGTTGCCCCTCTGGCGTGTGGCTAAGAGTTCATCTCTCCTGTCCATCTATTTAATAGAATCATAGAACAGCTGAGTTGGAAGAGACCCCAACTCAGGCCATTTAATCCAATTTCCTGCAGTGCAGGAGTCACAGCTAAAGCTGCAAGACCCCTGTAGCCAAGGCAGGGGACTCAGGTGTGCCCTTATAGGAAACACCACCAATAATAATAATAATAATAATAATAATTTATTTATACCCCGCCACTCTGGGCGGCTTCCAACAAAATATTAAAATACAATAGTCTATTAAACATTAACTGCTTCCCTAAACAGGTCTGCCTTCAGGTACACACCAGTCGCTCGTGGGACTCATCTTTTCTAACTTTTGAAAATCAAAATTGAAGTGGTTAAAGGTGATAGTAAACAGCTGCAGAATTGAGTGGTGGCTTTCATATGTGAATGGACCACTACAAAGACTCCCATCCAAGCAGCTCAAAGACAGGCTTTTCAATGGAGTTAGTTCATATCAAGGTTTAGTAGCTCTGGCTGGAAGGTACACACAGCAGGAGAGCAAATAGGAACACACACCCACCAACTAGAGGGGGAGTTTTGATGTGCATGGACTCCAACTCATTTAAGAAACAGGCCATAAAATCAGACCCACAAGTCTGTACTTAGGAGATCCACCAACTTTAGCTGGGCCAGTTGTCAAATTGTTGGAGTACAGAGCTAAAGGCACCTTTGCTTTGTTTTCTGAAGCCACACTTTCCTTCTGACAACGGGAGCAGTCACTTTGGTTGATAAGTATTCTCACAAGATTTCTTCAATATCCTCAAAAGGTGCCCAGAATGATATGAAGGCCATGTTCACACAGTACGTTTAAAGCGCTATGACACCACTTTAAACAGTTGCGGCTTCCCACAAAGGCTTATGGGAACTGTTAATTTGTTAAGGGTGGTGAAGGCCGTTAGGAGATTCCCTGTTTTCCTCACAGATGTACTACTATTCCCAGAACTCTGGATGAAGAGGGATTGATTATTAAGCCACTCTGGGAGTTGTAGCTCTGCGAGAGAGATAACAACTTTTCTCAATCCATTTCCTTGCATAGTTTTGTGAGAGAGCCAGGATGGTATGGGGGTTAGTGTAGTGGACTACAACCCGGGAGACCAGGATTCAAATCCCCACTCAGCTATGAAGTTCCCTGGGTGTGACCTTGCGCTAGTCACAGTCTCTCAGCCTGACCTACCTCACAGGAGATTAAATTAGGAGAGGGAGAACCATGCAAGCCATCTTGAGTGCCTTGGAGAAAAAGCTGGGACACAAATGCAAGAAATACATTTTCTATTCTATCATGTCACCTTTTGTCTAAACCAGGGGTCAGCAAACTTTTTCAGCAGGGGGACAGCCCACTGTCCCTCAGACCTTGTGGGGGGCCAGACTATATTTTGAGAAAAATAAATAATGAACTAATTCCTATGCCTCACAAATAACCCAAAGATGCATTTTAAATAAAAGCACACATTCTACTCATGTAAAAACATGCGGATCCCCGGACGGTCCACAGGCCGGATTTAGGAGGCGATTGGGCAGGATCCAGCCCCCGGGCCTTAGTTTGCCTACTCATGGTCTAAACTAAAAAGTCCCAAACACTGCAACCTTTCCTTGCAGGAGAGTCATAGTGTCCCCTTGATCATCTGGGCTGCCCTTTTCTGAATCTTGCCCAACCCTGAAACATCCTTTTCTGAGGTGAGGCGACTGAGTCTGATAGTAGAACAGACACTCTCAGAACTTTCTAGTGAGGAAACCTCCTCCACAGCAGGCAGTGGCCTCTCCTGGACGGAAATATTCAGGCAGCAAGGATGCTGCAGTTGTAATATCCTGAGTTGCAGACGGAAGCATAGAATTGTAGAGTTGGAAGGGTCCCAAAGGGTCATCTAGTCCAACCCCCTGCAATGTGGAAATCACATGACAGATGGCCAGCCAAGCTCTGTTCAAAAACAAGAGAGAGTCCACAACCTCCCTAGAGAGTCTGCTCCACTGCTGAACAGCTCTTATTGTGAGAAAGTCCTTCCCGATGTTGAGTCGGAATCTCCTTTCTTGTAACTTGAAGCCGTTGGTTCCAGAGAGGCAGAAAGCAAGCTTGCTCCCTCTTCCATGTGACAGCCCTTCAGGTATTTGAAGATGGCTATCATATTTCCTTTCAGTCTCCTCTTCTCCAAGCTAAACATATCCAATTCCTTCAACCATTCCTCATAAGGCTTGGTTTGTAGGTCTTGCTCGCACTGTGCATTGGGTCAGGCTAGACAATTTGAAAGAGCCCCTTCCAAACTCTTCAGTTCTGTGCCTGTTATTGAACCTATCACTGACGAGACAAATAAATAAACAAACCCTCGCCCTGAGCTGCGTCCCCTCCCTAAGAACACAGCCCTCCTTGCCAGCCCACACCTAGATGCTATCAACAGAAACTCCCACACTACACCACTTTCATCTCTCGGAAAAGTTAAGCCATGTGACACAGCTGTGAAGGCAGGAATGGACTTGATACGGAGCAGATTTCGCTAATGCTATCTCAAGAGAAAAGTTAAGCTGAGCTGCGTTGGAGGCCTTGCTGAGCTGCACCCACCTTTGGTTCCCATTGGTGTGGGGCAGTCGGTGGGCACCGGTGGGAGCACCCTAGTGAAATAGCTGACATTGGCGTAGGACTCCCAGCTGATGTAGCCGTGGGCGGAATTGTACGTGGGTGGACTGGGGATGAGATTGGCTCGGACTGCAGAGAAAGAGAGAGAGAAGAGTGCAAAATAAACCTCCATGGAACACTGGCCAACTGACACCTTCCTCCACAGTGATGGGCAGGGGTGGGGAAGGTTTACCTAACCTGGGCCGGTTCACTCCAGAGGAGATCCCTCCGTGGCCCGCGATTTCCAGCGTCTGTGTCTGCACAGACACGGTTTTCGGCGCCATGGAAGCGAGTCCCTGCGCCGTGCTGTGCCGGTTTAGTGCAGTGCGTGGGGACTCGCCAAGCGGACGGCTCAGTTCGGGGGTGGCTCATGAGCCGGTTAAACGACCCCCATGGGCTGCTTGTGGCCAATGGGCCTTAGGTTGCCGACCCCTGCTCTTAGGGATCTCCCATTCGTTGCCAGTGTGGCTTGTTCTGTAGAGCATGAAATCTCCAGATCCCCGAGGGAAACTGGCACACTGGATCCATTCCCAAGAGCCCTCTCCTCTCCTGCGGTTTCTGGCAAATGATATTTGGAATGATTGCTGCCTCCAAATGTGCAGAGCAAAGCCATTTTGGCTAGGAGCCATCACAGCCTCCTGTAGGAGTGAATCGGCCAAATGGATTGTGTCCTCCATGCTAATTAGTGGGAAACCTGGGTGAACTGCTGGAAGCATCGATAGGATATGGATCCTTCTTGCCAAGACCTCAGGATTCCTGGGATAATTCCCTGGCCCCCTTGCGCAATAATGCTCAAAAGCTCACTTTTGGGAGGTAAGAGTTGTTTGTTTGCTGGTCATAGAGACTGCCCCCCCCCCATCACCCTAAGTCCCGCTCTCAATCTACTGCTCTTCACTTACTAGTCAGCACCAAACGCATCAAAGTGTCCCGGATGAAGGTGTTGTTGACAATGGTCCAGAACCACTGGAAGTGGGTCAGGATGAAATGATAGAAGGCTGGGCTTGGCTTCAGGGCATCGCGCAACCGCGTCCAGAACTCCGCTGGGAAAGAAAACACAAATATTGTATAATCATAGAGTTAGATGATGATGATGAAGAAGAAGAAGAAGGAGAGTTTGGATTTGAAATCCCACTTTATCAGTACCCTAAGGAGTCTCAAAGCGGCTAACCATCTCCTTTCACAACAAACACTCTGTGAGGTGAGTGGGGCTGAGAGACTTCAGAGAAGTGTGACTGGCCCAAGGTCACCCAGCAGCCGCATGTGGAGGAGCGGGGAAGCAAACCCAGTTCACCAGATTACGAGTCCACCACTCTTAACCACTACACCACACTGACTCTCCGCTACACCACACTGGAAGGGACCTAAAGAGTCATATACTCCAATCCTCTGCAATTCAGGAATTACAGCTAAAAAATCCCTGCTCATCCAGAATCCTGTTGTTCCCACAGCCTCCATCCAGATGTGCCCAGAAAGCAGGCAGGCAACCCCCCTCCTCCCCTGTTGCTTGGCCCCAGCACCTGGTATTTGGAGGTAGTCTGCCACTAGACTTGGAGGCTTCCTTCTTAGCTATCAGGGGCAAAGTATCTGCTTTTCATGCATGGTTCAGTCCCCAATGACTTCTCCAGGTAGGGCAGGGAATTTCCTCCTATGAAAGCCTGGACAGCCTGTCAGTGTTGACAACGCTAAACTGGATGGACCGGAGGTCTGACTCAGTATAATGCTGCTCCCTTTGTTCCTATCAGAATGTTGCCAGAGGAGCCCGGCTGGATAATGCCAAAGCTCAGCCCACCCAATCCAGCATCTAGTTTTCCATGACAGCCAAGCAGATTATCTCTGGGGAGCCTAACAAATGGAGGCACTGAAGCAACGTGCCTCAACTGGTATTCGCAGGTAGATGAACATGGAGGTTTACCCCCTTTCTATCCATAATCCCTGGCTTTCTTCTGGCCCACGTAGGACCAGTCTGGATAGTTGGCCTTGGTGAAGATTTGACATTTTCATCCCCAAAAAGTTTTTGATTTGAGTTTCTACTGAAATGAGGCTGCATTATAATGTTGTGTTTTAATCAATTGTTTTTACACCTGGTGTTAGCCGCTCTGAGCCCAGCCTTGGCTGGGGAGGGCGGGGTATAAATAAAAAAATTTATGATTATGATTAATGGCTAATAGCTATCAACAGCTAACCACAAAATTGCCTTACTCTACATGTGCCCACTCAACTGCTTCGATCAGCATAAGTGGCACTGGCTACAGATAATAGCCAGTGTGTGTGTGTGTGTGTGTGTGTGAGAGAGAGAGAGAGAGAGAGAGAGAGAGAGAGAGAGAGAGATGAACTAAAAAAGAAGACTGGGAGCTGGAGACACAGAGACCTGCTTGCTTTGTGCTGGATCCAAGCAAGATATGCTGGGGTAATGATGCTGTCAGCCCCTCCTTCCTATGCTCAGGCTGTCTATGGGTGTAAATAAATCACAGACCCTGAAGACCCCACAGTCTCCAGTGACCTTACTTCCAAGGAAACCAAAGCCTGGGTGAGCCCCTGGACCTCCTGGAGCCTCTCACCACTCAGAGACTGAGGTGGCGTGTAACGGTAGAACAGCGGCAACAAGAAGGTTTTCCATGATAAGCAGTTTTCCCCACCGTTTCTGGACCCTTCAGCATCTGGAATCTGCTTATTTATCCACCCTTACACCATTGCCCATCTTGCAGAAAGGCCACGGGGATACTCACGCAGAGAGCAGTTTGTGCCAAAGTAGCCGGTCCGGGTGCAATCGCATTCGTAGCCCTCTGTGCCAACCCGGACACACACGCCCTTGTGTTGGCATGGGAAATAGCAGCATGGATTCACTGTGTGGGGCAGGAGGGGGCGGGGAGAGAAAACAAATGATTGTCACTTTTTATTTATTAAAAATGCTCTTCATAAAAAGATCGTAACAGCTTGCAAACAATTGCACCCAAAAATCATACAGCAAAAACTACATAAAACAATCAAAATCAGGAATCAAGGAATCAACTATTGTGGAAAGATGCGTTCTTTGCCAAGCATAGGCTTGGCAAAATTGAAGAGTTTTCAGCAGGCGTTTAAATGTTGAAACGAAAGGTGCCTGCTGAGTCTCTAGTGGCAGAGCGTTCCATAAGACTGGACTGGTAAGACTATAGGCCCAGCTGCTTGTTGCTGTCAAATGAGTCTTGTCATCTTCTCCCTGCAGATGATCTGAGTGATCAAGGTGAGATATAAGCAGGACTTGTACACTCTGAAAACTTGTACACTCTTGTACTATCTGAAGAAGTGTGAATGCAACAAAAGCTCATACAAATAACAAACTTAGTTGGTCTCTAAGGTGCTACGGGAAGGAATTTTTTAATTTTGTTTTGACTCCAAAAACAGTGAATCTAGATGATGCAGCACTGCTCTTAACAGTAAATGTTCACTGTCGGTATAAGTACCGCTCTAAGGGCACTTTTTTCCAGTTGGAACTCACCAGAACTCAGTTCTGCCACCTCTCAGGTGGGTGCCATTGCCATTATAAGAGAACAAGGGAGGTGTTCATGGTGAGTTCCGGCACCTCTTTTTCTAGAAAAATAGAAGTGGCTGTAATGATAAGTATGGCAGACATATTCTTCTCGCTTCTCACAGTGACATGTCCAAATTATGCAGCATATTGATATTTGAGTATCCATTACTTGGACAGTCCTACTGTAAGCTTCCCTGAGCCACGTTTGAGTCTCTTGTTCATAATATTCTTCATAAGTCTATTGGTTTCAAGAGATTTATTTATTGTTGATTTGATACTGTGCAGTATACAAGCATCTAGCACGCAATATGAAATCTCTGGCATGTAAAATTAGATGGCCAACAGTTTATCACTCCATCTGCTATGCGGTGACAGGCCAGCTCCACCAGGCCAGCGCTCCCTCCGTTGCCATCTTGGGGGCAGCTATTCCATCAGACTGCCTGAGTGGGGTGGGCAGATGGGAAGCAGGGCAAGCACCTCCTACCCCAGAATTGTTTCAGCTGGCTATTATAGAAACTGTTATACTCAGAAGCAAATTCCAATGGGTTCAATAGGCTAACTCCCAATTAAGTGTGTACAGGGATTGTATTCTAAGGCAAGTGATTCCATTCGCAAATGAAAAGAACAGCAAAGAGGAAATACGATTTACGAACAGAGATCTACATATAACTGTCCAAAACACCACAATTACTCTACATTAGAACTGGCTCTGTATTACTTTTAAGTTCTGCCTACCTATCAAGACACTATGAAGAGGCATCAAGCTTCATAAAAAGGGACCAGTGTTTTCAAATGAACTGACCTCTTCTTTAAGCCAGATGTTGATTTACAAAGAAAGTCAGGATCCCTTGAGACCACTGGCTTTTTTAGGGATCTCCTGCAATAACAATGGGCTGTCCACCCAACGTTCCACTTTCTGTGATGATTCCCCCAAATGCATAAGAAGAGACTCAAGGCTGGATCGGGCCAGTGGCTCATCTAGTCCAGCATCCTGCTCTCACAGTGGTCAACCAGATGTCCCAATGGGAAGTCCGCAAGCAGGATCTCAGCTCAAGCCCCCCGCTCCTCCTGTGGCTTCCAGCAATCATTCAGAAGCATTAGTGCCTCTGACCACAGAGGCAAAGCCCAGCCACCAGGGCTAGTAGTGTTACCAGAAAATAGGGGAGGGGTGCCTTTTGATGGCCAAACTCCCCAAGTTCGTTACTGGTCAGAGATTAATGAGCTGAAGCAGAAATCCAGTGAAAGCAAAGCTGATCTTTTATGATCTGTTGCAATAGTCCCCCCCCCCTTTTTGTCAGGAGGTGAAGGACCCAGAAACAAGAAAAACCACTCTTTTTAAAGGTTTGCCTTTCAGCATGGAAAAGAACATCCCCTTTTGCAAACAAAATCAGAAATACATTACACCTAATATGGGGTTACAATGGCTCAGGTAGGTCAAGGCGTGGTATTCCTAAAGATTTAGCAAGTTTCTTGTGGTTCCAGACACAGTTTTACACAAAGCATTTGCATTTGATGAAGACAATCAGGATGCTCAGCAGACATTCCCTATGCAGAACATCTGAGCAAACAATGGCAGATTCAGGAACTTCCCCTGATGGTTATCTGCCTACCTTATCTCTGGCTAGGGGAATCATGGGGGATTTTCCAGAATGCAATGAGGCAAGAATACATTGTTCCATGGGGAAACTCAGGTGAAAGTTGATACAGGGGGGCATGTCTTCTTCACCTCCTTCTTCGCTACAATATATCCATTTATTTCCAATTGTCAATGTCAAAAGGGACTAAAATCTATAAAATTCATAGAAAATCAACGTGCCAATTTGCTCAATTTCTCTAGGACTCCATGACACCTCCCCTGTCCTCCATAACCCCTCAAGCAAGGTGTCAAGACCCTAATCCTGTCAAATCACTCTGCCAAGCCTTTCCTCCAGGCAAGGCCAGGTGGCAGACCATGCATACATGGACCATTGTCTTCTCATCAGGTACTCAGGATGTGCTTATCTGCGCATATCTCCAGCTCTGCATATTCCCCCCTCCCTCCTCCATATGTTAATCCTGTGTGACCCAACCTCTTCTTAATGTATTCATGATGTAATCTGTGTAACCCAACCTCTTCTTAATGTATTCATGATGTAACTGGGATGTATTTTGCACTGTATTCTGGGACATGGAGGGAATTTCAAAAGTTCATGTCACCCCTTTCTCGCTGTTCAATCTCGTCTTGAACCTGTTGCGCAATAAACTTGGATCTTCTGCAGTTTGCTCCTGTCTCCGGCTGAGCTCATTTTCTTCCGCAGGGACCCGCGGACTTAGTCCGACGAGCTGGGTGGCAGAGTAGCCTCACACCCAGATTTTACCGTAACAAAGTATATGGCATAAATATACACTTATTTTCATGTATATCCTGGGGATATTCAGTTTAGGAATCAAAAATGGTTTCAGGTTGGTCTTCCTGTGCTGATCTATGTACGTGCTTGGTTGGTACATTTATGAACATTTAATATATACCTAAGACCTTAAAGGGTTAGGGACCCGGGTGGCGCTGTGGGTTAAACCACAGAGCCTAGGACTTGCCAATTAGAAGGTCGGCGGTTCAAATCCCCACGACGGGGTGAGCTCCTGTTGCACGGTCCCTGCTCCTGCTAACCTGGCAGTTCGAAAGCACCTCAAAGTGCAAGTAGATAAATAGGTACCACTCTGGAGGGATGGTAAACGGCGTTTCCGTGCGCTGCTCTGGTTCACCAGAAATGGCTTAGTCCTGCTGGCCACATGACCCGGAAGCTGTACGCCGGCTTCCTCAGCTAGTAAAACGAGATGAGCACTGCAACCCCAGAGTCGGCCACGACTGGACCTAATGGTGAGGGGTCCCTTTACCTTTACCTTTAAGACCTTAAAATTCTTATCACAGTGGCACACAACAGATATACTGTATAGAGAAAGGAAAAGGGGGTAGGATATGCAATGGGCATTTTTCTGGTAACAGTAGCCATTGTTAGCCTTCTTCTCCATGAATTTGTTCAATCCTCTTTTAAGGTATGGGGCCATCACTGTCCCCTGTGGAAGCAAGTGCCATAGTTTTAACTTCCTTTTATTTAACAGGACTTCCTTTTATTCCTCCTGAATCTTCCTGGTGTTTGTCTACAACTGTAGAGCTCAGAGGGTGTGGAGGTTTGTCCAGAGTTCTCTGGCCAGCTTGGGAAAACATATGTGCTGGATTTTAGTTGAGCTCAGGGTCATATCTGATGTCACCCAGCTTCCGCTGTTTGGCCAAGTGGGACATGGTTGTCCTTGGCTGGACTGGGCTTGAAGAAGGTTGCCTTGCCTTGTAGCAAAGTTAGGCAACTGAAGAAGCAAGGGGTTTCCCATCACAAATCAACCCTGCTGGCAAGGGATCCAGGCCCCATGCTTTTTTATAGCCCCATTAAACAGAGTGCTGAGATAAGGAAGCAATCTGAGCTAAACAAACAAAGGGGTAGACGTGGCCCAGAGCACAGGAGCAGAAAGCGTAGATGATGAAACAGTACCTTCCAGGCAGACTCCACCCCACCGCTGGAGCCAAACTCCTGCTCCACATCCTCTGGAAATGGATCAGAGGCTAGCAGCATACACTGGGAGGAACCAGCAGCTCCCCCCAAGCCTCTGGGTTATCCCAGAACCTATGCATCTAGAAGTTTGAAGGGGAGCAGCTTTCAGTGTGGCCAGGCTCCTTGCTCTTCTTGCCTCTGTTACTGCCTCTACTGCCAGACATTAAGTTGGTAGTCTCATTAGGGCAGGAACCTCCCTTTTTCACTGACCTTGCTGCTAACATAAGAACATTAAAAGGGCCTGCTGGATCAGGCTTGTCTAGTCCAGCATCCTGGTATCTCACTGGCTAACCAGGTGCCCCAGTGGGAGTCTAGCAAGCAGGAGTCAAGCACAAGAGCACTCTCCTGCCCACGATTTCCAGCAGCTGGGACTCAGGAGCATTGCTGTCTCAAACTGTGGAGGCAGAGCATAGCCATTGTGGCTAGGAGCCATTGATAGCTCTCTCCTCCTCCATGGATTTGTCCAATCCTCTCTTAGAACCATCCAAGATTGTGGCCATCGCTGCCTCCTGGGGGAAGGAAGGAGTTCCCTGGTTTTTAACTCTGTGCTGCGTGAGGAAGGACTTTTTAAAACCTGCCCCGAATCTTCCTACAGTAAGCTTAATTGGATGCCCATGAGTTCTAAGTATTATGCGAGAGGGAGAAAAATGTTTCTCTATCCACTCCCCATGCCATGCATAATTTTATGAACTTCTATCATGCCACCTCTTACAACTAATCCAGAATGCGGCAGCTAGACTGGTGACTGGGAGCGGCCGCCGAGACCACATAACACCGGCCTTGAAAGACCTACACTGGCTCCCAGTACGTTTCCAAGCACAATTTAAAGTGTTGGTGCTGACCTTTAAAGCCCTAAACGGCCTCGGTCCAGTATACCTGAAGGAGCGTCTCCACCTCCATCATTCTGCCCGGACACTGAGGTCCATCTCCAAGGGCCTTCTGGCGGTTCCCTCGCTGTGAGAAGCAAAGCTACAGGGAACCAGGCAGAGGGCCTTTTCGGTAGTGGCGCCTTCCCTGTGGAATGCCCTCCCACCAGATGTCAAAGAGAACAACAACTATCAGACTTTTAGAAGACATCTGAAGGCAGCCCTGTTTAGGGAAGCTTTTAATGTTTGATGTATTATAGTATTTTAATATTTTTTTGGAAGCCGCCCAGAGTGGCTGGGGAAGCCCAGCCAGATGGGCGGGGTATAAATAATAAAATATTATTATTATTATTATTATTATTATTATTATTATTATTATTATTATACGCCTTTTCTCTAAACCCAAGTGTCCCAAACTCTGCAACCTTTCTTCATAGGGAAATTGCTCCAACCCCTGGACCATTTTGCTTGCGCTTTTGCTGCCCATGGAAGTATGGGTTGGGAAATCTGAGGCTGATGAGAATTGTAGCTGCAAGGCACCAGGTTTGGCATGGGGTAAGATGAATCAAATAATTAGCCTACACCCCCCCACAACATAATAGAAAACTCTCCCTGCTGCTTCTCTGTCTCAGCAGCTGCTCCAAGCTCACCTCCTATATGATAGCCATGTTCAAATATATAAAAGGATGTCACATAGAGGAGGGAGAAAGGTTGTTTTCTGCTGCTCCAGAGAAGCGGACACGGAGCAATGGATCCAAACTACAAGAAAGAAGATTCCACCTAAACATTAGGAAGAACTTCCTGACAGTAAGAGCTGTTCGACAGTGGAATTTGCTGCCAAGGAGTGTGGTGGAGTCTCCTTCTTTGGAGGTCTTTAAGCAGAGGCTTGACAACCATATGTCAGGAGTGCTCTGATGGTGTTTCCTGCTTGGCAGGGGGTTGGACTCAAAGGCCCTTGTGGTCTCTTCCAACTCTATGATTCTATGATTCTATGATTCCTTAACTCTGCCAGTAGACCACTCCAATGTGTGACAGAACAATTGAATAATTCCCCTTGGAGAGACGCTGGAAAACTACCTGCTCCTGGGAAGAGGCTGCTTACTGTGTCTCTGAACAAGTTGCTGTGCTGGGCTGGTGCCGGCCCCCAATCTGCAACTCCTGCATAGGCACACATGAGTAAAGCTATTGCAGTCATCAGAGATTAGGGGAATTTGGGAATCCGATGATAGCAGATTTCCACACCTTTGGAGGCTTTAAGCAAATGAGGCCGCCACTAGCACAATGTAGGACTTGTCCTTCTCCAGGCCACCTAACCACGCAAAGGAAATTTAGAAGCACACGGGATCTCTTTACAAAAGAAAGGGGCCTGGGGTTGGATTTTCATTGCAAATTGGCCATTGCAAGAGGGTGTGGCAGGAGGGGGAAGAGAAAACGAGGCCATTGATGAAGGAACAATTTCTACACAGACCCCTTGCCTTTTCCCCCCCAAGTGCTCAGGATAATTTTAAAAGCATGCAGCCAAGTTGAGCCAAGAAGCCCAAATTATCTGCATTAGAAGATTAGGACAGATGACCCTGACAGGTAGCTGATAACCTCTCAGTTACAGCCAAGAATCTCTGCCTGTTTTCAATCTGGTCAGATAACTAGATACAAACTAGGGCAGGTATATTCAGTCACTTCAGACCCGGGACCCAAACAGGCAGAATTCCTAGGTCCAATTCCTGGCATCTCCAGGTAGGGTTGAGAGAGGCTTCCTGCCTAAAATCCTTGAGAGTGTAGACAATATTGAGCTAGACCTTTAAAGCCCTTTGTGGCTTAGGGACCTCATACTTGTGCCTCTCCTGGTCTGCCCCACAGAGGACCTTAAGGTCCATGAATAACCATAGTTTAGAGGTCCCGGGCCCTAAGGAAGTCAGACTATCCTCCACCAGGGCCAGGGCCTTCTCAGTGATGGCTCCAACCTGGTGGAATGCTCTGTCCCAGGAGACTAGGGCCATTCAGGATTTAACCTCCTTCCGCAGAGCCTGTAAGACAGAACTATTCCACCTGGATTTCAATTTGAACTTAGCCTGATCTTTTATTCCCCTTCCTTCCCTTCCTCTCCCCTTTTTATGAAGATTACCCGTTCTGGGATCCCACAACTGGTTCTCCCCTGGCCTCCTCGCTGGCCCAAGTGGGACTAATTTAGCCAGCTAGCCCTGGTGATCATCTAATGTTTATTGGATGGATTTTCCTCCCTAAATTGTTTTTTGATTTTATTGTTATTTACACTTTATACCGTATTTTATGCTTTTTTTGTAGCATCAATTAAGTGTTTTAAATTTGTTGTTAGCCACCCTGAGCCCGGTTTCCTGAACTGGGAAGGGCGGGGTATAAATAAAAATGTGTTTGTTTGTTTATTTATTTATTTAGATGGCCAATGGCCTGACTTCCTACATTTGGGGACCCATTTCTTAATCTTTTACTACATATTTGCATGGTGGTAGCGCTCCCATCGTGACTTGCCTTGGGTCACCAGACTGCGACCCACTACTGAGTCCTGACTGAACAGTTGAAGACCACTTGTCCCAGAGTGTGCCAGTCAGCAATCACTGTCCGAAGTTGGAGTTAGCTCTTTATTAGCAAAGCATGATCGTCACAGACTTGGCTGAGTGTCAGGCCTAATGAGTACATCAGCTCATTCCTGGTGGGTCTTCCTCCATGAAATCATGGAGACTGAAAGCCACCAGCTCTCCACAGCTGCCCACGTCTCCTCCTCTCCAGGGCTTTCCCCCAAGTTGTGCGCAGCCAACCTCTCCTCTGTCCTTTTAATGCATCTTCAGGTTCTGGGAGATAAGGGTGCTTCATCTCTGTCTTTTGACCTCCCTCCTATCCTATCCCTCGCCAGCTTCTGCTTCTGGAGTCTGCCACAGACTCACCCTGCTCACTAAACCCTGTTACCTCTTCAGCTTCCGACACGTCCTCCTCCCAGTCTTCTCCCTGTGACCGCCCATCACCACCCCACCACCAATCCCCAGGCTCTGAACTTTATTTACTTGGTTCCTCCCACTACTCCTCTGTGTTGAACCAAACCAGTGAACTAGAAGTTGTAGTCTGCTCAAGTTGTAGCCTGCTCAGAGCAGACCCTCAATTTCAATGGGTCTACTCTGAGCAGGACTAACATAGGCTACTGCCCTAGATACTTGGTACGAAAAGGGGTTCCAGGAAGAGTTTTGTGTCATTAAGAAGTGGGCTTCCAGCAATCTGAATTCACCAGCATGAATCCCATGGGGAGTCTCTAGTAAAAAAACTACCTGCTCCTAGAAGAGCCTGTCTGTTGCAACTTTGAACAAGTTTATGCTCTGAGGCTGAGTCAGTGCAGAAGTACATCTCAAGACCTCACTGGCATTGTTGTTTAGTCGTTTAGTCGTGTCCCACTCTTCATGACCCCCTGGACCAGAGCACGCCAGGCACTCCTGTCTTCCACTGCCTCCTGCAGTTTGGTCAAACTCATGCTGGTAGCTTTGAGAACACTGTCATCTCGTCCTCTGTCCCCTTCTCCTTGCACCCTCCATCTTTCCCAACATCAGGGTCTTTTCCAGGGAGTCTTCTCTTCTCATGAGGTGGCCAAAGTCTTGGAGCCTCAGCTTCAGGATCTGTCCTTCCAGTGAGCACTCAGGGCTGATTTCCTTCTGAATGGAGAGGTTTGATCTTCTTGCAGTCCATGGGACTCTCAAGAGTCTCCTCCAGCACCATCATTCAAAAGCATCAATTCTTCGGCGATCCAGCTCTCACTTCCATACATCACTACTGGGAAAACCATGGCTTGAACTCACTGGCATAGTTGACCAAAAAATACAAATCAACCCGCGAGATCAAATGATAGAGTCCAGCACCCAGATCCTAAGAGTGGCCAACTAGAGATTTCTATAAAGCCCCCAGGCAGGCCACAAAGGCAACAGCCCCTCTGCTACTGTTTGGTATCCCCACTTATACATCCCCGAAACATGGGGTGTTTGGGTTTTTTAAATTACCATGTCCTCGTAACCATAAACTTTGTCTGTCCCTAGTCCTTCTCGGTGTCTCATCATGGCCCCACCCAGGCCAATCCACACCAAGAGCCAAGACCTCTGAGCCAACGGATGACATTAGCACCCACAGCTGCACAGCAGCTGTTGCCGATTGTCTTTTTCTTGACATGCCAAACAGGGATGCAGCTGTAGTTTGTAAGCTTAAATTAATAGGACGCTGGAGAATGCTGTGTTTATACGAGATGGGGAAGAACTAAACAAACTCTGTAAATGGAGCTGGAGAAGATCCTTGCATCTTCAGAGATAATGAGTGGCCAATGTAATAAAACAACAGCTGATACCCCTGAGCTCTTGCTAAGCGCTGAAGTAACCTTCCGGGGGGGGGGGGGCACAGGCCTGGGCCATGTGTATGGAGGTCCTGGGCTGCCCAGACATCTACAAGACTCCCCTCTGGGCCTTGCTGATGTAGTCCAAAGGAAAGCAGAGCAAAAGGTTTGGCACCAGATTGGCTGCAGGAGCCGCAGGACAGAGGCATACCAGGCGCCTGCCAATTATCTTAGGGACTCCACTCCAGATTTGTCTCGGGTTTCCTTCTCCTTTGAGAGACGTACTCGATCTATAATTGAATCATTGAATTGTAGAGTTTGAAGGGGCTTGAGGGGCCACCTAGTCCTAACCCCCTCATCTCTTTGGTCTGTGAGTCCCTCCATCATGGGAGATAGTTGGAGCCTTAGCCTTGCCTAAAGCATGATCCAGCTGCTGTACTGAGCTGCTGAGCTGTTGCTCATAAATGAAGTTATCAAGGCTCCTGCTGCTTCCTGGACCCAAGGCAAGGTTTCCTCATGCAGTGAGCATTTCCTCTTGGGACTGATTACACAGAGGCAAGGGAAAGCTGAGTGTAGTCAAACTCTGGACTTTAAGAAAGCTGGTTTCAAAAAACTTCTGGGCAAGATCCCATTATTAGAAATGGGAGTCCATGATGGACGGGAGTTTCTTAAAGGTGAGGTGTTTAAGGCACAATCACAAACAGTTCCAACAAGAAAGAAAAGTGGGAGGTACCTAAAGAAACTGGCGTGGCTGCGTAAGGATCTTACAGATGAGTCAAGCTTTAAAAGCGACATTGATTGTTATTTATATTGCTTTCCTGTATCTTTCTTTTACATCTTGTGATTTACGTGGAAATTATTCTATTTGGTTGTGTACTTTTTGATGTTTTATTTATTGTTTGACTACTTTTGCTATGTTTGTAATTACATTTTTTCCCATGTTGTGAGCTGCCTAGAGCATGGTTTGGAGTAGGGGTCAGCAACCTTTTTCAGCCGTGGGCCAGTCCACCATCCCTCAGACCATGTGATGGGCTGGACTATATTGGGGGGGGGGGAATGAACGAATTCCTATGCCCCACAAATAACCCAGAGATGCATTTTAAATAAAAGGACACATTCTACTCATGTAAAAACACGCTGATTCCTGGACCATCCACAGGCCGGATTGAGAAGGCAATTGGGCCAGATCCGGCCCCCGGGCCTTAGGTTGCCTACCCCTGGTTTGGACTATGGAAAGGAGACAAGAAAAAATGATGTATCTATGTTTGTTTGTATGTATGTTATGTATGTATTAGGGTTGCCATATTTCATAAATTGAAAATCCGGACACAAATGTTGTTGAGTTTTTTTGAGGGGTGGGGGCAAAGTTGTTGAGCTTTATTATTTTGTTGTTGTTATTGGCTGCATCAACAGAAATAGTGCCCAGTTCTGCAGGATATTGACAAACTGTGAAGAGGAGGACAACCAAGATGGTCAAGGGTCTGGAAACTAACCTTATGAGGACCAGTTGAAGGAGCAAGGTATGCTTAGCCTTGAAAAGAGGAGACTGAGAAGAGATGTGATAGCCATCTTCATATATCTTAAGGGCTGTCACATGGAAGAGGGAGCAAACTTGTTTTCTTCTGCTCTGGAGGGTAGGACTCAATGGATTCAAGTTATAAGAAAGGAGATTCTGACTAAACATTCAGAATAATTTTCTGATGCTAAGAGCTGTTTGACATCAGACCAGCTTAAAAGGTGCTGGACTCTCCTTCCCTGGAAGTTTTGATACAAAGGCCGGATGGCCACCTGTCAGGGATTATTTAGTTGTGATTCCAGAATTGCAGGGGTTGAACTAGATGGCCCTTGAGGGCCCCTCCAACTCTATCCATGGGTCTTTGAGCACCCATTCCAAATGCATGGGCTACTAAGTGTTGCCAGAAGTGGGCCTGAACCTTCCATAAGCAGACTAAAAACTTGGTAGAAACCTTAAAACCTTTTAAACAGTATGGTGAGCTTAGGAAAAAACCCAGTATTTCAGTGCTATGAGTTTTGGCATCTCGGATTTAATAAAACAGAAGGAATAATTATACATTATTAAAGCACAAAGCTCAGAACTGTGAGTTTGGTGCTTCACAGGATACAATGCCTTAGCTACATCCCAGTTGGACTACTGTAGCACACTCCATGTGGGGCTGCCTTTGCAAAGTGTTTGGAAGTTTTCAGCTGGTCCAAGATGCTGCTGTCAGACTGCTGACTGAGGCCTGGTTACGGAAAGAATGTTATTCCCCTGTTAAAAAAACAACATCACTGGTGACCAATCCATTTCTGGGCATCAGAGTGCTGGTTATGACCTATAAGGCCCTACATGACTTGGCCCTAGGCTACCCGGATAATTGTATCTCTCTGTCTGAACCTGCCCAGGTGCTAAGATCCTCTTGTGAACACCTCTCCACAGCTGGTGGTGACATGAGAGAGGGCCTTTTCTGCAGTTGCTCCCAGATTGTGAGACCCCTCCCAAGAGAGATTAGGATGACTCCCTTCTTCTTATTAACCTTTTGTTGAGCAGGCTAAGACTTTCCTATTCAGGACAGGGCTTTGGAAACGAAGGTGAAGGTGATGGCGGCCAGTGGGCTACTGTCAGGGCAAACTGTACTTTAATGCCGGTTTTAACAGTTGTGCAGAAGAGAGTGTCTTCACCTGCTGAAACCTACAGTTCTTCTCCACAGGTATTAATCATACAGGAACCCTGGCTCCATCACTGCTGACTGGCCACCCTCAGGACAGATAAGGAGGAATGAGATTCACATGGTGCTTAACAGTTGATGGTAACAGTCTCAAAAATGCTGCTCTAGACCAACTCGCGGCCAAGGACTCTTCCCGAACATGCACTCCTTGCTCTGTGAGATCCCAAGCCCTTACTGGCTCCTGTCCCAGTTTCCTGACTGGGTGGAGAACAGCCTCTCCTGGAGAGGTCAAGCAGAGAGCATCGCAAAGAAAGGGAGAAAGTATGTACTGTAATTCCGAGGGGTTTTGTATTATTTTTTTTTTTGGAAGCACACAAATACTTCTTCCTTTTTACCAGCAAATATCTCTTTTCTCAGGGACGCGGGTAGCACTGTGGGTTAAACCACAGAGCCTAGGACTTGCCGAAAAGAAGGTCGGCAGTTCGAATCCCTGCGACAGGGTGAGCTCCCGTTGCTCGGTCCCAGCTCCTGCCAACCTAGCAGTTTGAAAGCACGTCAAAGTGCAAGTAGATAAATAGGTACTGCTCCGGCGGGAAGGTACACGTGTTTCTGTTCGCTGCTCTGGTTCGCCAGAAGCGGCTTAGTCTTGCTGGCCACATGACCCGGAAGCTGTACGCCAGCTTCCTCAGCTAGTAAAGCGAGATGAGCACCGCAACCCCAGAGTCGTCCACAACTGGACCTAATGGTCAGGGGTCCCTTTACCGATCTCTTTTCTCAGTGAGAAATGTTGGTGTTCTTTTATGGCTTGCATGTCTTCATGGGTACTTGTTGAAAAGCAACTTACATATGTGAAATATAGAAAGATAAAGATGGTCACAATTAATAAATGTTAATAATTCTGTTCATAATTCTCCTGAACTGGAACGGTCCTTCCTACATTCCTCTAACAATTGAGTCTGTTGAGCATTTCATAGAATTACAGAATTGCAGAATTGGAAGGGACCTTAAGGGTCATCTAGTCCAACCCCCCTGCAATGAAGTCACAGCTAAGGAGTCTGGGACTGACGACCAATTCCACCTCTGCTTTAAAACCTTCATTGAAAAGGGGTCCCCCAGCTTACGAGGAAGTCCATTCCCCTGCAGACAGCTCTTACCATTGGAAAATGCTTCTGAATCTACAATGGTCAGAATCTCCTTTGAATTCCTTTTTTTGTATCCTACCCCCTGGAGCAGCATAAAACAGGCTAGTTCCATCTTCCATGTGGTAGCCCTTCAGATATATATGAAGATGGCTGTTCTGTCACCTCTCAGTCTCCTCTTCTCCAGGCTAAACATCCCCAGCTCCCTTCACTGTTCCTCATAAGGCTTGCTTTCCGGATCCATTATCATATTGGTTGCCCTCCGGAAAGACTTTTGTGGGATCCTTTCCCACAAAGCTTTGTGAATGCACACACACCCTCCTGGCACCAGTCTCTAAAGGGAATGTCCTCTGGAAGTCCTGGCTTCGTTCAGCTGTGGTGATGAATTACACTTGGCAACCCCAGGGAATGTGAGGTGGGGATGGAGGGGCATGCGCATACATGCCCTTCCCACCTGAGGCTGCGCATGGACAGGCGTCATGGGACAAGAGTCACTCCCCTGGCAAGTGCAGACCTGGTGGCGCCCATCCTCTTCCCATGATGCTGCCTCCTGCTTTTGGAATAGGCATCCACCACTGGATGCCAGAAGTTACCTCCAGAACAGCTCAGCTGCAGGATCAGACCAGAGATCCATGCGGCCTAGAGTAGCCAGCCAGGCATATCCAGGAAGCACAGTCCTGTCTTCCTGCTGTTCCCTAGCAGATGAGGCAGACTCTGAAGGCCATGCAGCCACCATGACGGGTAGACATTAACAGACACCTCCTCCTCCTCTGATCATAGAATTGTAGAGTTGGGAGGGACCCCAAGAGTCATCTAGTCTAACCCTCTGCAATGCAGCAATCACAGCTTAAGGACCCCGGACAGGTGGCCATCAAACCTCTGCTTAAAAACCTCCAGTGAAGGAGAGGTTGATGGCAGTGGATTCCATCAATCAAGCTGGGGCAAGATGAACGTGTTTATTGGACTATGCAGAATTAGATAAATTAACAGGAAGGTTTCGAAACCTGCGGGACCAGAGATTCTTAGAAGACTGGAGTAAATATATGAACTATTTGAAAAGCAATCGTAATGAACAGATTACGCTAGTAGGACTGCAAGAAGTTCTGTAAGGAGGACTATTTGAAATATTGCAAGAAAAACTATGAGGAGAATTATTAGTTGATGATAATAAGGAGAAATAGAGAAATTAAGAAATGCAGAATAAGTGATAAAGAACGGAAAATCATCAGAGGTTGTCGATGGAAGTCTAAATATTGTATAAGATAAGAAGTTATGTTAAATGATTGTTGAAATGATATGTAAAAAACCAGAGAGAGAGAGAGAGAGAGAGAGAGAGAGAGAGAGAGAGAGAGGTACCTCGGGTTAAGAACTTAATTCGTTCTGGAGATCTGTTCTTAACCTGAAGCACCACTTTAGCTAATGGGGTCTCCTGCTGCCGCCGCGCCGCCAGAGCCCGATTTCTGTTCTCATCTTGAAGCAAAGTTCTTAACCTGAAGCACCATTTCTGGGTTAGCGGAGTGTGTAACCTGAAGCGTATGTAACCTGAGGTCCCACTGTATGAATGAATATGTTTATTATTATCACATTTATATCTTGCCTGTATGGTAGTTCCCCCAGCGAGTTTCATGACTTGAGTGGGAATTTGAACCCTGGTCTCACACACTCTTATCACACCACAATGGCACACTGCTTGTAGCAGTCCTGTCGCACATACACCCCAACCCCCCACATAAAAATTAAAAGCAGAGCAGCTACAGAAGAGGTTAACACACCCTCACACAGACCCCCAGAGGCTGATGACTTTAAAAATACAAGTGACGGGGCTCAACCCTTTCTGATCAATGATACAATGCTAGCTGGAACTTGTACTGACGCTACTCCATGGGATTCCTCGAGCAGTTGTCTAATGCTCATGACATCCTTTTGACAATACAGTGGTACCTCGGGTTAAGTACTTAATTCGTTCCGGAGGTCTGTTCTTAACCTGAAATTGTTCTTAACCTGAAGCACCACTTTAGCTAATTGGGCCTCCTGCTGCTGCCGCGCCGCCGGAGTCCGATTTCTGTTCTCATCCTGAAGCAAAGTTCTTAACCTGAAGCACTATTTCTGGGTTAGCGGAGTCTGTAACCTGAAGCGTATGTGTCAGGGGTTCAGGAGCAGAGGCAAGGGCAAGGGAGGAAACAGAGAGCGAGGGGGAGGAGGCAGAAGAAAAGATGAGTGATGACGACGACCCGAGATCTCCGAGTCTTTCCAGTGAATCAGAAGATTCACAGAAAGGAGCACCAGTGGCCAGGGCAAGGGGAGCCTAGGGGACGCCCCAGGAAGATAGAGCCAGAGGGGACTCAGAGGGAGCAGTTGGAAATCGGGACCAGCGTCACCGCCAGAGAGCAGGGACGAGGAAGGGAGCCAGCGATCAAGCGCTGGCAGCTCACCACAGGGGAGGGCACGAGTCAGGGTGGCCACACCTCCATCGGGGAGCGAAGAAACGGTCAGACGGAAGGTGGAAGGTTGGGCGCGCGCGCCAGGTTCAAATGCACAGGAAGGTGGCACAGTAGGCAGCCCGGAAGGGAGCCAGGTCCTAAAGCCCGCCGAAAGGAGGGAGAAGAGTCAGGGGGGTCAGCGTCAGCGTCAGAGGAATCCCGGAAGAAGAGACCCCAGGGGGCAGAGGGACCCAGAGAAGAATAGTCAGGCGGAAAAGGTGGAGCAGGGCTAGGATATTAAGTTGGTGTACAAGGGCGGAGACTCAGACGGAGCTTCGCCGGTCTAACCATGAGACGTAGAGTTGCACGCAGCAGTTTGAGAATGGAAACTGTAACTCAATAAAGACTTTTGTTTAATGATCGCTGGCTAGCGTGATCCTCTGTGAGCTAGGATCTGGAAGCAGCTCTGACAGTAAGCTCCGTCCCATAAAATTGTGGGCATCTACAGCCTCGCGGAGAGGAGAGAAAGCGGGTGCCTACTAGCGAGCTCACGAAAGGCAGACAATATGACGGCCGAACAGCAGATAGCGGAACTCAGAGAAGCAGTGTCACGACTGAATGCCGAGGCTCTTGCATCCAGGAAGAGAGAGGAGGGACGCAGCTGCCGCCTACTGGGATCTCCAGGTCTGGTTGGAAGTGCTTACGCAGCAAGGGCAACTGACACCCAACCCGGTGGGGTTTGGGTTGGGGAGGCAGAACAGGCGGTCTGGTCTCTCACTTCGATGGGAATTTGCAACAGTACCCCAACTTTAGAGCAGATGTAATGTGTGCACTGCAACTGCTGGACAAAGACTTTAGAGATGAGCAAGAGAAGGTGGGATTCATCATGTCCCATTTGCATGGAGATGCTAAAGCATGGCTGCGCAATTTGTGGAGAGATAAGGATCCGGCGCTCCAAAATGCGGATGCCTTTATTAAAGCGATGGATGGGTGCTTTTTATCAAGCATTGACGTGGATCTTGCTCGGCAGCAGATACATGGACTGAAGCAAGGGAGGGCCAGCGTAAGGCAGTACCATGCCCGCTTTTCGCTTTGGTCAGTGCTCTGGAATGGGACAGAGATTCGGCTCCTGTAAGAGACCTGTTTTGGGAGGGATTGCACGGCTCGGTTAAAGATGAAATTGCGAGGGGAGAGACCCCGGACCACGCAGGAGATCGTTCAGAGGGCGCTGGCGGTGGGGGTGCGGCTGGAAGAACGTCCGTGGAGCAGGGACGAAGGGGCGTGGAGGCGCGAACCAGCCAGGGCTCCTCCTTCCTTCCCAGAGACGCAGCGCGTGCGCAATCCACGCCTCCGCCAGGAGGAGGAGCGGAACCTATGGAGGTTGGAGGTGCAAGGGCTCAGTCAGCAGCCAGAGCCCTAGCACCGGCAGCAGTGAGCGAAGCCTCCTAGAGGGAACAGGAAGTGTTACATCTGCGATGCTCCACAGCATATGGCGAAAGAGTGTCCCCAGAGGCTCCACAAGCACACTGCAGCTTCAGCAATGGTAACTGCAGCAACGCAGCAAGGAGAACCACAGCAGGGAAACGACGGCGTCTGGTTGGAGGAAGAGGCACTGGGGCCCAGCCAGACGTGTCAGTGAAGCAGTCCCCAGAGATTTTACAGCCCATGGACCCCCTCCCGCCCAAACCAGTAGTGAGGCTCACCGCGTCGCTCCAGCTGCCCAATGGAATCACCATGGACGTGCCAATCACCATTGACTCCGGAAGCAATGCGGACTTTATAGGGCAGGACTTTGTTGACCGGCACGCTATACAGTTGCTGCCTGCCACGCTGCCCCTGCAGGTTGTCACGGTGGATGGCAGGGAGCTGCTAGGGGGGCAAGTGGTGAAGCAGACGCCACCAATGGTGATGCGGCTTGGGAATCACAGGGAAATCATCAGCTTCAATGTCACTCAACTATCGGACACGCCCATTGTATTGGGCATGAGTTGGCTGGACAAGCACAGCCCGACGCTGGCTTGGTACCAGAGGCAGCTGACCTTCGGCTCTTCCTTTTGCGCTGAACACTGCATCGTGCCCCGGCAGGAAGGAGAGGAAGAGGAGTCACAGCTGCAGCTAGGCACGCTGCAAGCGGTTCCCCACAAGTACGCAGAATTTTTGGAGGTTTTCTGCGAGAAGGAGGCAGACAGGCTACCCCCACAGACCATATGACTGCAAAATTGACCTGCTGCCGGGGCGGCGCTGCCCAAAGGAAGCTGTATTCCATGTCTGAGGACGAACTGCAGGAACTCAAAGAGTTCATAGATCATAATTTGGAGCGCGGTTTCATCCGAGAGTCCAAGGCAGCGGGGGCAGTCCGGTATTCTTTGTTAAGAAGCGGGACACGCCCCAGAAAAGACTTGTAGTGGACTATCGCATTTTGAACAGCGTGACCAAGCCATCGGACTTCCCCATGCCCCGAATCGACGACCTCCTCGCAAAGGTACGGAAGGGCAGCGTGTTCACTAAGTTGGACCTGCGAGGGCGTACAACCTCATTCGCATGCGGGAAGGAGATGAGTGGAAGACAGCCATGTTCACGCCCCTGGGCACCTACGAATATAGAGTTATGCCTTTTGGATTGCAAAATGGTTCCCACGTTTTCAAGCTTTCATGCATCACGTGTTGGCGGGGCTCCTCTACAAGACGTGCGTCTGTTTCTTGGATGACATCCTGATCTTTTCGGAATCGCAGCAGGAGCATGACAGACACGTCAAGGAAGTGCTGAGCAGGCTACAGCAACATAGGCTTTACGCCAAGCTGGAGAAGTGCCAATTCGACGTGACGGAGGTGGATTTCCTGGGCTACAAGTTGTCTGATAAAGGGCTCGCCATGGACAGCGCCAAGGTCCGAGCAGTGTTGGATTGGAAAAGCCCACGCAACCGGAAGGAGGTCCAACGGTTTGTCGGCTTTGCGAACTTCTATCGCAAGTTTATCAAAGGCTTTGCCATGCAGACAGCGGCCATCACGGACACGCTCAGCTCCAAGAAAAGAAGTTCATCTGGACAGAGCAGGCGGAGCAGTCCTTTCCAGGCACTCAAGCGTCTCTTCGCGTCGGAAGGGCAACTGCTTCATGTCAGCCCCAGCAAGCCGATGAGGGTGGAGACAGACGCTTCGGACAGAGCCGTGGGAGCAGTCCTGCTGCAGAAGGACCCGCAGGGGTTTGGAGGCCGGGAGCGTTTTACTCAAGGAAGCTCAGCAAGTCCGAACAGAACTACACCATCTGGGACAGGGAGTTGCTGGCCATTCATGCAGCGTTCAAAGCGTGGAGGCACTTCCTGATCGGCGCCAAGCACACGGTGCAGGTCTGCACGGACCACAAGAATCTAGAGCACTGGCGCACGGCACAGTTCCTGAACCAGAGGCAGATACGTTGGGCTGAGTTCTTTGCGAATTTCGACTTCCGAATAGAGTATGTCCCGGGGGACACCAACATCATGGCGGATGCTCTCTCCCGTAAGCCGCAGTATCTGGAGGAGGCAACGCCAGCGGCTGCCATGCACATCTTCGCACCGACAGTGTGGGCGTGCACGGCGGCAACAGTTGACCTGGAGGCGGTGCGACGAGCGTTGCAGGATGACTCCTTCGCGCAAGCAAAGATGGCAGAGGCGCACAGGGGCACGGCAGCGACCGACGAGTTCCAGCTGCGAGATGGTTTGCTCATCCGTAAAGGGGCCATCTACGTGCCGGGAGACGAACTTCGCGCCAAGGTACTGCAGCAGCTGCACGCCGCGCCCACTGCCGGGCACTTTGGCAAGGAGAAGACGGCGGTCCTAGTAGGCAGAGACTTCTGGTGGCCAGGAATGTGAGGGGAAGTCGCGGACTACGTGGCGAGGTGTGACACCTGCCAGAGGGCCAAACCAGTGCACAGACCGCCGGCCGGATTGCTGGAACCGCTGCAAACTCCGTTCGAACCATGGGAGAGAGTGGCCCTGGACTTTGTCACGGATCTGCCCAGCTCGAGGGGCAAGACGGCTGTGCTGGTGGTGGTGGACTTGTTCTCCAAGATGGCACATTTCATTCCGTGTGCGAAGGTGGCCACGGCGGAACAAACAGCCAAACTGTTCATAGACCACGTGTTCAAGGTTCACGGTCTGCCGCGGTCTATTCTGTCCGACCGAGGGCGACAGTTCATCTCGAACTTCTGGCAGAGGCTGATGGGCTTCCTGAACGTCAAGATCAACCTGGCGTCGGCTAGACACCCGCAGACCAATGGGCAAGCGGAGCGGAGTCAATGCCATCATGCAGCAGTACCTGAGATGTTATGCGAATCAACAGCCTGCGACGTGGGTGGATTACCTGCCTCTCGCCGAGTTCGCCTACAACAACACGAAGCACGTGTCCACGGGGGTCACGCCGTTCTTCGCCAACAACGGGAGGCACCCCAGAACCTTCCCGGGACTGGAAAGAATGGGGAGGGGAGCCGCAGACAGCAGATGCATTCGCGTCGGAGTTGCAGGAGGTCCACGATCAGCTGCGGCGGCACCTGGAGCTGGCTAAACACGCATACAAGGTACAAGCGGACAAACACAGAAGGGTTGGCGAAGAGATCCATGTGGGAGACTGGGTCTGGTTAGCAGCCCACGCAGTTCGGCCAGGTCGTTGGCGAAGAAGAAACTAGGGCATAAACAACTGGGGCCCTACCAGAGTCGAAGAACAGGTCAACCCGGTGGCTTTCAGGCTGGCTCTTCCGGAGGGTTCCAGGATGCATCCGGTGTTCCACAGATCGGTGCTCACTCCCTACAAGGCACCTCACAGGTTTCAGGAACCAGGAACGGCACCGGGTCCGCTCCGAGAGAGAACCGGGCAACGGGGAGTGGCACGGGAGGAGCGCATCAACGAAGCCACGGAGATTTTGGACTCCAGATGGGGGGAAGAGGGGGTAGAATACCTTCTAGCCAAGGAGGGCACCCCGGCCAGTGCCAACAGCTGGGTGCCGGGCTACGCTTTAGACGAACCTCTGCTCAAAGAAGAGTTTCATGCCCTCTTCCCACATAGGCCAATGCCAGCAGACTTTTTTCGACGACTGGCTTTTCACGCCCACGCTTTCAGCCAGCACGTTCCGGGGGTTCGACTCGGACGAGGAACCGACACGAGACGCCCGTTCCCCGGAGGGGTCGCCCTCGGGATCTGCTTCAGAACCCTCGTATTGGTGGGATGATCGACCAGAGGAGCAGTTCCGCAGAAGGTGGCTGGAGGGTCCAGGACGAGCAACGTCTCCAGAAGGTAACGAGGGGGAGACGGACATGGACGTTTTCGGGGACGACCCGGGTTTCGAGCACGGCGGCACAGAGATGGAAGCGGAGGTGACCGTCGTCAACGAGAGCAGGGAGGAAGAACCGGAAGACTTCAGATGGCGGCCCGCCACGGGAAGCGAACTGTATCCGACATTCGTCCCCTGACACGGCAGCACCCAGATCCCGCACCGGAAGGAGGAGGGGGAAGAGGGGGCTTCGAGGGGGATGGATGTCAGGGGTTCAGGAGCAGAGGCAAGGGCAAGGGAGGAAACAGAGAGCGAGGGGAGGAGGCAGAAGAAAAGATGAGTGATGACGACGACCCGAGATCTCGAGTCTTTCCAGTGAATCAGAAGATTCACAGAAAGGAGCACCAGTGGCCAGGGCAAGGGGAGCCTAGGGGACGCCCCAGGCAGATAGACCCAGAGGGGACCCTGAGGGGTGCAGTTGGAAATCGGGACCAGCGTCACCGCCAGAGAGCAGGGAAGTGCAAGGGAGCCAGCGATCAAGCGCTGGCAGCTCACCCGAGGGGGGAGGGCACGAGTCAGGAGTGGCCACACCTCCATCGGGGAGCGATGTAACGGTCAGACGGAAGGTGGATGGTTGGGCGCGCGCGCAGGTTCAAATGCACAGGAAGGTGGCACAGTAGGCAGCCCGGAAAGGGAGCCAGGTCCTAAAGCCCGCCGAAAGGAGGGAGAAGGGTCAGGGGGGTCAGCGTCAGCGTCAGCGTCAGAGGAATCCCGGAAAGAAGAGACCCCAGGGGGCAGAGGGACCCAGAGAAGAATAGTCAGGCGGAAAAGGTGGAGCAGGGCTAGGATATTAAGTTGGTGTACAAGGGGCTTCGCCGGTCTAACCATGAGACGTAGAGTTGCACGCAGCAGTTTGAGAATGGAAACTGTAACTCAATAAAGACTTTTGTTTAATGATCGCTGGCTAGCGTGATCCTCTGTGAGCTAGGATCTGGAAGCAGCTCTGACAGTATGTAACCTGAAGCGTATATAACCCGAGAGACCACTGTATGAAGGACACATATTGAGTCTTCCCTGTGTCACTCACCTCTAAACAGGAAAACACCTATCTGCACCCCCCCACTCAAATAATAAAAAAGACCCCAAAATAATGCCCCCTAAAAACAGACCATCCCAACCAAAGCACCAAATTGTAGAGTTGGAAGAGGTCCAAAGCATCATCTAGTCCAACTCCCTATATTTTTTTTTAAAATGGAAAATTGGGAGAGTGAAGGGAAAGGCGCTAAGGGACTATCTGAAGGTTACAGACTAGAGTTCTAAGTTATAACGCTTATTGTGTAATATATTGGCTAGTCTTCAGGGGTGACACAAAACTCTCTTGATCTCTTTTAAAATGTTGCCGTGACAATCCATGCAGCATCTCAAAACCAAAGGAAGTGACTATCTCATTTCAGAATGACTGCTTTAAACCCAAGTGCTGATGCATGCAGCTTTAGACAACCAACTTTGATTGATGTTTCTTCAGTTGTGTGCAAGTCCTGCGTCTGGTGAAGCTCAAGAGCACCTAGGCTCTCAATAGCAGCAAGAAACCCTCTCCAGAGTGCAGAATTGTGGCCACAATGGAGTCAGAAAAGAGCTTCCAAGGTCACCACTAGAGTAAGAGGCTGCTGGTAAATTTGCACGTGCTTGTCTGCTCTTATCCTCTCCACGTCCTCCACATTCCCCCTCAGTGTCCCTCCGACACCTCTCCCACAAAGTGACCCTGGAAGCCCATCCTCATGGGTAATACTCCTTTCACTCTGGTGGGCTCCAATCAGCACAAAAGGTTAGGAGACATCTCTTCAGTGACTAAAGGCTCTGTTTCCATGCTGGTTGGGTGGGTCTGGGATGCTGGAGGTGGAGACCAGGTTGGAATCTGGCTGCTCAATGCTGTAAGTTAGATGCTTCCCCATTTCTGGGTTCTCAGTGATCTGTTGTCAGCAGCTGCAAAAGACGCAGAAATTTCTGCCTCAAGAGCTGCAGCTGCACTGTTGGAAAGCTACAGAAATAATATATGACACTTGAATGAGGGACGCGGGTGGCGCTGTGGGTTAAACCACAGAGCCTAGGACTTGCCGATCAGAAGGTCGGTGGTTCGAATCCCCGTGACGGGGTGAGCTCCTGTTGCTTGGTCCAGCTCCTGACAACCTAGCAGTTCGAAAGCACGTCAAAGTGCAAGTAGATAAATAGGTACCGCTCCGGCGGGAAGGTAAACGGCGTTTCCGTGCGCTGCTCTGGTTCGCCAGAAGCGGCTTAGTCATGCTGGCCACATGACCCGGAAGCTGCATGCCGGCTCCCTCAGCCAGTAAAGCGAGATGAGTGCTGCAACCCCAGAGTCGGTCACGACTGGACCTAATGGTCAGGGGTCCCTTTACCTTTACCTTTAGCTTACACTTGAATGATGTTTTGCTTTGTGGTGGTCAGTCTGGATGATGCCACGAGTCCCTTCCAATTCTTAGGATCCTGTACCTGGGGAGCATTAGATTCAAAGAGAGGATCCTACTGCTAAACTAGCCAGAGAAGTTTCTTTGTAAGACGATGGCCTTGGCTGGCCAGTGCAGTGTCCTCATCCGCATCCCAAAAGGATGGGCTCTATTGCAAGAGGTGCAATGAAGGGATGAGGCCCTCCAGGCTGATGGGCAGGTCTTTCCTCTCCCTCCTCACCTGGCTGCTAGGTAGGAGAACAAGAGCCAGGGTGGTGTGTGGGAGATGAGCTGAAAAAAGCAGGCTGGAAGCTGGAGACCCAGAGACACGCTTGCTCTGTGCTGGATCCCAAAATCCATTGGAATGTTAATGCTGTGAGTCTCTCCATCTCATGCTCAAGTTGTATAGATGTGTAAATAAAACTACATATCCTAAAGACACCGTAATCTCCGGTGACTTTTACTCCAAGAAAACCGAATCTGAGTAAGCAGCTGGAACCACAGGAATTTCTCACCACTTGGAGACTGGGGTGCCACACAGCAATATGTTAATGAGTCCAGCAATTGGGGGGGGGGGAGAATGAGGAGGTGAACTCTTTTTGGGGGTACTTGCCCCCTGCCCCCTCCAGCACCTCCCTTGGTTGAGAGTGTCATTGTGGACACAGCCCTAGGTTGCAAGAGAAACATTCAGAGGTATGAATATTTTTAAAAGGGGATTCAATTATTACCTTTGATGCATAAATTCAAACTGTGCTCTTAGAAATGTTTGAGGAACTCTGAAGCAAATCCCACCCAACCCCATCCCTCGTGTCCACTATCCTGGGCGGCAGCTTCTGAGCTAGAATTCCTGGTTCTTGTCCAGAGGATAAAATGTTTCATTTGCACATATAAATAAACCATCCGGGCCTAGGAAGGCTTAAATCAAGCCCTCTGGAGAAGGGAGAATGTCAAAGCCTCTATCCCCCATGCCTTTCTTGCAAATTAAGTTAAAGCAAACATCTCAAGCCCTTTTAAAAGGCCTATCTATTTCCTCACATATTTCCAGAACGTTATACTTTCTGGAATGCCCAGCTATTTGAATCTGCTGGAAGGAAAGGACGCAACTCGATTGTCCCTTTGAAAAACAGCGCGGAGGTGGCTCTTCCTGGTAACTCCCTAAAGATTGTTCATTTGTGGGAGTTCATTTGTGGTTAACCTCCGGGAAGTGTACGAGGGATGCATGAGGGCTGACACATTAATACAACAGTCAGTTTGGATGAAGTGGGAGCAACTCTTTATCTCAGGCCAGTAAAGGCAGGGCCGAGCTCTGCCTGTTTCCCGCTTCGGAAGCTAGCTGCTATTTTTCTTTCTGGGAATGAGACAGAAAAACCCCCAGAGAGGGGTGTTTGCAAGCTTCTCTGCGGCTCCGTAATGAGAAGTTTCATCACAAACTTGACCAGCTTGCCTTGAAGACTAGGAACAAAGGAGGCGAGGACTCTTGCACCTTTAAAAGAAGTGCAGAAGAGGGAATTTCAGCTGCCACGCAACTATTAAAGGCGCAGGAGCAACACAGGTCCTCTTTTGATTTGGGCCACCTGAACACTGTCTTGCCCTCCTGCTTGTACCTTTGCCATGGAGAGGCAAGGAGAATGTTGGGTGCATTCTCAGTGAAATATACTCGAGGTCGAGAGTGGATTTCATGCTCTTTATTCAGCTCACAGTGTTGAGGAGGAGTGGAAGTTCCCATGAAATGTTTGCTTTATATACATTATTTACACAGTGGGAACCACGTGATTGGCTAATTCCGGGATTCTCCTGTAGGCCAATTAGGTTGCGGATTCACTTCCACCTGGAGCTGGATTGGGTGGCTCCTGTGGACCAATCAGACAGCTGCATTCTGGATCCTATTGTTCTAGGACCAATCAGACTGCTGCATTCTGGATCCTATTGCTCTAGGACCAATCAGACTGCTGCATTTTGGATTCTATTCAACTCAGTACATAACACCCAGGGTCCTGCCTCAGTTCATAATGCAGTCCGGTGCTGAGTGCCCTGGCTGAGCTGAGTCTGCACCATACTAGCACATTCCATCCAACAATCATACCATCTGCATAGGCAGATTGTGTGTTGAGCAGCACACCTGTAGTTATTCACAAATAAGTGTACCTGAGTATGGAAGAGCTGACCTGTACAAATCAACAAGTGTACCCTCTTTCATGCAAACACTTGTACATGTGCAGAGACAAAGGCAGGTACCCTGTGTTCAGTGTAATGTGTGAACAAGGCTTTTCGATGTGGCTGAGGGTCATGTCCACCGCCTTTCCTTCTTTAACTTTAAAAAATAAAGCCTTGTGGATGCTGGTGGTGTTGTGAAGCCTGGAGCAGCATGGGAACGATGCCACAACTGGCTTCACATATTCTCTGTCCTTGGGTGGGGTGGGGGATCCCCTTCCCCACCTGAGCAGGGAGGGCAGAGCTCTTTGAACTCAGTGTAACAAGGTGGATAGATGGCCAGATGCAAAAAGGTTCAAGAAAGGGTAACCAAAACGATCAAGGACATGGAAGGACTCCCCTGTGAGGAAAGGGTGCAACATTTGGGACTTCTTAAAGCTATGGTTTTCCCAGTAGTGATGTATGGAAGTGAGAGCTGGACCACAAAGAAGGCTGATCGCTGAAGAATGGATGCTTTTGAATTCTGGTGCTGGAAGAGACTCTTGAGAGTCCCATGGACTGCAAGAAGATCAAACCTCTCCATCCTTAAGGAAATCAGCCCTGAGTACTCACTGGAAGGACAGATCCTGAAGCTGAGGCTCCAATACTTTGGCCACCTCAGGAGAAGAGAAGACTCCCTGGAAAAGACCCTGATGTTGGGAAAGATGGAGGGCACAAGGAGAAGGGGATGACAGAGGACGAGATGGTGGGACAATGTTCTTGAAGCTACCAGCATGAGTTTGACCAAACTCCGGGAGGCAGTGGAAGACAGGAGTGCCTGGCGTGCTCTAGCCCATGGAGTCACGAAGAGTCGGACACAACTGAATGACTAAACAACAATAACAAGCTTAGAGAAAAGGCAAGAAAGAAGCAACTTGAGAGAAGGTTATAAAATTATGCTTGGAATCAAGAAAGTGGGCAGAAAAAAAGCTTTCCTCCCTCTATCACAACACCAGGATTTGTGGACATCCAGCAAAGCTAAATGTTGAAAGATTCAGGGCAATGGCAAAGAAAGTACTTCTTCATGCAGCACGGAGTTAACTATGGAACTTGCAATGATGGCCACCCATTTGGAGGACTCTAAAAGAGGGTTGATTCATGGAGGACAAGGCGATCAGCATCTGCTAGGCGTGATGGCTCTCTTCTGCTTCCACAACTGGAGGCAGTAATGCCGGGAGCTGCAGGAGGGGAGACTTGTGGTCAAGTCCTGCTTGCTGCCTTCCCACAGGCATCTGGTTGGCCACAGTGGGAACAGGATGCTGGGCTACATGGTCCATGGGTCTGATCCAGCAGGGCTGTTCTGGTAGTCTTGTGTTTTTAAAAGCAGCCACGGATCTTGCACCTTTCAATAGGTATCGCTTGCATGACAATGTGCACCTCCTGAAATTCCCTCGCCTGCACAACTGTGAAAGGCACAGAAGCCCTGTGTGGGTTGGCCTCTGGCCGCCCTCACAAGGGTGGCGTGCGATTTCAAATCACACCCCTCCACACACATTACTTTACAAAAGCCCCAGGGAACAATGATGTGTTATGACCCAGGAAACGAAGCTTCACTTTGGGTCATGAGGCTTTCATTTAAGTTTATACTATGTTTACTAAAGACGTTGGTAGCCTAGCTTTTATCAAGAAATCTCAGGGTGGGGAACAATAAAACTTACTTTTTATTGTAAATCAAGTAAAGCAATAAAAATACTTAACTGAAGTTCTGTCTCCCGTAACATAAATCCTGGCTATGGCCATGGTGCAATCAGTTAATAAATGAGCTAATACTCCAGTTTCAATCCTTCAAAACCAGTGGAACACCTCCCCCCAAAAATATACACACACAAACAAATTTTATTTATACCCTGCCCTCCCCAGCCAAGACCAGGCTCAGGGCAGCTAACACTAAATATAAATATAGTAAAAACATTCAAAACAAAACAAACAAAAAACAGTTGATTAAAATATAAGTTAGAATACAGTTTAAAATGCAGCTTAAAATGCAGCCTCGTTTTAGTGGTAGCCTATAGATCAAAGCCATAAGGGGAGAAAACGTCAAATATTCACCGCGGCCAACTATCCATGCTGGTCCTACATGGACCAGAAAAAGAGCCGAAGGGAAAATTTATATACAAAATCCCATATGAGGGGTTCCATAAAAAAATAAAAGAAATAAAAATGAGGGGGGGGGTTAGACTGAGTCCAGCCCAAAGGCCAGGCAGAACAGCTCCGTCTTGCATGCCCAACGGAAAGAGGTCAAATCCCGCAGGGCCCTGGTCTCCTGCAGTAGGGTGTTCCACCAGGCTGGGGCCAGAGCTGAAAAGGCCCTGGCCGAGGCCAATCTGACTTCCTTGGGGCTTGGGACTTCCAAAGTGTTGTTATTTGTGGACTGTAAGGTCCTCCGTGGGGCATACCAGGAGAGGCGGTCCCATAGGTCCGTGGGTCCTAGGCCATATAGGGCTTTAAAGGTTAAAACCAGCACCTTAAACCTGACCCTGTACTCCACCAGGAGCCACTGCAGCTGGTAAAGCACTGGATGAATGTGATCCCATGGCAAGGACCCCGTAAGGAGTCTCGCCGCAGCATTCTGCACCTGCTGGAGTTTCTGAGTCAGCTTCAAGGGCAGCCCCACGTAGAGCGAATTACAGGAATCAAGCCTGGAGGTGACCATCGCATGGATCACTGTGGCCAGATCGGGGCCGGAAAGGTAAGGGACCAACTGCTTAATACGGCGGAGATGAAAAAAGGCCGCCTTTGCTGTAGCTGCAACCTGCGCCTCCATGGAGAGGGAGGCGTCAAAGGTTACATTAAAGTTAATGAAGCACCAGGGCTAGGATGGGGAGGTGCAATTATTAGCCAACACTTTGTCTACTCATGATCCCAATTTCTATGACTCCTTTTGGGTCCCTCCAGGCATCCTTTTGACTGTGTATTCGTGACAATTCATGAGCAGTGCCGGATTTACATATAAGCTAAACAAGCTCAGGCTTAGGGCCTCACTCTCTTGGGCCCCCCAAAAAAATTAAAGGAAAAAACCTGGATGTACATTTCCAAAATATAAGATAAAAAACAAATAAAATAAAACCTACATACAGCAAAGGTGTTATGTAGGCTCCTGTTTGTTATGTGCAAATGGCTTTAGATACCTATTAGGTCCATATATTCCCATATAGCATATATTCAACACAAAAACAGTGACAATTTGTTGTTGACAAAGGACAGCTGGACATATAAAGGGCCCCATTACCTTCAGGAGCTCAGGGCCTCATCAAACCTAAAAACGGCCCTGTTCATGAGGCTATCAAGACTTTAGTATGAGATCCTGCTTTCAATACGTTTCATGCCTTGGGGAGGACACATTTCTTTGTTTCCAGTCAGTACATATCCTGTAATTTCCTGCTGCAATCTCACGATGTTTCATTCTACAAATGTTTGAGGTACCACTTTGGTGAACTACAGCCTTTTCCAAACAGCAATAAGTGGCAGCACTGAGGAAGTATCGCAGAAAAACTAATAAAGCAGAATCAATCCACCACTAATTCTACTGCTTCAAGAACATGGCCTCATCCACAATGTAAATGTAAATCAGTATCATACCACTTTAAACAGCCGTGGCTCACCTGTAAGTATCCTGGGAAGTGTAGTTTGCTTAGCTTGTTAGGAGACACCCCCCCTCATTCCCCTCAAAGGGCTACAATTTCCCAGACTTAGACAACCCCTCTAGAAGGATACCATCAGTGGCATAGCGTGGGTTGCCAGCACCTGGGGCCATGCTGAGGGGCCGGAGTTTTCTGTCCAGATTTTCACTTTCTGAAATATGGCAACCCTATGGTGGGAGGGAGGGAAAGAGAGTACACATGCGTTTTTCTTTTTTAAAAAACCAAAACCCCAGGAAGTATTCATCCAACCACCTGTCTTCCTAGCTGCAGCACCTATATAGTTTGCATTTTTAACATTGTTGTTGTTGTTTAGTCCGACTCTTCATGACCTCCTGGACCAGAGCACGCCAGGCACTCCTGTCTTCCACTGCCTCCCGCAGTTTGGTCAAACTCATGCTGGTAGCTTCGAGAACACTGTCCAACCATCTCGTCCTCTGTCGTCCCCTTCTCCTTGTGCCCTCCATCTTTCCCAGCATCAGGGTCTTTTCCAGAGAGTCTTCTCTTCTCATGAGGTGGCCAAAGTCTTGGAGCCTCAGCTTCAGGAGCTGTCCTTCCAGTGAGCACTCAGGGCTGATTTCCTTCAGAATGGAGAGGTTTGATCTTCTTGCAGTCCATGGGACTCTCAAGAGTCTCCTCCAGCACCAGAATTCAAAAGCATCCATTCTTCGGCGATCAGCCTTCTTTATGGTCCCGCTCTCACTTCCATACATCACTACTGGGAAAACCACGGACCTTTGTTGGCAAGGTGATGTCTCTGCTTTTTAAGATGCTGTCTAGGTTTGTCATTGCTTTTTGCCGCAAATTGCTCAGCTGAGCGTTCATTTTCTCAGTTGAGGGATATTTAAAAACCCAAAAGAACAACTATGCAACAAGTCAGGTTGAATGCCTTATCTCTACTAAATATGGAAGCAGATGTGTCATGTAAGATTAGTTCTGAGGATCTGATCAAAGACTTTATAATTAGAAAAGTAGGATTTCCCCCCAAAATATAAATAAAGTGGAAGTATAGAAAAATTCATCTTACTTTTCTATCTTGCTGTAGGTTTTGTTTCATTTCAAAAAATAAAATTTTATTTTATGGTTTTTTTATTGTTTATATTTTGATTTAGATATATACAGGGGCACCAAAATCTTTTAAGTACTTAGGGTCTCTAAAGGTCTTAATCCAGCCTTGCATTGATAGCCTTGTCCTCCGTGGTTGTTGGACTTCTCACCACTGGCCCTGCTGGCTAGAGTTGATGGGCATTGCAATCTAAGAACATATGGAAGGCTACAAGTTCCCCATCACCAATGCAAAGGTTGACCACCCGTTCCACCACTGGAGGCTCTACATTAAAGGGTGTCTACTTAGTCTTCAGATGCCCCACCAGTGCCAGGCTGCTTCTACTACAGGGAGCTGGAGGTTCCTGAAAACCCTCTTTATGCCTTCTTGCTGCCATCTCTTCAAAGCGAGGTCAAGTGCTCCATCCATGCCTGTGAAGTGTGTGCTAGGACCAAGATACCAGGCCCTACTCCAGCCACTGTCTAACCCTCAGAGGAATTGGGCTGAAATCTCATTTCACTACATTGTCAAATTCCCATCTTCATAAGCAGACAATGTGATCTTAGCTGGGGTGTTGCCGGCCAAGATAACTCATTTAAACTCAGCCATATGCTACCAGGATCATCCAGATGTTTACCAATCAATAGCTCTACCTTCATGGGCTTCCAGATAATGTACAATGGTACCTCAGGTTGCAAACGGGATGCGTTCCAGAGGCCTGTTCGCAACATGAAAAGAGTGCATGCGCGGGTTGCGATTTGCCGTTTCTGTGCATGCACATGACGTCATTTTGTGCTTCTGCGCATGCGCGAGCAGCGAAACCCAGAAGTAACCCTTTCCGGTACTTCCAGGTCGCTGCAGGACATAACCTGAAAGAACATAACATGAAGTGGATGTAACATGAGGTATGACTGTACAGTAATCTCAGATAGAGGTTCACAGTTCATTTCTCATTCTTAGAAGGCATTCCTGGAGCTTCTGAAAATATGAGTGTGCCTGTGGATAGCCCACCAACAGATGGAATAAATAAGTCAGATGCTGGAATAATACCTCTTCTTCTCTCTTAGATATCGCCAGGATGTCTTGCAACTTGTGGAATCCACATATTACAATGCGCCAACACACCTTCTGCATGATGTTCCTGTTGTTCTTGCTACTGTTTGATGAATGAAGCTCCAATCTTCAGGAATTTATCTTGCTGCCTTATGGCAGCTAATCAGAGAGTGGGCTGGGGGGTCGCTACTTGACTCTATGGCAACAATGCCTCAGGGCCCCACAGAACAATGGGTTCACCCACACTTCCCACCCCACACCCACACCCCATCATTTCTAGGCACAGGTCCAAGAGGCTTTTCTTTTGTCACACTGCTTTCCCAGGAAAACCCACACTTTATGGTCAATGTTAATCACATTTTCAACAAAGTTCTGTATAGTTAAAGCTCTGGTTTTCCCAGTAGTGATGTATGGAAGTGAGAGCTGCACCATAAAGAAGGCTGATCGCCGGAGAATGGATGCTTTTGAATTATGGTGCTGGAGGAGACTCTAGAGAGTCCCATGGACTGCAAGAAGATCAAACCTCTCCATTCTGAAGGAAATCAGCCCTGAGTGCTCACTGGAAGGACAGATCCTGAAGCTGAGGCTCCAAGACTTTGGCCACCTCATGAGAAGAGAAAACTCCCTGGAAAAGACCCTGATGTTGGGAAAGACGGAGGGCACAAGGAGAAGGGGACGACAGAGGACGAGATGGTGGGACAGTGTTCTCGAAGCTACAAACATGAGTTTGACCAAACTGCAGGAGGCAGTGGAAGACAGGAGGGCCTGGCGTGCTCTGGTCCAGGGGGTCACGAAGAGTCGGACACGACTAAATGACTAAACAACAACAATCACGTTTTCTGCAGATTGGCATTTGTCCCGATTCAGCAATAAGCAGTGAGTTTGGGAAAGTGGCGAGGGAAAGCAAAAACCTCAAGGACCCATGGCTTGAAATCACAGAACAAATGAAGAAACCACAAGACAACGGGAAGTGTGGATGGCTTCTCCATTTCATTCTGCACATTCTGTAAGGCCTTCCACGAATTTGTAGTGTGGGGTTATCAGGATGCAAATGCCATGAAGTCCCATTTCCCCTTTTCTACTGACCCAGATTGAAAAACTAGAGTACAAGGATACTCTGAAGTTCTGGGGAACTTTTTTTAAAAAATAAAGAAGTTGCTAGGTTTGCAGTTTTCCCTTTTTGCAACATGCCAGATTGTAATAAATGCTTAAAATATTCATTGTGAGAGCTGTTTAGTTAGCCTTGACCCCCGACCCATGACCCCCCGCTCTTCTTCCCACCTCTATAACTCTCCTTTGTCTGTACAGTGGTACCTCAGGTTACATACGCTTCAGGTTACATACGCTTCAGGTTACAGACTTTGCTAACCCAGAAATAGTGCTTCAAGTTAAGAACTTTGCTTCAGGATGAGAACAGAAATCATGCTCCGGCGGCACAGCAGCAACGGGAGGCCCCATTAGCTAAAGTGGTGCTTCAGGTTAAGAACAGTTTCAGGTTAAGAACGGACCTCCAGAACGAATTAAGTTCTTAACCCGAGGTACCACTGTATTCTGTAGGTTTTAGAATTTAGCAACAGGGAAACAACTTGAAAGTAGGAGAGAGGAAGGTGTTTGGTATGCAGAATGAGAAGGGGATGCAACGAAACTCTTTCTCTGCCTCTATCACCCACTAAGCCTTGGGTACTTGGGGGTTGGCTGGCAATCAGGGGTTAGGCGAAAGAATTCTTCACATGCTCAGAGGCAAATTCCTCTCAAGCAACTGAAGTTGTGGGTGCTCAATGGGTGTCAATGGTGATGGAACAGAGGTGATCACTGGTGCCAAAAAGAGGTTAGGAGGTACAGCATTGACCTAAATGCAGCTCCAGTAGGGAGAGGTTTGCAGCAGGAGGGACCTGGATTGGAAGAGCTGAAAGGCCAGTTTGGTAGGACTCCTCCAGGCAATGTTGTGTAGTGGTTAGAGTGTTAGACTAGGACCTGGGAGAGACCGGGGTTCGAATTCCCACTCAGCCATGAAACTCACTGGATGACCTTGGGGTCCAGTCACTGCCTCTCAGCCTAACCTGCTTCCCAGGATAGTAATGGGGAGGGGGATGAACTATGTACCCCACCTTGAGCTCCTTGGAAAAAGGTGGGATATAAATGCAACAAATAAATAAATATTTGCTTTTATATTACTCGCTCTCTTACCAGAGTGACTCAAAGTGATGTAACAAACACAATGTGAAAAGATAAAAACCAGCGTCAATGAACGCAGCCAATAAAAAACTTAGAAACCACACCTGTACAGGTAACAGCCAGGCCTTACAGATCCTTCCTCACTAAAAGATGCCACAAGTACTAGAAAAGATTCTAATGGAGGTCCAAAAGCCAGAGTTAAAAATGCAAGTTAAAAGTTAAAAATGCGCCTAAAAGTAGATAAAGGTAGTGCCATAGGATCCACCCTGGCAAGACTTTTCCACAAACAGGGAGCCAACACTGAAAAGGTCCATAATTACTGAGCAAACATAATTACTGGGCTCTGTTGTGAGAGGCCAGCTCCATCAGGCACGTCTTGTGTCAGCATTGGGTCAATATAGGGGAAAGTGTTTAGAAATCTGTGTACAGGTAGGTAGCCGTGTTGGTCTGCCGTAGTCAAAACAAAACAAAATAAATAAAATAATAAAATAATTCCTTCCAGTAGCACCTTAGAGACCAACTAAGTTTGTTATTGGTATGTGCTTCCATGTGCATGCACACTTCTTCCCACTATATATAAGGGTCTGGTGACTTCTGTTTCAGTGTATCTGAAGAAGTGTGCATGCACACGAAAGCTCATACCAAAAACAAACTTAGTTGGTCTCTAAGGTGCTACTGGAAGGAAATTTTTAATTATTTTATTTTATTTTATTTAGAAATCTATGTTTTGATTTTTCCTCTTCCCTCCACGTCCCTTTTCCCCTTGTGTCATGTTATTCCAGGTGAAGGCAGGGACTGTCCTGTTTTAATGGTTGTTATCAAATGTTGCTATGGAAGCCCCTCTTAGCAGAAGAGCCCAGTGCAAATCCAATCCATCCATCCATCCATCCATCCATCCATCCATCAACAATAGCTTGTGTCTAGCATATGCAGAGTTAGCTCATATTCAGTCTTTTCTGAGCATTGATCCCACACTCATCACATATATTGGGAAGAGCTTTCTGACGGTAAGAGCTGCATGACAGTGCAGTGGACTCCCTTGGAAAGTGGAGGATTCCCCTTCACTGGAGGTTTATTAAGCAGAACTCTGTAGCTGTGATTCCTGCATTGCCAGGGGTTCGACTAGATGACCCTTGGGGTCCCTTCCAACTCTACAATTCAATTACACATCTTGATTTGCTCAAGTAGTCCTTACACATATTCCTGCTCATCTTTTGCTCACCCTACACTTTCCAATGCCTCTCTCCATCGCTTCCCAAACTGCAAAAAGCCTGTTTCTTTTTTTAAAAGGTGAATCGGTTGCAGAGCACTTTTGCCACGCTTTGCAAACTGAAAGCACAGACTTGAATCCCTCCTTTAAAGCAGTAGCAGCCTGGAGAACACCCTGACTCTGAACAAGATGGGGGTTTTGAGCTGCACCTCCGGCTGTTTTCATTTCCCACTGAGGTTACCCAGGGGTCAGTTCCTCAACCCACCAGGGGTTGCAAAGAAAGGAGGTATTTGAGGGGTGGGGGGTGAGGAGTGAAGGACAGAGGACCTTAGATATTCAGGCCAAGCCCACCCACGCGCCCCGTGTGGCCCAAGGAACTGGAGGCCTCACACCAGCCTCAGCCGGAGCCCTTAAAATCTTTCCAGTTGCAGGATAGAATTCCACAGCTGGAAGCCTCAAGTCACTCACCTCAGGCGCATGCTTGGCACCCAAGCCTCAGACCTTTTAATTACCCACCGGGGGCGGGGGGGACACCCAGTACAGATGCTTCCACCACCAGCAGAGAGCCTGCTTTGGGGCGCTTTGCCTGGTTACCTCCAGAGCTGGCCCTGAGCACCCAAAGAAACAAGCACAGTCCTCTGCCCCCTAAGGGTTTCACGTACCGTTTCCCAAAGGAAGTTCACTGCAGCACATTCATCTGACATCTTAGAAGTTTTTCGCTCTCAGAAATAGCTCAGAAACATCATAGCCATCTGTAACGAGCTGCCAGAATGATAATTTGTCTGAACTGCCAGACCTTAAACTTTATTATGAATCAGCAGCTTTTTGCTGGCTGAAAGAATGGCTGCTTCTTGAAAACACAGACATTTTGGATTTAGAAGGTTTTAATAACGTATTTGGATGCCATGCATATTTGTGGTATGATAAGGTCAAAGCACATAAAGCATTTAAAAATCATATTGTCAGGAAAGCTTTATTTAATGTTTGGATAAGATATAAGGATTTATTGGAAAATAAAACCCCAAGGTGGCTGTCACCGATGGAAGCGAAAGCCCTGAAAAAGCTCAATATGGAGGTCAAATGGCCGAAATATTGGGAAATTTTAGAACAAGATGGTGATAGATTGAAACTGCAGAGTTTTGAAAAACTAAAAAATAAAGTGCGAGACTGGCTTCATTATTATCAGATAATGGAGGCATACAATTTGGACAAAAAAAATGGCTTCCAAGTGGAAAAATCAAAATTAGAAACAGAACTGTTAGAACCCAAAATTAAGAATTTGTCAAGAATGTATAACTTGCTGCTGAAATGGAATACTCAGGATGAAACGGTGAAATCTGCTATGATTAAATGGGCACAAGATGTTGGATAAAATATTATGTTTGCTGACTGGGAACAGTTATGGACCACAGGTATGAAGTTCACGGCATGTAATGCCCTAAGAGAGAATATTATGAAAATGATATACAGGTGGTACATGACCCCAGTCAAGCTTGCAGAAATCTACCATTTGCCCGATAATAAATGTTGGAAATGTAAAGAAACTGAAGGTACATTTTTCCACCTTTGGTGGACGTGCCCAAAGATTAGGGCTTTCTGGGAGATGATATATAATGAATTAAAAAAGGTATTTAAATATACCTTCTTGAAGAAACCAGAGGCCTTTCTCCTGGGCATAGTCGGCCAATCGGTGTTAAAAAAGGACAGAACTTTCTTTATGTATGCTACAACAGCAGCAAGAATACTCATCGCAAAGTATTGGAAGACACAAGAGCTACCCACACTGGAGAAATGGCAGATGAAAATGATGGACTACATGGAATTGGCGGAAATGACTGGCAGAATCCGTGACCAGGGAGAAGAGTCGGTGGAAGAAGACTGGAAGAAATTTAAAGATTATTTACAGAAACATTGCAAAATTAATGAATGTTAGAGTGATGCTGGATTGAAGTTAAGTGGCTTCTAGCTGTACAGGTTTTAAAGCTATAAATATATCAAGATTAAGGATTAGGATCAAAAAGGTTAAGAGAAATGGAAAAATTGGTTCTAAATAGGTAAAAATCTAATGTCATAATATATTAAGATTTAGGATTGGAATTAAAAAGGAGGGAAAGAAATTGCTGGGCTTACAAACTGAATTGGAATACAAAAGAGGGAGGTATGGGGAAGTCCGGGAAACAAGTAAATGTAAAAGAAGTTATGAAAAGACGGAACTATTTTTAACTGTTTTCTTCTTTTTTTCTTTTTTTACTTTTTTCTATTTTGTATTTTGTATTTTGTATGGGGTATTTTTCTCTGTTTTTGTTAAAAATTTTCGTGTTTATTAATGTGATTTTATTCTTTCTGAAACTTTAATAAATATTAATTAAAAAAAAAAGATAATTTGTCTGAACTGGAAAAACCATACAGCACCCTCAACTCATTTGCAGTTATCTGAAGTTCAGGTGATGATCGATAGCATTCAATTAACAAGTCTTATTAGAGAGAGGGAAGGCAGGTAGACAGATGGTAAGGCTGTAGAAAAATGGGGTTTGTTTCTCCTCCGTTAGGCTTCGGGTTTCAATCTATGGATTGCTTGTAAATGCCATACAGTTATTTGTAAATTATTATAACCTTTTTTAATTAAAAAGGCTTAGTATCTTACAGAAGGAAATAACAGAAAGAAACAGGATCAATATTTAAGGGCAGAAAATAATTATATATAAATTATATACCCTGTACTATATATTGAGTTGCAAATTTAAAAAATCCTTAATATATCAATGTCAAATACAATTTAATCTTTTTAATATTTATATCATTTCTTTTCTTTTCTTTTAACTTGCGGGTAAAGCTTTAATACACACACACACATACCCACTGGTTTTGATTATCATATGAAAGAGCAACAATGGAAAATGTGAATTATAAAAGCTTTGTAAGTTACTTAAGCACATGCCGTAACTTCCACAACACGCCCACATGTCTGTGCTCTGGAACCTGGTGCCTTCCAGATGTTTTGGACTACAACTCCTAGTTGTCTCAGCCAGCAGTCTGGATCTGATGGGAATTGTAGTCCCCGGGCACCAGGTGAAGGAGGGCTCACCTAAATGCAGCGGCGTAGCGTGGGTTGTCAGCACCCGGGGCAAGGCAAGTAATTTGCGCCCCCTAACCCCTAACCTGCCGCCTCTGCCAGCTTCTTCTTGCTGCTGCCTGGGCTGGTCTTGTGTGGTTCTCTCCTGCGCTCAGCGCTGCGCTGGGCAGCCGCTGCACTGTCCCTCCCCCAGATAGTCCCTCGCTCTCTCTCCACACCGCACGCCTGGCACCCACCCCCTCCACAGTGGGTGGCGACCCAGCGGCTCGGATCGGATTCGCACAGCCAGCACTGCAGTGAGAGAGAGTGAGTGAGCCAGGTAGGGGCAGAGAGCTGCAAGCGCGAGCGCCCCCCCCAGATGTTGCGCCCGGTGCGGCTGGCCCCCCCTGCACCCCCCACGCTACGCCACTGCCTAAATGGATGCGCTATCTCCTCTGAGCCTGGTCTCCAGTCCACACAACTAAGCCAAGCACCTCTCAGAAGCAACCCCTGCCTCTTTGCCAGATATTCATGCCCTGGAGCCTCTTGCTTCCTAATTCAGGATGTGTGAAAGTACAACCTCTCCTGCTTATTCTGCAGCGGAGCTCTTCTGTAGCAAAGACCTGGTTCCAATCAAATTCCCATCCCGAAAAACGCAAGGGGGAAGAAATGCTGGATCAGACCAACCCTTCCCCCACCCCCAGCCCAGTATCTTGTTTCTGACAGTGGTCAGCCAGACACCTCTGAGAAGCCTATGGAAACGAAGTCCATTCCCTCCTGCTCACCCTAGGAATCTGGCTAGCAGAGGGAGGGAGGGTGTCATCCTTGCCTTTTGCAGACCAACAACTGCAGCTCTCTCACAGCCACCCAGGAATGACCAGTGCCACTGACCTCAGAGACCTCAGGGCACACATTCGTGCCTAGTCTCTCTCTGTGTGTGTCTCTCACCCACACTGCCAAGGTCTCACTGGCACAAGCTGTTTGCTGCAAAAGCTTGCAGGTGTTCTTGGTGGTGGTGATGGTGGTGGAAGAGTTTCCCTACCTGTGCTGAGGCTTCTAGGGCTGGCCCCCAGCAGCATCACCAAGGGAAGAGCGCAGCGTAGCCCTGCAAAGTCAGAAAAAGAAGGAAGCTGGTTAGTGGTGGGAGTGAGGATGAAGAATCCTTGGGGGTTGGAGGGGGGAAGAGGGGGCAGCAGCAGCAGCAGGGAGCGGCCAGGCGCTTGGCCAGGACTTACAGTACATTGCAAGAGGAGAGAGCCTCCAGGCACGGTAAATCCAGCAGGCAGATAGCTGTGCCTTTTCCTGCCTGCTGTGGGCTCCAAAGGCAGCCCGGCAAAGTCCCCGCCCCGTGGGACGCTCCTCCTTCTGATTCTTGCCTCTGCCTGCGTTTGCACAGGCTGTGCCGGTGGGCTCTTGAGTTCTTCTTTGGAGAAGTAAAGAATTCCTGACGTAGCACGTAGTTAAACTGTGGAACTCCCTCGAAAAGGAGGCAGTGATGGCCACCACCTTTAAAAGACTGGACAAATTCATGGATGATAAAGGCAATCAATGGCCTTGCCTCCACTGTCAGAGGCAATAATGCTTCTGAACACCAGTTCCTGAGAGCCACAGGATGGGAGAGCACTCTTGTGCCTGGATCCTACCTACAGGTTCCCCACAGGCATCTTTGTTAATTGGACGCTGGACTACAGGGGTCATCGGCCTCATCCTGCAGGCTCTTCTGGTGTTCCTAGGATGGGGGTCTTTTTGCAAGTCTTTGAGTGTGACACATGAGCTGCCCAAAAGCTGGAAGGGACAAGCTGGTGAGTTTTCTGGTATTGTGCGGTAGCCATAGGTGCTGGGGCCCTGGGTGTCTGAGCACCGGAAAAATTCCCCATGAAGGGGCCAGGCACCCACAAATTTTGGTGTCAGAGCCTTGCACACTGCATGGCATCCACAGCCCTGGGCATCCACGGTCACAGAGCCAAGCTGGCACTCCTGGCGGTGACCTAGTGTTTTCACACACACACAGAGAGAGAGAGAGAGAGAGAGAGAGAGAGAAAGCAAGCAAGCCAACTTTCACAACTTTGCTGTCACCTCTACGAAAGTGAGTAGCGGGTGAGCAATTGCATCTGCCCCCTTCCCTTGCATATGCTTAGGATTATATAAACTGTCTCATTTCATTTTTTTAAAAAAAAATATTTATTAAAGTTTCAGATAAAAAGAAACACATCAATAAAAACAAGAATTTAAAAGTAAAAAGAAAAATACACAATACAAAATACAGAAAGAAAAGAAAAAAGAAAAAACAGTTAAAAACAATTCCATCTTTTCATCACTACTTTTGAATTTACTTATTTTCTGGACCTCCTCATACCTCCCTCTTTTGTATTCCAATTCAGTTTGTTTGTCCAGCAAAAACTGTCTCATTTCAAAGCAGTTACAGCAGTGCAACAGTTAGACCAGTGGTTCTCCAACTTTTTTCTCAGGGCCACACTTTCAGAATAAAAACTTACTTATGCCACACCATTTTTTATATTGATAATGAATACAATGGAAAACAAAAAGAAACTACTCCCGGCCATGATTGATTTCTAACACAGAAAACTTTATAACACAATCATGGGACAGCCAGAAAGTATAAAACAAGGCAGCTGCATAAAGACACGAATCACTCCCAAAATATAATATTGATTGTCCTTTATTGGGAAGGCCTGACCCCCAGACACCCGGGATGTAAAAGGCAAATAAGGGCTCTCCACACTTCCCCTAAAAACCATGAGTCTGAGCCCCACTACTTTCTCATGGAACACCTGCTCTTTAGCGTCAAATTGGAACAAGTGAGAATCTGTGGGAAACCCAATTGCCATTTGCTCCAGTGGAGCCCTAAAGAGTGGTCCCCTCCCCTGAAGGGAAAGCAGAAGGACAAAAGCGTACATAGCCCTAAGAGCATGAAGAAAGTGGGTAGTGAAAAGTTTTCCTTCCTCTCTCGAAACACTATAATTCATGGGCATCCACGGAAGCAGAATGTCAGTGATCTTCTTATATCCTTATGCATATGCACCTGAACATCGGCACCTTGGCCATGGAGGCCACAGTCTTAGGGTAGGGTGGGTAACCTTTTTAGACACCCACAGGGCTCTTTCCTGCATGCCAGAGCACCAACGCCACACCAGCCGGGGACACAGAGGAAACTGAAAGTTTCCGCAGCACAGCCAGTGCTATTTTTCGAAAGGGATTCTAAATTAAGACTGGGTGTGAGTGTGTGTGTGGGCAGCTGCTGTGCAGGGCTACAAATGCAACTCTCAAGAGTTTCAGGCAGGGACCTTTCCCAGTCCTACCTAGAGATGCAGAAGACTGAACCTGGGGGTTCTGAGGTGTGTTATCTAGGAGAATCGCACGCAGCTTCCTGGGCCCCACAGACAGCTTGGGGCAAAAGCAGGCGGCACTCCCCCTCCCCCATCTGTCATCAAAGCAGCAGCTGTATTGCAACAGGTCTTCACAAGGCCTCCCTTGACTGACTCAGTCTTGCGACTCGCCTGGGCAAGGTCCAAAAGTTTCCAAGCCCCCTCCTGTTTTCGCTTATGGTGAGGCTTATTCCAGGGGTGGGAGCCCCATGGGGGCCTTGAAGATACTACTGGTCTCCCACCAGCCTGGAGCCACTGCCTGAATCTGATGGGAATTAGGAGTCCAACATATGTTGGTCATCCCCCAAGAGAGAACATAGGAAGATCCCTGCCCACATTATCTGCACAACAACCCTGTGAGGCAGGTTAGTCTGAGAGTGAGTCTTGAACACTGGTCTTGAAAGACCTACACTGGCTCCCAGTACTTTTCCGAGTACAATTCAAAGTGTTGGTGCTGACCTTTAAAGCCCTAAACGGCCTCGGTCCAGTATACCTGAAGGAGCATCTCCACCTCCATCGTTCTGCCCGGACACCTGGGTCCACCTCCAAGGGCCTTCTGGCGGTTCCCTCACTGCAAGAAGCCAAGTTACAGGGAACCAGGCAGAGGGCCTTCTTGGTAGTGGCACCTGCCCTGTGGAACACCCTCCTATGAGACGTCAAAGAGATAAACAACTACCTGACATTTAGAAGACATCTGAAGGCAGCCCTGTTTAGGGAAGCTTTTAATGTTTAATAGGTTATTGTATTTTAGTGTTTTGTTGGAAGCCACCCAGAGTGGCTGGGGGGACCCAGCCAGATGGGTGGGGTATAAATAATAAATTATTATTATTATATTATATAGTGAGGGGCCAGTGAGCCTAATGGCTGAATAGGGATTCGAACCCTAGTCTCCTAGATCCGCATCCTGTACTCTAACCGCTACACCACACTGCCTAGTAGCCATTGATAGCCTTCTCCTTCTCCATGAATTAGTCCAGTCTTCCTTTGAAGCCACCTGTCTCTGTTGACATCACTGCCTCATGTGAGAGGGGGTTCCATACTCTGACTATGGCCGCATGAGAAGGGTTTATTTTTATCTTCCAACCATCAGCTTCATTAGATGTCCCCTAGTGTTTTGAAAAACCTTTCTCTGTTTCTGCTAACCTGGTAGCTACTCAGCTGCAGATCTCCTTTGCCAAAGGCTGGTCCCCTCTCTCATCCAACCCTAACAAACACAAAGCCTTCTGCCATTCCACTTCCTTCCTCCTCCACATTTACCCAGAGGAGAACAATGGAACAATGGAACCATTTTTTAAAACCCTTCAAACTCACTTCTAAGGTTAGGCAAAATACTTCAAATTCCTGGGAGCCACCATCAATTTTTAAGAGCCAGGCATAATATGTGCACAGAATGGAATGTTTTCAGTTCTTCAACGGTCCCACCATAAATTTACTACTTCCCACTGTTTGTTTTGCAGTGAATTTTTCAAAATTGCATGCCAAAACCACTGAATCCAGTTGCTGGCATGCATCGACAACAGGCCCTTTTTCTTCTTATTTTACCTAATATTGTCTTGCTTTTGCTAATTACTGGGATTATCAACAAGGTTGTGCTCCCACCCCTGACCAGTAGATTCCACCTCTGCCCCCTGACCTAGCCAAGCTGGTTTATGAAAGGTTGCTTTGCTGCACCAAAATTAGAGAGTCCCCTGAAAGAAAAAGCAGGATAACATGCCAGGACTGGACAGAGCTTAAACTAGAAGAGCCTGGAGCAACTGCCCAAATAAGTATCCCCCCCCCTTGATTTCTGTGACTCTCTCTTTCCCACCATCCTTTTGTGGGAGATTAGCAGCCCAACCTAGCAAATGTGTGTTCTTGCTAGTTAGCATGAGGGGGCTAAAACCAAAGAGCTGTATTGCTGATAAAGATAAAGGTAAAGGGACCCCTGACCATTAGGTCCAGTTGCTGACAACTCTGGGGTTGCGGCGCTCATCTCGCTTTGTTGGCCAAGGGAGCCGGCGTGCAGCTTCCAGGTCATGTGGCCAGCATGACTAAGCCGCTTCTGACGAACCAGAGCAGCGCACGGAAACGCCGTTTACCTTCCCGCCAGAGGTGACGTGCTTTGACGTGCTTTCGAACTGCTAGGTTGGCAGGAGCAGGGATGGAGCAACGGGAGCTCACCCCGTCTCAAGGACTCAAACCACCGACCTTCTGATTGGCAAGTCCTAGGCTCTGTGGTTTAACCCACAGCGCCACCCGCATCTGTATTGCTGATAGGCAGATAAAATTAGCAGAGAGGGCTCTGTGTGATGTCATTTCCCCTCCTCTTCTGGAGAGGAAGACGCATCAAGTACTTCCTGTTCTTCCTCTGACCAGTGTTGGAGGCAGACGTGCCCCCGCTCTCTCCAATTTTAGGCACATACTTGAAGCAGGTTACATTGTAAATTTAAGTATTTTGCCCTAATGGTTTTTACTGCCAATGTTGCTACAAACCAATGCATGATTATAAACTTTGTAAATCTTACTTTTACACTTGCTTGCATGATTCTTTCTTAAGTGGGCTAGGAAGGGTGAAGCCAGCTTGCTTTGTAGCTTGACTTGCTTTGCGGCCTAATTCCTATGCTTTTCATTTTTGCTGTCAAGGGTTCAGCCCACATACCTGGCACCTGGAGGGATAAATACAGTGGACACTCAGGTTGCGAACGTGATCCATGTGGGAGGCACGTTTGCAACCCGCAGCACCACATCTGCGCACGTGCAGGTTGCGATTCGGTGCTTCTGCTCATGCACAAAGCGCGATTTAGTGTTCCTGCACATGCACAAGCGCTGAAACCCGGAAGTAACCTGTTCCAGTACTTCTGGGTTTGGTGCAGTGCG